ACGTGGAGCAGCTGGTCTTCGGACGCGAAGAGACTCTTAAGTCTCCTGAAGGACTGCTCCGCCTGGTCCGTCCAGGTGAACTTTTCTTCTTGGAACTGAGGGTGTCCGTGATAGCTGCCGTCTCTTTCGCGAAACCCCTGATGAACTTGCGGTAAAAGTTGGCGAAGCCGACGACCTCTGGACCTCCTTCCGATTGCGCGGGCTATTCCAGTCCAACACCGCGCGGACCTTGGCGCTGTCCATGGCTAATCCCTTGTCGGACAGCCGGTAGCCCAGGAAATCCACCTCCGTCACGTCGAACTGGCACTTCTCCAGCTTGGCATAGAGTCTGTGCTCCCGTAGCCTCTGCAAGACCTCCTTCACGTCTCTTTCGTGAGTCTCCTGCGATTCTGAGAAGATCAGAATATCGTCGAGAAAGCATACGCACTTCTTGTAGAGGAGTCCTGCTAGCACGTGGTGCATGAATGCTTGAAAACAGTGGGAGCCACCTTGGAGACCAAACGGCATAACTCTGTATTCATAGGTGCCCAGCGGTGTGAACATGGCCGTCTTCCACTCGTCACCTTCCCTCATGCGTATCAGATTGTAGGCTCCGCGTAGATCCAACTTGGTGAAGATCCTCCCCTTCCTCACCGTCGCGAGCAGGTCGTCAATCTTGGGCATGGGGAAAGCCTTGGGCTTTGTCATCGAGTTTATGGCCCTATAGTCCACAATGAGCCGTTTTTGGGGCGTGTCCTTCTTCTTCACGAAAAACACAGGACTGCCCCCACTGCCTTGGATTCTCGGATGAATCCCGCTTCAAATTGTGATCTATGAACTCCCTGAGCTCCTGCATCTCATCTTCAGACATGGAATACAGCTTCGCAGTCGGCAGCGTCGCCCCTGGTAAGAGGTCAATTGCACAGTCGTAGGGCCGGTGGGGTGGTAATTGGTCAGCTTCCTTCTCGCAGAAGACCTCCAAAAACCCCTTGTACTTGTGGGGCACTGCCTGCACCATGCCTAGATGCAGCTGTTGCCCTTCCTCCTGGTCCTCCGCGTCCTGGCCGATCTGGATGCAATGTTGTGCGCAGTAGGACGAGCCAAAGGTGAGCTGCCGCTGGTACCACGCCAAGGATGGGCTGTGTCTATCCAGCCAACTCATGCCTAACACTATGGGCGTGTCTGACAGTTGGGTGACATTGAAACTGATGACCTCGCGATGATTCCCAATTTTCAGCAGCATGGGTGGCGTCTGTTGTACCACTTGCCCACCCAGCAACTTCCTGCCATCTACAGTGACCACATTCAGAGGCAGCGTGGCTGGTAGTAGCGCTATGCGATGCTGCTTGACGAACTGCACCCCCACGAAGTCTGCGTTGCTCCCTGAGTCAATCGTAATGGGGACTTCCAGGGTGAGTCCATTAGGCAGCTGGAGAGTAGCAGTGAGCTGCACCACTGGCTTAGGTGGTAAGGGGTCTGTAGGCTGCAAAAGCGCTGGGGACTGCTTCACTGACTTGCCTGGCGGAGCCCCAGCGTCTCTCCCTCCAACCAGGCATTCTCGTTTCCCTGAAACTGCTCCCCTTGGAAAGCTTCCCCTGTTACTGTTGCTAAGGCTGCAGTGTGCTTCTGGAGCCTCTGGGGACACTCTTTAGCCATGTGCCGTGCACTGTCACAGATGTAACACTTCCTGGTCCCTCTAGGAGGCTTCGCTTTGACTGCTCCTGACGCTGAGGCTCCGGCAGCTGTCTGAGCCTTTGCACCACCCAGTTCCATCGGTTCTTCCCCGCTGCCAGCACAGGCGAAAGGCTTGAACGTTCCAAGTCCCTGGAAGGAAAAGGAGGCGCTCTAGCTGGTGGGCGGAGGTGACGCCCCTCCTCCCTGTGCCAAGGGCGTTCTTCTTGGCGCACCCCTATCGTGAGTGCCCTCTGCACGACTTCTGCTAGGGTTTGAGGTCTGTCTCCCCTAGCCAGCTCATCTTTCACTGAGCCATGAAGCCCTTCCCAAAACAAGTCCCTCACTGCCAGGGAGTCCTTTTCCCAGCCCAGCACATTCAGCAATGCAAAAAAGCGAGAATGGTACTGACGCACTGTAGCCTTGCCCTGCCGTAATCCATGCATCTCCTGGCGTGCCACATCAACGTCAACAGTAGATTGGAAGCAAGCGTCCATGGCTTTGAGAAATTCATCAGAGTCCCTGCGTGCAAGACCATCTTCGCGCCACAAATTGCGTAACCAGTTTTTTTGCTTCCCCATGCAGATGAGACACAATAAACCCCACTTTTTCCTCCTCATCTTTGAAGTCTTTTCGAAGTAAATGCAGTGCGTATACGACGTCTGCTCTGAAATTGGGATAATGCTTCAGGTTCCCATCGAAGTGGGCTACTAAATTGCCCCCCCTCCGTCCGAGTCCGATGCCCTCTGATCTGGACCCCGGGAACCCCTCTCTGCACGCCCGATCCCACCTGGCTTGCAGATCCTGGCATCGCGCTTCTGCTTCAGCAACTGTCTTCTGAGAAACCACGACAGCAGTGGAGAGCTCGGTGACTGCGTTTTGCAGGGACGCTATCTGCTCCTCAGTAGTCATTGCTGCCAAACTTCGTGAGCTGTGCAAAAAAATTTTTGCGGTTTTTTTGTTTTGAGAGGGGACTTACTGTCAAGGCTGCCTCAAGTCTTAGCTCACAAAAGACCAACGCCTATGTCTTCTTATATACAAAAGTGTTTATTGCAGTTCATGGTTTGCTTGACATCCTAGGCGCGCAGCCTTACGTCTCTTACGCTAGACCGCCGAAGTCCCCTCTGAGTCAGTTCCTCCCCTGCACCAATTCAAGAGACTTGCGCTGCTCCACCTCTTTCTCTCCTTCCTTTTCCGCAGGGTCCTTCTGCCCACTGGGGTTTCGCCCCTCCTGGATTCCTCTGACGCTGAATCCCCAGACTGCTCTTCCCCCCTCCTGCGGGCTTTGGGACCTGGCCCCTCCTCCGGGCTCCCTGCACTTCCGCGCGCCTCTACATTTGAACTAGGCGCGCGCGCCAAACCTCTAACTTTCCTTTTGACAGTTACACTACTCCCTTCACTGCTCCCTCCCCTTCCGGGAGGGCGGCTTGCTCTGACCCCCTCCTTTCTCTGCTGCTGGAGCTGCTTCCTCTGACACACTGGAAACTCCACCCCCTTCGCTGCACTCTGGTGGGGAGGCTGGTCCTGACGCCCAGCTGCCACTTTGGGATCCTCCGCTGGCACCCTGCTCCTGACACTTCCCCCCTGGGGCTCCCTGGCCTTGACCACCGGCGCCCCCTTCTGGGAATCCTCTGATTCGCTGGAAAGACTCATGGAATCTCTTGAGTCATTGTCATCCTCTTCCTCGCTGGCTTGGAATTCCTCCCCATCGCTCTCCATCTCCTGCCTACCCTGTGCCTCTCTCCCTGAACCCCTGACAATATAGAATAAGAGAACAAGAAGAACATATGTTTAAAGAAGATTGGAAAACTTTTATGGGGGGAAATTGTGTATATTTGAAAATGTGGGCAGCATTAAGTTAACAGTGTAAATAAGTTTTGATGGATGTAATACAGTGGTACCTTGGGTTACATACGCTTCAGGTTACATACACTTCAGGTTACAGACTCCGCTAACCCAGAAATAGTACCTCGGCTTAAGAACTTTGCTTCAGGATGAGAACAGAAATCGTGATCTGGCGGCGGCGTGGCAGCAGCAGGAGGCCCCATTAGTTGTGCTTCAGGTTAAGAACAGTCTCAGGTTAAGAACTGACCTCTGGAACGAATTAAATTCTTAACCCGAGGTACCACTGTAATGGAATACTCAATGGTTTAGTTTACATAAAATATACAGGGATTTATGTTATGCAAAATGAACCATGGAAAGAGAAGGGAAGTCATTGCTATGTTAAGGATGTAAAAATGAATATTCTAAAATGTAAAACAGAAAATTTAATAAAAATTATGGAAAAATAAATAAAAATAAACTGGTATTTATCAAATGCTTGAGGTGTTCAGTGGAAGGCTCTGCCCCCCCGGAGGAAACCCAGGCAGCATCTCCTGTGTCACAATAAGGGATAGCTTCTGTCCTGGCCAGCAGGAGTGCCAACTTGGCCCGCAACCATGGGTGCCTAGGGCTGTGGGTGCCATGCAGCGTGCATGGCCCTGGCACCAAAATTTGTGGGTGTCCAGCCCCTTCATGGAGAATTTTGTGGGTGCTTGAGCACCCAGGGCCCGAATGGAGTTGGCATGAATGCTGGCCAGGAACGGGCAAATTGTCAATTTTGGTTCTCCAGGTTCTGTATTTTTCCAGTCATAAATTCAGTTCTCCGCATTTCTGCAACAATTTTATTTTATTTTTTTAAATCCTCATGAAAATTCACCCATACTTTAGTGTGAATTTCTCCCAAGAAACATAGTTCCGTATTCTGTTTGGACTAATGCACACATTTCTGCAAGCAAATTCCCACAATATAATGCATCTTGGTGGTCATTTGGAACTGCCTCCTCCACTCTCCAAGACCTCGGCCCCAAGGTCCTTTCCCTGCAGCACGACTGCTGCCGAAATGATGGCTTCAAGCTGAGCAGTGGGAACTCATTCAGCCTGTTATCGAGGCAAGCAAATCTTCCCTTGCTGAGACCTGGCTGCTGCCAGAGAACAGCTTTCCTCAAGATCCTCTACCAAGGCTGGACTTATAGCCTTGCTGGCAGCAGAAGGAGGACGGCACTGAGATATATTAAAAGGAAAGCAAAGTATGGGTCAATTTGACACTGGTGCAGAATTAGGATTTCATTGGAGTGAATAGATATGTCTTGCATGTATACCACTACTGCGGCCTATGTTTCGTTAGCCCCCAAATGGAAAATGAGTGAGGTCCCAACCAAAGAAGGGTGGCAACTTCGGTTGACAGAATATGCGCAGTTTGCAGACTTAACGTATAGAATAAGAGAACAAGAAGAACATACATTTAGAGAAGATTGGAAAATGTTTATTGAATATATGGGAAATAAGTGTGTAAGGCTGAAAATGCTGGCAGCGCTAAGATAAATTCAACTGTGTAAATAAGTTATGATGTACATAATAATGGAATACTGAATGGTATAGTTTCTGTAAAATATGCAGGGATTTATGATATGTAAAATGAACCATGGAAAGAGAAGAAGGGAAGCCAATGCTATCTTAAGGATGTAAAAATGAATATTCTAAAATGTAAAACAGAAAATGTAATAGTTTTTTTTTAAAATGCATCTTCAAGGGCTGCTTATATAGCTACAAAGGTTGTGCACCCCCCGTCCCCCCGCTCTGCTGGGCGGTAGCAAGATATCAGGGGTTCCAGACGCTGAGCCATGGTTGAGAATCAAGATGCAGCAGAGACTGTAGCATCTTTAAGAAGTTTGGTTTATTCTACACTGGAAGCTTTCAATGAGGGGAGTGCAGAGTTTATGGCATTTGCACCTTGTCTTGTTTCCCACTGTGGCGCAGCATTGGAGTCCAAGGCATCTTGCACCCCATTCCGGTGCCTCCGTCCCAGGCCTCTTCAGTTCTCGTCACGGAAAAGCACCAGTCGTGCGATGTTCATAATGAGGAATACAATCCCCATGCCAACTGCTGAGTGGGCGAACTTCAGTGCCCGCCTGGATGTTTGCTTTGCATCCACGGTCCTTCCCATGCGGTTGGCATCTCGGGTCTAGGAAGAGAGATAAGTGAAAGTGCCTGGGATGAACTGGATGATAGAAGAAGAAGAAGAAGAAGAAGAAGAAGAAGAAGAAGAAGAAGAAGAAGAAGAGGAGTTTGGATTTGATATCCCGCTTTATCACTACCCGAAGGAGTCTCAAAGCGGCTAACATTCTCCTTTCCCTTCCTCCCCCACAACAAACACTCTGTGTGGTGAGTGAGGCTGAGAGACTACAGAGAAGTGTGACTAGCCCAAGGTCACCCAGCAGCTGCATGTGGAGGAGCGGGGAAGCGAACCCGGTTCACCAGATTATGAGTCCACCGCTCTTAACCACTACACCACACTGGCTCTGGATAACCACCACACTGGATAACCTTTCTTCTCTGGCCTGGCCCATTGTCCAAACGGTACCAAGGGCACTCCAGCCTCGCATGCTCACCTGGCATACCTGCGCCATCTCCAACATCTCCACACCTTCTGGGAGACACATGGATTTCCAGTAATGGTCCTAAAGCTTGCAAGCCCAAGCTTGGAGGATGGAGCAAGCTTGTTTTCTCCTGTTCCTGAGGGTAGGACCTGAACCAATGGCTTCACGTTACAAGAAAGGAGATTCTGACTAAACTTGCTGACGGTAAGAGTGTTTGATGATGGGATGGACTCTCACAAGAGGTGGTGGACCTCATTGGAGGTTTTTAAGTAGAGGTTAGATGGCCACCTGTCATGTATGACCTCATTGAGATTTCTGCATTCCAGGTGGTTGGACTCTTGGGGTCCCTTCCAACTTGACAATTCTATGATTCTCAGGAGTTTCAGCCCACAGAGCTACCCCTTCACTCCAGGCCCTGCATACCTTTTTGTGCTATTCAAGAGGCTGTGCCCCATGTCACCCATTCTCCTGATGGCAGTAGGGCTGCCAAGACCAGGAGTCAGCCTAGACCTCCTGCCCAGCTATGCCCCTCATGTCATGGCTGAATCTTGGACGTCTGTGTGGGCCCTGCCCCTCTTCCTTCACAATCTGGAAGCTGCTGGGTGGGGGGAGCAGCAGCCACAAGAGGCCCCCCTCCCCGATCAGAGACCCCCTTAAGAGGAGTTAGGGCAGAGCAGCCAACCACAAGAGGCTCTTCCTTGCGGGGAACCACCAGGGTGCCTTTGGACACTCAGTTCCAAAGCATTTCCACCGCAGAGGTTACAGGAGAAAGACAGAGACAGACTGCAGCTTGGGCCATTGAAGGAGGCTGGACTGGATCCCAACTCCAGGTTTGCTTGCCTCTCATCTGCGGAAATTGCACAACTCCGGGGGGAAAGCCCCCCATCACAAGGCTGGTGATGGTGGCCCTTCCTGTGGCACCCACACAATAAGCCAGTTAGGCTTTAAGGTGGGGAAGTCTTTGGTCCTGGATCTGTGCAGCTCCTGAGAAGGGCAGATGGATTTTTCCTTTTTTGCTGCGATGGTCCAGCACAACTTGCCTTGCTGGGTTTGACCCCAGGAAAGGAACCGACCTGGGCTTCTCCTCGCAGCCAAGAAAACCTTGACTACCCCACTCCCAGGGAGGGCCCCAAGGACTCAAGACAGCCAGACGTTGCTTGAGGCAACTTTTGGGGGGCTACAGCAGCAAGAGAAAGAAGGGCGTGGGCAAAAGGAAAATGACCAGGGTGGAGCATCCAAGGTGGGTCTCAAGCATCACCCCTGCTTAGTCTGCTGTCCAGCTGCTCACTGCTGAAGGGCAACTTCAACTGCCTCCTCTTCCTTCCTTTATTTTAAAGATGGGACTTGGGATGCAAAGTAGGACATCTGCTCCCTCAGCCAGGGTTCCTTTCATGCTCATGGAGTTGGGCTCCCTTGTAAGCATCCCCATAATTTATGCTTATGGTTATAATTCGGGGGAAATTCAATTGCTGATCTCGAAAAATTAGCTGATTGAAGTCTGGTACACAGCCTCAATGGTGAAAAGGACTAATCTGATTTGGGTGACAGGAGGCAGACAGAACTGTGACTACTTTGCTGAAAAATGGGCCTTTTCATTAGGAACTTGTATAACAAGGGCAATCAAATCCATATACTTCGAGATCTTTATCTAGATAAGTTCAACATAGCAACCTTTATTATTATTATTATTATTATTATTATTATTATTATTATTATTATTAAATTATTACCTCAATGTTTGCTTTGGCTTTTGTTTTACATTGTCTCTGCATGATTGGAAAATATAATACAATGCATCATTGTATAATGTCATAAGAGGTGTAGATCAGGGGTTGGCAAGTGAGGATCTTGGTTCATCAAAGATAATGACCCCCCCCTCCGCCGAGGAATGGACAATTGACTGAGGACAATGTGGGGAGCTTGCTCCCTCTGGGAATGGAAGGCTCTGACTCACCTAAACGGAAACAAGCTTGAATTTAGTAAAAACTAAAGCTTAACTGTTTGCCTGGATATTTTATCATGAGGGATTCCCCTTGTACCCATAACACTGCTTCCCTCCCTCCTTCCCTCCCTCTTTCTTGCACACTCACCTGTATAGAGTAAACTAAGGCAGCAATACCAAGGAGTGGACAGCAGCAGAGCATGGCAAAGATGGAGTAGCCCAGGTGATCGGGTTCATTGCAGGGTTGTACAGGTGTGATGGTGATGGTCTGTGGTGGCTGAAGGACGGGATCTTCTGTGGACCCTGCACCGGGTGGGGCATAATAAACTGGGTATGCGGGTTGGAAAGGGGGAGGTGCCCCATAGCCCATGGGGGGTGCCCCATAATCCATGGGTGGTGCTGGCCCAGCAGGAGGGATCAGTGGATTGAACACTTGTGAGGGTTCTTCTCCAGATGGGAGAATAGGTGGCTTCTCATTGCTCATGGTGTTCATCTGCTCTCCTCCTTCTATCTCACTTTGCAGTTCTGCAACAAGAGTTTCTTCTCCTTTCTCCATCCTCCACGCTTTTTCTGTTCTGGCTGCCCCGATGAGCTGATGGGTGACCTGCTGTCTCTCCGTCTCTCTCTCTCTCAGGTGGTACCTTCAATTCCTTCCCTGCACTTTGCCTTCCTGCTGTTGTGGTACCTGACCAACCACTCTGAATCTTCTTCCTCCAGGATGCTTGCCTTTTGCAGTGAAAAGCTCCGGGCTCTTCTTCTTCTTTGCTCAACGGACTCTTGGGTATCACTCGGGCTCTTTGATTCGGTGACTTTCCTGTTTCTCACTATCTGGAAGGGAAGTGGGTAGAATGAGGGGTTAGGTAATGAATAATCCAACCGGGTGCGGTTACTCGGTTGAAACAGGAAAGCAGTTCCCGTCAGTGAGGTGACCTTGGGCCAGCCATTGCCTCTCAGCCTAAGTTACCTCACAGGGTTGTTGTGAGAGGGGGAGAAACATTTCCACCCACTTGAACTTCTTGGAGGAAAAGGTTATACAGTGGTACCTCGGGTTAAGTACTTAATTCGTTCTGGAGGTCCATTCTTAACCTGAAACTGTTCTTAACCTGAAGCACCACTTTAGCTAATGAGGCCTCCTGCTGCTGCCGCGCCACCGAAGCACGATTTCTGTTCTTCTCCTGAAGCAAAGTTCTTAATCTGAAGCACTATTTCTGGGTTAGCGGAGTCTGTAACCTGAAGCGTATGTAACCTGAAGCGTATGTAACCCGAGGTGCCACTGTATATCTCCCCCCCTTTTTTCATTAATTTTTTATTAGGAATTTAAACAAAACGTATTATCTTGAACACATATCATCCTTAATTTCCCCCCATTTCCCCCCTCCCCTCCCTCCCATAAAACAACCCCCCCTCCCACCCTCCTCCCCACCCCCCCTCCGACTTCCCTCCGTTCCAATCTCTGGTTTCTCTATAAAAGCTATTCTCTGCATGTTACAAAGTTGTATGGATCCTTCATTTGTCTAACTGGTTGTTATCAATAAAAAGTTTGTGAGTGTTTATTCAAAACCTGCCAAGGAGTCCAGTTCACTTTGTTGCGTCTTTAAGTACTTTGTAAAAGGTTCCCATTCATCTTTAAAGTCACAGTTATCCTTGTCTCGTAATTTATGTGTCAGTTTTGCCAATTCTGCATAGTCCATCAATTTCTCTTGCCATAGTTCTTTAGTCGGGGTTTCCTCAGTCTTCCATCCTTGTGCTATTAAGACTGGCCGCCGTTGTCACATACATAAAGATGTTTTTCAACTTCTTTGGCAGGTCTTTCCCTACAATCCCTAACAGAAATGCTTTGGGTTTTTTAACAAATGTTAGGTGGAACATTTTCTTCAATCCATTGTATATCATTTCCCAATTTTTTAAAATTACATTACAGTCCCACCACATATGATAAAATGTCCTTGGAAAAGGTTGTATATCAATGTCATTAATAACAGTAACAATTGTTGTTGTTGTTGTTTAGTCGTTTAGTCGTGTCCGACTTTGTGACCCCATGGACCAGAGCACGCCAGGCACTCCTGTCTTCCACTGCCTCCCGCAGTTTGGTCAGACTCATGTTTGTAGCTTCGAGAACACTGTCCAACCATCTTGTCCTCTGTCGTCCCCTTCTTCTTGTGCCCTCAGTCTTTGCCAACATCAAGGTCTTTTCCAGGGAGTCTTCTCTTCTCATGAGGTGGCCAAAGTATTGGAGCCTCAGCTTCAGGATCTGTCCTTCCAGTGAGCACTCAGGGCTGATTTCCTTCAGAATGGATACGTTTGATCTTCTTGCAGTCCATGGGACTCTCAAGAGTCTCCTCCAGCACCATAATTCAAAAGCATCAATTCTTCGGCGATCAGCCTTCTTTATGGTCCAGCTCTCACTTCCATACATCACTACTGGGAAAACCATGGCTTTAACTATACGGACCTTTGTTGGCAAGGTGATGTCTCTGCTTTTTAAGACGCTGTCTAGGTTTGCCATCGCCTTTCTCCCAAGGAGCAGGCTTCTTTTAATTTCGTGACTGCTGTCACCATCTGCAGTGATCATGGAGCCCAAGAAAGAAAAATCTCTCACTGCCTCCATTTCTTCCCCTTCTATTTGCCAGGAGGTGATGGGACCAGTGACCATGATCTTCGTTTTTTTGATGTTGAGCTTCAGACCATATTTTGCTCTCTCCTCTTTCACCCTCATTAAAAGGTTCTTTAATTCCTCCTCACTTTCTGCCATCAAGGTTGTGTCATCTGCATATCTGAGGTTGTTGATATTTCTTCTGGCAATCTTAATTCCGGCTTGGGATTCATCCAGCCCAGCCTTCCGCATGATGAATTCTGCGTATAAGTTAAATAAGCAGGGAGACAATATACAGCCTTGCCGTACTCCTTTACCAATTTTGAACCAATCAGTTGTTCCATATCCAGTTCTAACTGTAGCTTCTTGTCCCACATAGAGATTTCTCAGGAGACAGATGAGGTTATCAGGCACTCCCACTTCTTTAAGAACTTGCCATAGTTTGCTGTGGTCGACACAGTCAAAGGCTTTTGCATAGTCAATGAAGCAGAAGTAGATGTCTTTCTGGAACTCTCTAACTTTCTCCATAATCCAGCGCATAGTAAGAATTACTATGATGCTAAAAGAAGACTCTTAAAAATAAATAAAAACACATTTCAGAGCAATGAAAGGCTCTTCACCACTTTCTGTATTACTTGACTATTCGATAACCTTGCCCTCCATTGATTGAAAAATACCAAAGGGGGAGCAATTCTTTTCCTAGGAGAAAATAATAATAATTGTCCTACAATATCAACTGCTCAAAATGGTCTTTTAGCAAGGTATGAAATAACAGCAGCAGCAGCAGCAACAAAAAATTATTTTCTGTATCCCGTCCATCTTATCGGGTTGCCTCAGCCACTCTGTGTGGCTTCCTACAAAACATACAAAAACACAACAGAACATCACACATAAAAAACTTCCCAATACAAGGCTGCCTTCGGATGTCTACAGAAGGCCACATACTTATTTATCTCTTTGACTTCTGATGGGAGGGCATACTGCAGGGTGGGCGCCACTATAGAGAAGGCTCTCTGCCTGGTTCCCTGCAACTTCACTTCTCGCAATGAGGGAACCACTGGAAGGCCATTGGAGCTGGACCTCAGTGTCTGGGCTAAACGATGGGGATGGAGATGCTTTTTCACGTCTACAGAGCCAAAGCTGTTTAGGGCTTTAAAGGTCAATACCGGCATGTTGAATTGTACTGGGAGCCAATGTAGTTCTTTTAGTGTTATATGGTCCTGGCAGCTGCTCCCAGTCACCAGTCTGGCAGCTGAAATCTGGATTAATTGTAGTTTCTGAGTCGCCTTCAAAGGTAGCCCCACACAGAGCGCATTGCCGTAGTCCAAGCAGGAGATGACCAGAGCATGTACCCTCTGGCGAGACAGTGGGCAGGCACTCCATGAGAGGATAGTGTCCATGCATATGCATTGAAATTAAGGGTGAGTGAATCTGTCAGTTGTGGTTTCACTCAGTTTCTCATTTTAGATCTTCTTATGATTTATGTGGAATTGGTTCAGTTTGGTTATGTACTTTTTGATGTCTTTATTGTTTATGGCATATTTTGTTATGTCTGTAATTATGTAATTTTTTAATTCATTGTATGCTACATTGATATGGTTTTAACCTTGGAAAAGTGACATACAAATAACATGATTTATTAATTGGTTATTTCCACATCAGCTTACTTAAAAAATAAAATAAAATCCCCACTGGCATTTTAGTACACACCCCATCTACTTTATTCCATCTCCACTCTGGGAAAGTTCACCCTGGTCTTCATGGCTTGAAGAACCTTTAACCCAGCAATGTAGAGACTGAAGAAAGACCTGCTGTCAAAATTTTCTGTCCTGTATCTGAAACTTTTAGGGTGGACAATAAATGTGGATTGATTACTGCTGTGTGTGTGGCCTGTGTTTCTGGATCATCCAAATGACTTTCTCCTGTGTGTGGCCTTGTAGGTCTGCTTCTTTTTAACAAATACTGTTTCATTTGATATGAAGGTTAAAGTAATACATTAACTGTGTGCACTTTAGATTTGTAGGCTCTATGACGTATATACTTTGTTAGCTTTTGTCCCATTTGTACTGCCATATAGTGGCTGCTGGTTATATTACTGTTGACATGCTTTAATGACAGACAGTTTGCTTTATGGTGACTTTAAGATGCTAGAATCATGGGAGGAGTTCATTGTCCTGCTAAGTTAAAGTCCCTTCGTGGTGTGCTGGTGGTGCTAGCAGAATGGCTCGTGCAAGGGAAGATTCAGGAAGCCACCACAGTTTTTGTAGCTGGTTGCTCAGCCGATTGCTGCAGCCCAGTACTTCCTGTGGAACAACCCGCTTCTGCTAGCGCAAATGTTGTGCTGGATTTCATGAATGTTGAATCTGGGCCCCAGGTTTGTATAATCCAACTCAACTGGACTGGTCTGTTTGAAATGATTTAGTAAGCAGACCTTATTTGGTCTCCATATTTACAGTGGTTAAAAAATAATAATGAATGGAGATCATACCCGCCAACATTCCTCTGATGAAAGTAGCAACATTTCTCACCCCGGACCCTCCTTGACACCCCATTTTTGTGTGTGTGTCCCAAGCATTTCCTATTAGAAGGGCGAGTGCCACCCCCACTTCACCAAGAAGTCACATGCCCCCCACTGTCCCAAGGAAGCCTCTTAATCCCGATTCGATTTGAGTGTTTGGTAGATTTTTTAAATAGGAAAAACACACACCAATAAATAAATTTTAGAAAGGGGCAAGATTAGACACTGACATACAATGTACAGTCTTGGGTTACAGACGCTTCGGGTTGTGCGATTTCGGGTTGCGCACTGCGCCAAACCCAGAAGTACTGGAACTGGTTGCTTCTGGGTTTTGGCGCTTGCGCATGCGCAGAAGTGCTAAATCGTGCTTTGCGCATGCACAGAAGCACCAAATTGCGACCCCCGCGCACGCACACGCGGTGCTGTGGGTTGCAAATGCTGTGGGTTGTGAACATGCTTCCAGCACAGATCACGTTCACAATCTGAATGTCTACTGTATTTTTTTGTTTAAATCAAGGCTCCTTGTGCTCTGCTCTACGTCCATTTTCTTCCCACCCAGGGCAACCCTGCCCCCTGCCTGCCCCTCAGAACTGGCACGTAAGGCGGGGTTGGGCCTTGGCAGCCGCTGCCTCTCCTCTTGCTTACCTGCTCTCCAAGCGGCAACTGCTACAAGCTGCCCCAAGGGAGGAGGCCAGCAATGGTGGCCACAGAGTGTCCATGGAGAGGCAACAGGATGCTCCTTCACAGCTGCCTCTGCTCAGGACAAGCACCGGCTCACCCTTCTCCCTGAGCTCAGTGGTAGCCAGTGCTGGTGGGAGCATCATGGCTATAAATCTGATACTCTGAAGGAGCTGAATGAGCTGGGTTTTTGCTACCCCTGGATTTGTGTGTACAAGAGATGGTCAACGTCCCGACAGAAATCCATCAACATTGCTGTACAACTGTAGTGCTCTCTAGTGAACTTCTGTTAACTATTAGCAGGCCCTGTTCCAACTAACTTGATTTCTCAGTATGTTTCCCAAAATGGTTCAAATTCCAAATGAGGACATCCATCCAATGTCTCCCTCCATCTCAGAGCTGAGACAATTTACTACACGGGTGGGCAGGGACCCTCTGGCATGTGGCTCAGTCAGTCTTGGCCCATGAGGGGCTCTAACCTGGCAAAAGAGGCCATTTCCCCTCAAACCACACCCACCTGTCCATCATGTGCAGGAGGGCAGGGTTTAGTGCTACTGGGTGTTTTGAAAACCAGAGGTTCAAAGGGCACCAAGAAGTGTTTAAAAGCCCTTTTGCAAACAGACCTGTGCTGTTCTTTAGACCTCTGAAAACCTGCCATTTAATGAGCAGTGCAGGGCTGTTTGCAAAAGGGCTTTCAAAGAGCCCCTCGCTGTGCTTTGAAGTCCTAGCAATCAGGCCTTCAATGTGCATCATCACCTGATGGCTGGGCAAAGATTTGACACCCCACCGCTCCAGTCTGGCACGAAGGGTCCTTGGATTGCCATGGTGGTCTTCTATTTGTATGGAGTTTTTTGCATTGTTTTGTTTCAAAAATATGATCTGTAGACTAAAGAGGTACAGTCCATTCTAATGTATCTGAATTTTACTTTTGCATTCTGGGGCCTGGGTAGCTTGAGACAGAGATATATTCTAAAGTCTGGTGGATGATATTTGAAGACCAAGCCTCTGCTTGCACTTTGAAGCTTTTCTTTTCGAAGCAAAGGATATGGTGTTTGTAAATCATTTCATCTTCACTTCCATTTTTGTTCCTTTTAATAATCCTTTGATAGCACAGCTCTGCTCACTTTAGACTTCAAGCACCTGCCCTACCCAGAAAACCTTGACCTGTTGATAATTTGGAGACGTCTGAATTTCATAGGGTAACTGTATGTTTATGCTTTGAACTGTATGTTCATGCTTTGGTTTGAAAAGTTCAAATCAGATTGTTTCTCATCAAAATGCAAACAACCTTGCATTTCTCTCCCTATCTCTTCCCTTTGCATGAAGGCCGAGATAAAAATACAATCATTAAATAAACGTCCTTTGCTAAGAAACCCTCGCTGCTTTTTGTCCTGCCCAAACGTAAAGTTCATGGTCCCTTGAATTCAACCCCACTGTTTACATTCAAGTTCATGCTGTATTTACAAGGTGCGTACCTAGGTTTGAGGCTGTTTCTCCAGCACCTGCTTGTAACTTACAACGACACATTTCTCTGCAAGGACTCGTGGTTTTTGTGTGTGAGTGTGTGTGTGTGTCAATTTTAGGAGGAAGAGGGGGGAAAGCTCAGAAGGACCGAGCTGTCTTTAGCTTTCTTTCACCATCTCCCATAATCTGTGCTTTTTGCTGGGCTCTTAACCCAGATAAACGATCAGAGATTTGTTTAACCAGTGAGGTTAAGAAAACATGTAGCAGCAAGAGATTAATTTCTCAATCAAGGCATGGCAGGGACGAGTCCTGTTGAGCAATCTTAGCCCAGCCTTTTTGAACTACAGCTCCCATAAACCCAAGCCAGCATAGTTAATAGTCTGGGATGATGGGAGATGCAGACATATGGTGGGCACCAGGTTGGGGAAGGGTGTTGCAGTTAACGGCCTGGAAGCTGCCTCCATTTCTTCCCATCTATTTGCCAGGAGGTGATGGGACCAGTGGCCATGATCTTCGTTTTTTTGATGTTGAGCTTCAGACCATATTTTGTGCTCTCCTCTTTCACCCTCATTAAAAGGTTCTTTAATTCCTCCTCATTTTCTGCCATCAAGGTTGTGTCATCTGCATATCTGAGGTTGTTGATATTTCTTCTGGCAATCTTAATTCCAGTTTGGGATTCATTCGGTCCAGCCTTTTGCATGATGAATTCTGCATACAGTCATACCTCGGGTTACAGACGCTTCAGGTTGCACGTTTTCGGGTTGCACACTGCGCCAAACCCAGAAGTACCGGAATGGGTTACTTCCAGGTTTCGGCGCTCACGCATGCACAGAAACACCGGATCGCAATCCACGTGTGCGCAGACATGGCACTGCAGGTTGCGAATGCTTTGGGTTGTGAATGTGCCTCTCGGACAGATCACGTTCGTAACCTGAGCATCCACTGTATAAGTTAAATAAGCAGGGAGACAATATACAGCCTTGCCATACTCCTTTCCCAATTTTGAACCAAATCAGTTGTTCCATATCCAGTTCTAACTGTAGCTTCTTGTCCCACATAGAGATTTCTCAGGAGACAGATGAGGTGATCAGGCACTCCCATTTCTTTAAGAACTTGCCATAGTTTGCTGTGGTTGACACAGTCAAATGCTTTTGCGTAGTCAATGAAACAGAAGTAGATGGAGCTCTCTAGCTTTCTCCATAATCCAGCGCATGTTTGCAATTTGGTCTCTGGTTCCTCTGCCCCTTCAAAATCCAGCTTGCACTTCTAGGAGTTCTCGGTCCACATACTGCTTGAGCCTGCCTTGTAGAATTTTGAGCATAACCTTGCTAGCGTGTGAAATGAGTGCAATTGTGCGGTAGTTGGAGCATTATTTGGCACTGCCCTTCTTTGGGATTGGAATGTAGACTGATCTTCTCCAATCCTCTGGCCACTGCTGAGTTCTCCAAACTTGCTGGCATATTGAGTGTAGCACCTTAACAGTATCATCTTTTAAAAATTTAAATACTTCAGCTGGAATATCATCACTTCCACTGGTCTTGTTATTAGCAGTGCTTTCTAAGGCCCATTTGACTTCACTTGTGCGGCAGCGGCGTGGCGGCAGCGGCAGCGGGAGGCCCCATTAGCTAAAGTGGTTTCTCAGGTTAAGAACAGTTTCAGGTTAAGAACGGACCTCCAGAATGAATTAAGTTCTTAACCCGAGGTGCCACTGTATATACAACACGTAGTTATCTTCATTTCAGTCAGTCCAATAAGGATATCTATGCTCACAAAGAAAACTACAATACATATAATTTCAACTATGTGTTTTCTACCCAAACATAAGACCACCCATTCTCTCCATATTTCCCTTTGTAATAAACACATTACTTTAATTTGTCATTATTATTTGGTAAAAATTCTCTTTTCTATTTTAATGTCATTTTCCATTATATATATCATTTACAGAAATCTTTCAAAGGCAACTACCGTGCTTATATTACAGCTATTTTTCAAGTAGTTCTTGAAGTTATCCCATTCTAGAATGAACTCCTGTCTGGGTTTGTCTCAGATCCTTTTGCAACTGTTTCTTTCATTAACTCCGCAACGTTTGCATTCAGCCACCCTGAGCCACCACTCATGCAACAAACCAAACCAATAAAAATGGGATGTGGGTTTACAGCACGAAGAGGAAGGTGGCTGGGCTGCGGTGCATGTAGCACAACAGCATGAGGCTAATTAGAACACATGTTGAAATATCCTCTGATATGGGAACGAAGGGTTATTTGAACCCCCGGACTTGGCAGTGATTATCGAGGGGTTTTAATAGCCCGTGCCAGTGGAGAGTAAGGATTTCCCCCCAATAACAGACCCAAACACATCTTTTCATTATTATTCAGTGAAATCCAGATCTCTTGTGCCAGTCGGTTTGTCCAGTGCTTTACAGAGAAGACCAGGGTCATACCAGATTTTGAATCTGGCTGATAAATTGATATTTTGTGCAAATGTTTTGCAATTTTCAGTTCCCCTGCCATAAGAAAGGACTTTTAAAAAAAATAAATTAAAAATAGTGTATTCATGAGAGAGAAGGAAGTACGCATATGCTATCTTCTGGCTGTTGTGGTTTAGAGCATTGTTTCAACTCTCATGCTATGCTAGGGAGGGTTTACCCTAAAGACTTTCCTGCTCTCCTCAAACTCTCTCATATGCATGCAGAGTTACTTAGAAAGAATATAGTCACTAGAATAAGTTATGCTTGATCCTTAATGCTGTTAGCTCAACATTTCTTTGCAAGGCAGATTGTATATTTATAGCCCAGGGTGATAGGACTGAAGTCTCATCACAGTGAGCTAACCGTTAGGTTAGGAAATGCCTGGTCTCTTCATAGACTGAAACCTCTCTGTGCTTTTGAATGAGATGCTCATTTGGCCAATGGGGCATTCCTGAAAAACAAGAGGGATTTTGCCCACCCCAACACCCCATTTGCTGAGGATTTATGGACAGAAGGAAGACCACAGCAGTGTTTGCAAGAGTCCCATAAAGAATGCTGAGTCCAGAGAGAAAATAAATACTGCTCACACTTTAGGGAGGAAAATGAACAAAAGCAGTGTATGAGGAAAAATAAACAGAGAGGCTTTTTTCTTTCTTATTTCAGGCCTTCTACATAGCAGGGAGACATTGAATCAAACATGCAGAGGAAAACTACCTCCAAACTAGACGGCCAATCAGGGTGTGTATTGTCTCAGCAAACATCATGCCACTGGGTCTGGTTGCTAAGCAACATTTCCACCTGTACCCTTCTTGGCTAGTTGACTTTAACACTAACCCTTTAGTTACAGATGGAATGATCTCTGCTGTTGCCACTTCCAACAAGCAGAAGTCAAGCATTAGCAGCTGGATCCTGGAGACTGGTGTGTGTGTGTGTGTTTCTTCTTTGAGTAAATGTAAAGTTGGCCGCAAACCAGGGAACATAGTCTGTCTGGCTCGGACAGATGCCAGCTGACAACTGTCATGTTTCTGCATGATGCTGGAGCCTGAAATAAAACTTAGGACCCTCCCTGACTCCTAGGCTTCATCGACTTTACTCTCCTTTCCAAGATCAGTATGCAATTCCCTTGCAGATCAGCCCCACCTCACCTCTGACTGCTAGATCCCACTTCCTGAACTGTCAGTCACCTTGTCTCCTCCAAAGAGAGACACTGAAGCTAAACAGTTTACATGACGACCTCGGACTCTGTCTTCTCTTTCCCAGAAGACTTTACTGGCTCACAACAGAACTATCATTACAAAGAGGGACGCAGCTTAGAGGAAGGCGCTGCAAAGGGGGTGCAGCTTTGCAGGAAATGGGAAGGTTTCCAGGACTGTTATTTTTAGCTGCAGCACTAAACGGAACTGTGGAAAGAGATCTGACAAACCCCCTCACACAAACATGAGTGTTTTAGGAGCGAGGAAGCTAGACAAAGAGGGGCCAGGGTCGTGGTGGAGGGACGTAAGCCCTGGAATTCAACAGGGGACCGGTTGCAGCAGTTGAACTTCTGCCTCTATTCCAGGGAGAGAAAAGTTTGCAAACCTACTGGGGTCAAACTGAATGACCTGACTTGGATCAAGGCAGCTTCCTACCTTCCTATGATATTCTCTGGAGGGAGGTGGAAATCTCCAGCAGTTTGTGGGTGGGCAGGGGGAAAAGAAAATCCCTGGAAAAGTCCCTTCTGGGAAATTTTGGCTCGAATGAAATGTTAGTTCGCCTTGGTGCACGAAGGAAGCAGTGGGCTGAGGGAGAACGGAAAGATGCAAAGGTCACAGCTATTGCTGTCTTCAGCAGGTGATCAAACCGCACTTTGTGGGGAGCCTGAGAAAAAAAGAACTAGTAACAACAGCTTGCCACTAAGTAGGCTTCTAAGTGGTTTGTAAAATACCAAAGCCAATCACACAACCTTTAAAACATGTTGCAGGAACCCCCCCCCCAATCATTCAATTTGTACAAACACGACACACACACACACACACACACACACACACACACACACACACACAACGTATGCGATGCTTCTGTTATAAATTCATAAAAAATCAGCCATACATCGGATCTGTACCGTTCCACTTTTATTTTACACCATGAAGGAAGAGCTATCAAAGGGGGGAGACTTGACACAAGGCAGCCATAATCCCCAAGCATATCGACACATCTGCAGCAAGCCCTAGCCAGTTGGCATGCCAACCTTGATGGTCCTAGACAGAAGATCATTACACTCACAAAGGACCTGCATATGGAAGTGGATTCAGTACGGACTAAAACAAAGGACAGTGATCAGCCCTTCCCTCTGGGGGCAGGAAACAGTGAACTCCTCTTTGTCCTCAGGAATGTAATCATGGGGAGGGGGAAAGGAGGAACCGGACAGGTGACAAGACACTCAGGTTACCACCACAACTCCTCCCTGAACCCCTCCTCCTTGTGATGTGTCAATGATGTAGTCATGATGTAGTTATGATGTAGTCTTAGGGGTGTAGCATGGGGGATTAGTAGCTAATAAAAGTTGGGTCTTCTTTTGTTCAGGGCTTCCATCTTGTTCCACCTTGTGTTTCTATTTTGTATTTTTCTTTTTTCTTTTTCATTTTCACTGTAATATTTCAAAAAACCTTAATAAATATCTTATAAAAAATATATATATGTAACCTTTGCTTAGTACTTGTGTTAACCAATCAGCAACAAGTTGCTTTGTGTTTGTGTCAACCAATCAGCAACGAGCGCACCTGTGGCAATGTTGTAATATTCAATAAAAGAGTCTCCTCGGGGTTTGCTCGAGAGATGCCTCTCACATGACACCTGCTACTCGTCTGTCATTATTTCAACCCAACACTCCCCAGGGAACTTCGCCTGGCGCCTTCATTATACACCTTTAGGTGCCGGGCAAAAACGTTCCTTTTTAACCAGGCCTTTGGCTGACCTGATTGACATCCTATACCCTTTTAAAATGTAGCTCTTTTTTGGAGGGGTGTTATTGGGTTATAGTTCTTACTTTGATTTTATATATTGTGATATTTTCTGTGAACTGCCCTGAGACCTCCGGGTATAGGGCAGTATATAAATTCAATAAATAAAATAAAATAAAATAAAAATATATGCTGGAAGCTGCCTAGAGTGGCTGGGGCAACCCTGTAAAATGTGTGGGGTATAAATAATAAAATTATCATTATGGAATGGAACGTCCCTATTTTCATCGGAGAAATGTTGGAGGGTATGCAACCCATTCGGCATACATGCCTAGCAACTTGCCCTCCCTTCTTTTGTCTGTACACAAATGTCCCCCCCTCCCCCAGCTTAAATAGGGACTATTACTGTTCTTTTGCTTAAAGTGTAGCTGTGAACCTGCTTTAAAGGTGGGAATGGTTTGCTTGCGTAGATTGGGCCGCATGCTGAACTTACGAGTGTTTTTGCTTCAGGGGTAAAACTCCCTCCCCACTGGGATAGACGCAGGATAATTCCACAGGGAACCCTTAGGGAACGTGCAATTTGGAATGAAGGCACAGAAAACAATGGGAGATTACTGTGATGCAGGCCTGTGGTCTCATCCCTCCCAGGTGGTGAGGAGGGGCCTCTGTCAGGCTTCGATGCAAAGACAGGTTGGAAAACCATTATCTGCATCCCTGTGCACGGTAAACATCAGAGCAGAGGACAGCAGAGATAAATAAAGCATCCACCATACAATGGGCTTTGTCAGGAGACAGAAACATCCTGTCTTGTTTTCCCCTCAGCAATCCTGGTTATTGTCCCATCTCTGAAACCACACCCAGATATGTAAGGGGACAATGTAATATGGTCCTGGGTGACGCAAGGAAAAACATGTGGCCTTGTAAATAAGCTTGGCACTGGCTGTTTAGATGTGGAAGTGAGAGGCCTTGTCTTCCAAGCTCCAAATCTCTGGGCCCCTTTTCTCCTCAAAACTCTTGAGGCACTTAATTATTAAGAACATAAGAAGAACCTGCTGGTCAGGCCTGTGGCCCATCTAGTCCAGCATCATGTTCTCACAGTGGCCAACCAGATGCTTATGGGAAACCTGAAAGCAACAACCAAATACAACAGCTCTCTCCCCTCCTGCAATTTCCACCCAATGTTCAGTGATACTCTACAAAGGGTCTTTGCACTCCAGCTTCCAGATTCTACACTGGTTTTCACACAGAAAACCCTGAAACCGTACAGTTAGTTCTACCTAGGACAACCTTCCCAGCCTGGTGATGACCTCTCAACGTTCTGGACTACAACTCCCATCATACCTGACCATTGGCCATACTGGCTGGGGCAGGTTGGGGAAGACTGACATAGGAGGGTTGAAGCAGTTCCAAGCAGACACACCATGTCTTCCAGGAGGCATGGTTGAGCTTGAGGACAGAGCATGAAAGTGCTGCAGAAATCTCATAGCCATAATATAGTTGGGCATTTCATACTCTCCTGAGTGTTGCAGAATTCCAGGCTTACCACAACAGACCCAGAGTTGGTTTCCTTTGGAACAGGGAGCACTGGGGACCTTTCACTTTGTGTGCAAATATATCAGCAGAACACCAGTGTTGGCCTGTGCTCCTTTACCTTAGTGAACCATTGTTTCTGAAGCAAGAAGCATACTTCATTTGTTTTTATACGTGTCACAACAGGCATCAACTCAGCAGAGGTGTCTCCTCCTATGTGAAAGAAAAGGAGGTAATGCCTTGTGTACATCTAAACCATAGGGGATCACCAACAGAGAATCCCTTAAATGTCTTTAGCTAATGGGGCCTCTCGCTGCCACTGCACCACTGGAGCACGATTTCTGTTCTCATCCTGAAGCAAAGTTCTTAACCCAAGGTACTATTTCTGAGTTAGCAGAGTCTGTAACCTGAAGCGTCTGTAACCCAAGGTACCGCTGTAGAGACATCTGGAGGGTATGTAATCTTCAAGTGTCACAATTTTCCTGGACAGCCCTGGAATTCCAAAAGCCCTTACAGCTTCTGGGTTGATTCGGGGCGCCCTATTTCTCCTGGCCAGCTGACAGGGACCGCAGAAGCAGTTGGTGCGGGGGGGGGGGGGGAGGTCAGCAGCATTGGGAGAGAGGCATGAGGGCTCCTTCCCAAAGCCTAGTTAGCGCTTTCTAGGCTAGGTGTCTAAGCAAATTAAGATTGCAGCTGTCTGGGTGCCTGCATGTCCCACCAGCACTGCATTTTACAGCATGTTCAAAGTATAGCAGTGGCGTAGCGTGGGTTGTCAGCACCCGGGGCAAGGCAAGTAATTTGCGCCCCCTAACTGAGAGAGAGTGAGTGAGCCAGGTAGGGGCAGAGAGCTGCGAGTGCGAGCGCCCCCCAGCTGTTGCGCCCGGTGCGGCCGGCCCCCCCTGCACCCCCCACGCTACGCCACTGAAGTATAGGCAAAGTCTTTTTGTTTTTACAAAATTAAAACTTTAAAGTTTAAAAGCGGGGGAGAGGTAGGGGGATCTGGGCCGCAGCACACACCCGTCCCAGTGCTTGTCCACCTGGGCCACCCCTAACAATGGCATTGTTCCACATGACGCCATGCTGACCTTTCTCGTAAGTTCTTCCATCATGTACTTGCCATCACAGGCTGACTAGGTGGGGCACTGTCTCGAAGGAAGAGGAGGGGTGGCAAGGGCTGGGATGGGCAGCGGCCGGGGAAGAAGCGAACAGCTTTTCTGAAAAGGAACTCAAACGCCAAACCCTGTCTTTCCTGCTCTCCTCCTCTTCATGTCCCCAAGTCCCCCTGCTTTCCTGAGATGGTGGATCCTTGCGGAGATAAGGAGTTGTCTCTTGTAAACATAATAAGCAAAATGCCCATCACGGTGATGGATGGAGGCAGAGAACAGGACTGTAGATTGCAACTGCAAGGACCTGTTGCATCTCATCCCCCATGGGGTGGGTGCGGTGGTCTACTGGCTGTGAGGGACAGTGGAATAGTGGTCTAGGGTCTTGTGGGGGAGGGGAGTCAATGTTTTTGTTTAGCCCACCTGGGTAATGTAGAATATTAATAGAATCACTGAATTGTAGAGTTGGAAGGGATTCTAAGGGCTATCTGGTCAAGCTCCCTTGAATGCAAGAATGCTGATGTGTTTTAATCTGGTCTTAGCTGATACAGCGGTACCTCGGGTTAAGAACTTAATTCGTTCTGGAGGTCTGTTCTTAACCTGAAACTGTTCTTAACCTGAGGTAAAAGGAAAAGGTAAAGGGACCCTTGACCATTAGATCCAGTCGTGACCACTTTAAAAAATATGGTCTGAAGCTCAACATCAAAAAAAACGAAGATCATGGCCACTGGGCCCATCACCTCCTGGCAAATAGCAGGGGAAGAAATGGAGGCAGTGAGAGATTTTACTTTCTTGCGCTCCATGATCACTGCAGATGGAGACAGCAGTCACGAAATTAAAAGACGCCTGCTCCTTGGGAGAAAGGCGATGACAAACCTAGACAGCATCTTAAAAAGCAGAGACATCACCTTGCCAACAAAGGTCTGTATAGCTAAAGCTATAGTTTTCCCAGTATGGAAGTGTATGTATGGAAGTGAGAGCTGGATCATAAAGAAGGCTGATCGCCGAAGAATGGATGCTTTTGAATTATGGTGCTGGAGGAGACTCTTGAGAGTCTCATGGACTGCAAGAAGATCAAACGTATCCATTCTGAAGGAAATCAGCCCTGAGTGCTCACTGGAAGGACAGATCCTGAAGCTGAGGCTCCAATACTTTGGCCACCTCATGAGAAGAGAAGACTCCTGGAAAAGACCCTGATGTTGGGAAAGATGGAGGGCACAAGGAGAAGGGGACAACAGAGGATGAGATGGTTGGACAGTGTTCTCGAAGCTACCAGCATGAGTTTGACCAAACTGCGGGAGGCAGTGGAAGACAAAAGTGCCTGGCGTGCTCTGGTCCATGGGGTCAAGAAGAGTCGGACACGACTAAACAACTAAACAACAACAACAACACCACTTTAGCTAATGGGGCCTCCAGCTGCTGCTGCTGCGGCGCTGTCACACGATTTCTGTTCTCATCCTGAAGCAAAGTTCTTAACCCAAGGTACTATTTCTGGGTTAGTGGAGTCTGTAACCTGAAGCGTCTGTAACCCGAGGTACCACTGTAGTTGATTCCATTTTTTTAAAAAAATGTTTTCAATTGCTGTTTTGGACTGCTTTTACTGACACTTTCATTTTCCTGGGGTTTTTTTTGTAAATTGCTTTGAGGTGTGTTTTTTTAAAAAACAATTAAGTGGTAAATAAGTTTAAATAAACCGGTAAATGAAATCTCAGACACTGGAATCGGGTTTGAAGGAAGCATTCACCAGCCTAATCACAGCATGGGGTTAATTTTGGTGTGCTGGGGAGAGTCACAATAGTTGCTCTACTTTGCAAATGAGCCAAAGGGGCCATGAAGGCTCGTGATCCCTGAAGCAATGCAGGAAAAATCACTCAAAAAGGCACAATTCACCAACATAAAATATACTTTGAAACCCCTGGCAGGAACAAGAACTCCCCCATTCAACATAAACTTGCAATACCACATTCAACTCAGAGTCAGGTTGTATTTTTATATATTCATTGTGTCCAGGAAAGGGAAGGGGCTATCCTTTGTTTTATGAGCTGTTCTGCAGGATTAGATATTGGCCCAAGTCAGCTGAGATTGTTGTTGCTTGTTTTACGTGTCTGTATATATATAATGGGGGAAAGGAAATATTTAGATTTACTAGTCTGTCGCGTTATTCAGTTGCATAGGAACCTGGCCAAGGGTTTTGTAACTGTAAATTATCTATTTCCTCTCTACCTCGAACCCCCCAAGCTTTATATTCCTATATAAACAATAGTATCAGTGCCCCATGAGATCGAACCCCACACTCTCTGCCAGGTGAGAGGGAAGGAGACTCTGCGTCTCTCTCCCACCAACACTTTATGTTTAATTAGTGTTTTAAAATTACACAGTACATAGTTAACCTGTGGAACTCACTCCCACAGGAGGCGGTGATGGGCATGAACTGGGATGGCTTTAAAAGAGGATCAGACTTTAACATTTGTTAAAAAACCTGAGGCATTTTTGTTGGGGATTGTAGGGAAAGACCTGCCAAAAAAGTTGAAAAACATCTTCATGTATGCGACATCGGCCGTGAGAGTTCTGGTAGCACAAGGATGGAAGACTGAAGAAACCCCAAATAAAGAATCATGGCAAGAAAAATTGATGGACTATACAGAACCGGCAAAACTGACATATAAGCTATGGGAGAAGGATAACTGTAACTTTAAGGATGAATGGGAACCCTTTACAAAGTATCTGACGACGCAACAAAGCGAACTGGACTCCTTGGCAGGTTTTGAATAAACATTCACAAACCTTTTATTGATAATAATCAGCTAAATCGTTTGAGGACCTATACAATTTTGTAACATGCAGAAAACAGCATTCTTAGAGAAACCAAAGACTGGAACTGAGGGAAGTCGGAGGGTGGGGTGGGTGGGTTTTGTGTGGGAGGGCGGGAGGGAGGAAAAATGGGTGGGGGGAACAAGGATGATATGTTTTTTAACAGAAATGTTAAAAAGAATTATGAAAGAATATGTTATGGTTAAAAGAATTTGGTATATATAAGTTTTAAGTTTAAAGTTTTAAGTTTTAGGGCTTTTTAGGTAAGATAAGGTTAAAATAGATTAAGGTAATTTAAATGACAGAATATTGTGAAAGATGGAAAGGATTTGCTGAGATAATTAACAACTAGAATACAAAAAGGGAGGTGTGAGGAGGTCGTTGAAATAAGTTAATGAAAGTTAAGGATTTGGGAATATTAGACTTGTTTGTTAATTGTTTGTTTATTTTTGTTTTTTGATTTAGATGTATTGTGGTTTTTTTTTTAACTTTGGTTTTTATTGATCTGTATTGTTTAATTGTTATGTTTATCTACTTCTTTCTCTCTTTTTCTCCTTCTCTTGTCTTTTCTTTCTTCTTTCTTTGTAACTTTAAAATTCTCAATAAACATCATTTTTTTTTAAAAAAAGATATGTATTTGGATAATATGTCTTGTAATTTTGAATATTTTTTTAAAAAATAAAAAATAAAAGAAGATCAGACAAGTTTGTGGATGTGCTCTGCCTCCACAGTTGGAGGTGGTAAATGCTTCTGAATATGAGTTGTTGGAAGCTGCAGGACGGGGAAAGAGCTCGTGTTTGGAGATTTCCCACAGGCTTCTGGTTGGCTGCATTGAAAACAGGGTGCTGGGCTGGATGGACCAATGGCCTGATCCAGGGCGGGCTGGGTGGGTGATCTCCATAGCGGGTGGCTCTTGAGGAGCAGCACCCCACAGGCTCAAATCCTCTGGCTGCTGCTACAGAGTGCTGCTCCTCAAGAGTATTCCGTGTATGGCAGGGTCTTGTGATGCAGTGCTTCTTCACCTGATCAGAGCCCCTCTGGTCTCCATCAGGTAAAAGGCTGTATGTTTAACTAGGGTTTAAAAAGCTCTCATTAAACATTAGTCCTTCACCCAACTTGTTTCAGGGATGGATCTGGGGCTGGGCAGGTGTTCCCTGGGGCAACCCGGATTGGGTGCCTGGATTGGGGCCTTGGGATGGATCAAGGTGTGTGTGTGTGAGCTCACATCCCTACTAGGACTTGTCACACCTACTGTATTATTGAATGAGTTTTTAAATGAATCTTGTATTGTACATTTGGTTTTGTTTTTTTTAAATTGGCTTTTAATTGATTTTATCTGTCTGCATTTTGTTATTAAGTTGCATCGACACTATTTATTTTTATAAAGCAACTAACAAATGTAACACTTCGCTAGCTAAATAGCAAGTGTGGAGTGCAATAAAATGTTGCAGTGCGTTGTGCTGCTGTTGAGAGTTCCAGCTAGGCCAGACAGCTCAAGTTTCCTTTGAGTTTATCCCATTTCGTTCTGCCACCCCTAATTCTGCCACCCTCTAGGAAACACTCAGCATTCTGTGGCAATTCCTCTCTCTCTCTCTCTCTCTCTCTCTCTCTCTCCTCCAAATCTTGGAGTTCTGCCACTTTAGCATGCTGGTGCTACCCTCTTGCATCTTAATGGTACTGTTTTGACTAGGTAGCCATCGTAGCTGAGCACCTGAGTTTGCTGAAATATAGGCAAATGCACATTCGGAAATGCATATCCACATGCCTGCACAAGCGTGCATGTACACAAATCTTCCTATTTTCTTTCTCCCCTCCCACCCTGACTTCCTGCTCCAGCCCTTTCCCTCCCTTCCCCCACTGATGCCACAGGGGCACACAGCAGGGAGGAGAAAGAAAAAGGTGGGAGGGAGAGGGAGGGAGGGTGGTGGGTGGGCGAAAAAGCCTTATAAATAGCCCAGGACCCAGGAGTCCCTGTTCCAAACTGTTGGTGCTGAAAGGCAAAGGAGCCCAATTCCTATCCCCACCTTTTAAAGATGGAACCAGGGAGATTCCTCATTTTCATGTTTGCAGCAGGTAAGATGAATGAATGAATGAAAGGGCTCTGTTCCATGAAGGGAGTTTGTGGGTGTCTAGACTGCACCCCCACAGTCCCTTAGTATTAGCTCTTTGGCTATTTTGTTCCTTCCTCTTTATGACTTTTTCTTTAAGGGAGCAAGTGAGACCTGCAACAAAATATTAAAGTGCGATGTGCCCCTCTTCAAGGTCCTAGCCAGTCTGGCATACCCTCTCCCAGAATACTGCATCCCATTATCCTTCCTCCAATTTTCCTCAGTGCTTTGTGGCCACTGACCACGCATGGTCCTAATCAGATGTCTCTTGCCTATCTATGGTATATCTCCTAACCCTCCAACCCCCTCCCTGCCCCAGTTGTACTTCTGCAAACTTTGGGGGCTCTCTGAAGCCCAGCAATGCTTCCTTCTTGCATGGGGATATTGTGGGCTGCCTGGGCATTTGGGCTACAAAAGGACAGAGGAGGAGTTCGTGATGGGCTGAAGTGCCCCTAGATCAGAAGGCTTCTGCAAGTAATCTCAAACCTAGAAAATATTGGAATGTACCAAGCCAGCCAGTTTGTCCATCTCACCCAGCAATATCTGCTCTTTCCCCTTTACTTGCTTTCCCCTTTACTTGCTTTCCCTATCCTGTTAACTGGCTCAAACTTGCAAGCAAATGTTTTGCTTAGTTTTCCTAATGGCAAATTATTGCTGCTGCTGTTTTCTAAATGCCTAACAGGATAGTTTTGAATGAGTCAACACCTATTTTGGGTTCTAGTCCATGCTAGTCCTATTCAGGGTAAAAGGGACCCATGACCATTAGGTCTAGTCGTGACCGACTCTGGAGTTGTGGTGCTCATCTCGCTTTATTGGCCGAGGGAGCCGGCATACAGCTTCTGGGTCATGTGGCCAGCATGACTAAGCCGCTTCTGGCGAACCAGAGCCGTTTACCTTCCTGCCGGAGCGGTACCTATTTATCTACTTGCACTTTGACGTGCTTTCGAACTGCTAGGTTGGCAGGAGCAGGGACCGAGCAACGGGAGCTCACCCTGTTGCGGGGATTCGAACCGCCAACCTTCTGATCGGCAAGTCCTAGGCTTTGTGGTTTAACCCACAGCGCCACCCGTGTCGAAAACCACGACTATGATAAGGGGCATGATACTGTTTTGATTGTATAGTGCAGTTGGAACCACTGAAATCAATAGCCATGACTTAGGTTCCAACTGCACTATACAATCAAAACAGTATCATGCCCCTTATCATAGTCATGGTTTCCCCCAGCTCCAGATTCCTGGAAAGCACACTTGGTTGAGGGTTGTTAAGAGACCCCCCCCAAACTACAATTCCCAGAAGTCCCTGGGAAGAGGGATTGATAAACCACTCTGGAAAATGTAACTCCAGGGGTGGGGTGGGGGATTAGGAGCCTTTCCTAACAACTCAGCACCTTAACAAACAACAGCTCCTAGAATTCTTTGGGGGAATGTTTATAGTGGTATCATAATGCTTTTAATGTATGGTGTGAGTGGGGTCAAAGAAAGCACACTTTCTCCCCTTTTTGAGTGATTTCCCCCATATTTACATTTAGCTGACTCACCAGTGTAGCGACTGAAATTTAGATAATCAACCCATTAATTTTACTTTTAAAGGTAAAGTTAAAGGTAAAGGGACCCCTGACCAGTAGGTCCATTCGTGACTGACTCTGGGGTTGCGGCGCTCATCTTGCTTTATTGGCTGAGGGAGCCAGCGTACAGCTTCCGGTTCATGTGGCCAGCATGACTAAGCTGCACACGGAAACACCATTTACCTTCCTGCCAGAGTGGTACCTATTTATCTACTTGCACTTTGACGTGCTTTCGAACTGCTAGGTTGGCAGGAGCAGGGACCGAGCAACGGGAGCTCACCTCGTCGTGGGGATTCGAACCGCCGACCTTCTGATCAGCAAGTCCTAGGCTCTGTGGTTTAACCCACAGTGCTACCCGTGTCCCCAATTTTACTGTTGTTTTTGTTGTTGTTGCCCTATGCAATTATAAAGTTGCACCCTGGCGTCACTGTGAGGTTGCTGAGGATCATGAGGGGATGCCTCTTGACTAATCTGCTGCTTAAGTGGTGCCCTGAACACTATTGCCACAGGCTGTGGCTGCTTGGAATGCTTGCTTGTGCTGGTTGGCCAGCCCTGACTAGATGCTCTGAGCTAAAAGGACTTTGCCTTGTGATTGGACCAAACAATGTGCTTCTTTCCTCTTCCTAGGGGCTGTTCACTCCGCCAAGACGTCTCTGGAGATCATTCCCGGCAATGGGGACGTGCAGCTGGGCGAGAAAGCGTATTTCTTGTGCAAAGGTGAAAGCGGATAATGGAGAGTGTGTGCATGAATATGCATCAAAGCAGTAGCTAGCACAGTATTCTGGGCTCTTGCAGGATGATCTGAGTGGCAGAGCACCTGCTTGCATGCAGAAGGCTCCAGGTTCAAAACCCCAGCATCTCTTCCCTGTCTGAAACCTGAGAGATTTGCTGCTGCCAGTCAATACAGACCAGCAGTGGGGAACTGGTTGATTCCCCTTACCCAGACTGTCTGGGATAGCTCAGCCGGTAGAGCATGAGAATCTTCATCTCAAGGTCATGGGTTCGAGCCCCCCCCCGGTTGCTTTTTAAAATTGTATTTATGCTTTTCAGGTTTATACTTTTCACTAGTTTTACAATCATTTTAACATTTCAGAACTTGACTTCCTTTCCTCTCTTTCTGCTGTTCCTTAAATTTATTTTTAATATCTTCTTCAAATTAACTTAATTTGCTCATTTAGTCATCTACTTTAAATATATACTCTTATATAAAACTGCAGGTTATTACAATAATACTGCCAAGGTTCTTATCTGTTTACAATTTATCTGTAAATATTCAATAGAACATTTCCATTCTTTTATAAAAAAATGTTTGTTATCTTCTGGTAATTTTGATTTATGAGGTGGGCCTGTTTACTACTTTAGTGGTAGACAGTAGTTTTAATTGGGACGTTTATTTAGCATGGGTCCCACTATTTTGGTCCTTTCGTACTAAAAATAGTGCTGCATAGATAGAAACCGACCTGGATTTCTCCGGTCTGAACTCAGATCACGTAGGACTTTAATCGTTGAACAAACAAACCTTTAATAGCGGTTTCGCCATTTCTGTATATTCTGTAAGTTTTTGTATCCATTCTTCCTTTGCTGGGACTTCTGCTTCTTTCCATTTTGGGGCAAGTAACATTCTTGCCGCTGTAGTAGCACACAAGTTTCTATACAGTTTAGGTAGTTCTGTCCCCTATACTGGTAATTCCCAGCACATTGGGCAAAAGATTCCTGCATTTGAAGGGGTTGGGCTAGATGACCCCCCCGGGTTCCCTTCCAACTCTACAATTCTATGATTCTAAAAATATTGTTAGGGGAATTTGCTTATCCAGCCTGCACTAAGGAGGTGTGTCAAGGACGTTTGTGCAGGAAAAGCTCAGCCTTGACCCAGCCTGATAAGAGTGAGCATCCTCTTCTTCCAGCTGGATCAGGCATCCAACTGTGATGGCGCAGGGTGACTTTCCCTCCGTGAACAGGACTTGGGGCACATCCACAGTCCTGTTTGCCCCGTGATTATCATAGAATTGTAGAGTTGGAAGGGGAAGGAGAGGTTCTTTTTTCTTGTCCCCGGCAAAACCGGCTGCATACTGCTCAATGAGGTTTGTGGCAGAAGATCAGCATTTGTTTCATTTCAGTGGTAAACAGCAGGTTTTTCCAGGGAAAACAGTGGGACAAAAAACATGAACCTCTTGGACCCATGCCTAGGAATCACGGGACAAATGGAAGGAATAGCAGGAAAAACAGAAGTGTGGGTGAGCCCTTAATTTCTATGCATGTGTAAAGCTAAGGTGAGAGAATGCCTCTGTATATAACTGTGTAATCTATAGGCCTGTGGGACTCACCGTGGAGGCTTCTCCAATGCCTTTGCCAAATAAACTTGCACCAGTTCTCACCAGAGTGGTGCATGCTCTAGTATCTCTCGCCTGGACTACTGCAATGCGCTCTATGTGGGGCTACCTTTGAAGGTGACCCGGAAACTACAACTAATTCAGAATGCGGCAGCTAGACTGGTGACTGGGAGCGGCCGCTGAGACCACATAACACCGGTCTTGAAAGACCTACACTGGCTCCCAGTACGTTTCTGAGCACAATTCAAAGTGTCGGTGCTGACCTTTAAAGCCCTAAACGGCCTCGGTCCAGTATACCTGAAGGAGCGTCTCTACCCCCATCGTTCTGCCTGGACACTGAGGTCCAGAGCCGAGAGCCTTCTGGCAGTTCCCTTGCTGCAAGAAGCAAAGCAACAGGGAACCAGGCAGAGGGCCTTCTCGGTAGTGGTGCCCTCCCTGTGGAATGCCCTCCCCCCAGATGGCAAAGAGAAAAGCAACTACCAAACTTTTAGAAGACATCTGAAGGTAGCCCTGTTTAGGGAAGCTTTTATTGTATTTTAATATTTTGTTGGAAGCCACCCAGAGTGGCTGGGGAAACCCAGCCAGATGGGCCAGGTATAAATATTATTATTATTATTATTATTATTATTATTAGTGGACTCTAGTTCCCATTATCCACAGCCAGCATGGCCAACAGTCAAGAGATGATGGGCATTGTAGTTCAACAGTATCTGCAAGACCTCAGGCTCCCAATCCCTGAGATAGACAGTGAAGAGTGAGATAAACCAATGATCTGTCTCGGTATAAGGAAGCTTCCTATTGGAAAGATCCACGGCACAGCGACAGAGCACATCTTTTGCAAACAGCATCTCGAGATAGGGCAGGGAAAGCTCACCCCACATCTGAACTGCTGCCAGTCAGTGTAGGCAGCACTGAGCTAAATAGAGCAATGGTCTGACGTGCTCCTTCAGAGGACACACCTGCTTCCCTCCACAGTGGACGTTGCTTGCGTTGCCAGTTTGGCCTCTCTCCCACCCTGCTTCTGGGGGTGTGCGTGGTCTGCCTTTAAAAAACTTGTTTAAAATTATGTTTGCTGCTTATGTATTTAAATAACCACGCGGCATCTGGTTTGTTTGTTTTTTAAAGTCGAATTGTTTGTGGCTTTGGGGAGACAGGAAGAGGGCTCAGAGGTGGGATAGGCTCCCAGCCGCTCGCTGTTCTATCTGCACATTTCCTTTTGTTTAAAATTCACAGAACCTCTTCCTTCCCCACCTGCACTCAAGTTGTGTACACAGCATACATTTAAATCACATTCCCTCCCCCCCGCCCCAAAGAACAATGGGAACTGTTAAGGCAGCTGGGAATTATAGCTCCGTAAGGGGTAATCCAACTTTTTAAGATAGTCTATTTGTGTGTGTACAACTTTTCTATTATACAACTCTCCACTCATTTGATGGAAGGGTTGCCAACTGTCGGGGGGCCTGTGGACATGTTTGCAAAACAGAGAAACTGTTGTAGGCACTTTTTTCTTCTCTCCATCTCTCTCTCTCTCTCTCTCTCTCTCTCTCTCTCTCTCTCTCTCACACACACACACACACACACACACACACACACATTCTGGAGGCAGCAGGGCTTCATTCCTCCTCCTGCTTTCCACCTGCTTCACCTGCATCCAGAGCTCTACACCTTGCTCCAGGTGTGCATGCAGACTCATAAACCTCTCTTCATCTTGAGCCCAGCCCATTCCTTTTCCTTCCTCTGTGCTACCTCCCATCACTGAGCTGTTGGAATGGAGGTTAATTGGCAGAAGTGGGGAGGGAGCGGAGGAGGGCAGAACCTCTCGCAGAGATCTAGGCAATCATTTGCAGCAGGTGCCTGCACAGTCTCTTTATTATTGTTATTTTTAAAAAACCCCTTTTAAGGCAGTCTTACATACCTGGAAATACAAGCCCTCCCTCGGCCACCTGAGTGGAGGCAGGCAAACCTGAAGATTTCAGGTCAGCCCTGAAGGTTTGGCAACCCTCTTAGCAACCCCTGATTTAATGGATAGCCCTATCAATCAGAAGGGACGCGGGTGGCGCTGTGGTCAAAACCACAGAGCCTAGGGCTTGCCGATCTGAAGGTCGGTGGTTCGAATCCCCGTGATGGGGGTGAGCTCCTGTTGCTCAGTCCCTGCTCCTGCCAACCTAGCACTTCAAAAGCACGTCAAAGAGCAAGGAGATAAATAGGTACCGCTCCGGCAGAAAGGTAAACGGCATTTCTGTGCGCTGCTCTGGTTCGCCAGAAGCGGCTTAGTCATGCTGGCCACATGACCATGTGCTGTACGCCATATCCCTCGGCCAATAAAGCGAGATGAGTGCCGCAACCCCAGAGTCGTCCGCGACTGGACCTAATGGTCAGGGGTCCCTTTACCTTTACCTATCAATCAGGTCAGGTTTCTCATCATTCCTCCTTCCCTTGCTACCACCCCACCTGGGTGATCTATTAATTGTGCATTTTAATTCCTCCGCATGTCAGTGAGAGCAGGTGGGGAAGCTACCTTGACCTGGACTGACCCAGAGGATACCGACATCGAGGATTCAGAGCTGTACACATTGCGGCATATCGACGAGCAGTCTAAGGGGCTGGAGATGACTCTTCCTGATCCACAGGCGGGAGGGATCTTCACCTGCAAAGGCGACTTTGAGTCTGGAGACACGGCAACTGCCCAGATCAAAATCCGTGTGGTCCGTAAGTGACATTCTATTGACGTTCCTGCAATTTGCTAGAGCAGGGACCGAGAACCTCAGATCCAGGGAGGAGGGGATGGATGCGGCCTCCCATGCCTCTCTACCTGGCCCTTGGAACCCCCAAGGCCACTCAACCTCAAGAGCTCTCTCCTTACTGAAACGTTCCCTATAATGATGATAATGTCTCTTGGTTGACTGGCTCATCTACATTTGCCCCATTTCTTGCCTCTGGCCTCGCTTGCCGTGTGGCCCCTGGAAACTTGCCCATTAGGGAATGCATCCCTCATATTGGAAAGGGTCCCCCAGTCCTGGTCTAGAGTGACAATAAATTGGGAGTGTTAGGTGAAACTAACGCACCGTAGGTCACGTTTACACCATACGTTTAAAGTGCTACAATACCACTTTGAACAGTTCATGGCTTCCCACAAAGAAATCTGGGAGCTGTAGTTTCTTAAGGGTGCAGAGAACTGTTAAGAGGCCCCATTCCCCCCCACAGAGCTACAGTTCCCATATTTTCATGTGAAGACGGATGAACTGTTAAACCACTCTCTGTCTCCCCCCCATCATATCCTTAAAAACAGCAGGCAATAAGGTCAATGCAAAAGATAAGGTTAGGCTCCCTCTGCCTCCAGGTTTGAACACTGTGTACATAGCTCATCATACCATGATGTCACCAAGTGCAGTCTAGTCCACCTGACCCTGATTTTTTACCCCAAGTTGTGATTTGCCTGTGGAAGGTCCCAGGTCTTCAGTTGGGGCCAGAAATCCCGGAGAAGTACTGCCAGTCAGCTAGATGGCTTGGCTCGGTACAAATCAACTTCCCATGTTCCTATCCATAGAGAGACCGAAGTTTGTGACCACCATGGAGCCCACAAAGGAAGTTGTTGAGGGCACAAGTGTAGCCTTTGATTGTCAAGCCACTGGAATCCCGCCACCGACTGTACGATGGACCTTTGGAAACCAGGAAATCAGTAAGATCGGAGATGGTGAGTAGGATATTCTGTTCAGAGGTGCCCCTAGATAGAAAACCCACTCGCATCTCTGCTATTTTGCTTCTACTGTGCTATTAGAGGACAAGGGGTTAATACAACATCTCTTGACCTCTGCCAAAATTATTATTTGACAAAACTTGGGTGGGGGGAAGAGAATGGATGACTAAAATCTTGACCATTGTATGCAGGGTTAAGCTCACACATATGATTAGAACCAGAGAGAGCATAGACAATGTCTTTATGGAGAAATGAAGTCTCTTTCTAATTTATTTTGAAGCAATAAGGTACAGGATAATGCAAACCCATTTATGTTACTTGGAAATGTGTTATACTGATCTGTCATTGGTTATTTGTTATTGGCTGATCTTGATTTAGGTGCAGATATTTGTCTTGCTCAATGTTCAGTTCTCGACATCCCTTTTGCTTTTGGCATTTGTTATGATATTTTGCTAGTATGTACCTGCAAAACATATATCCCACTATCACCACTGCTAATTTGCTTCTCCTTTCTGGGCAGGAGGACGAGTCTCTGTGCTTGCAAATGGGACGTTGGTGGTAAAGGACTCCCAACCCTCAGATGCTGGTGTCCACACCTGCGAGGCCAGCATTAAAGAGCGGAATGAAACTGTTGTCATGGTCGTCTCCCTCAATATTAAATGTAAGAGATGTTTGGAATCTCTTAGCACAGGGCTGGGAGATAGGAGCCTTGGCCTCTGTTAGGCTGCCAGGGTTGTAAATTTGGTTGTATGTGGAGTGGTTGGACCTAATCAGAGGTAAAGTTTAGGAAGCAAGGAGTGGATGGGTCTTTTGATTTGGAAAGAGAAGGGTAGGGCTGAGAGAGATTCCTGACTGAGGCCTTGGAGAGCTGCTGCCAGTCAGTACAGTGGTACCTCAGGTTACAGACGCTTCAGTTTACAGACTCCGCTAACCCAGAAATAGTACCTCGGGTTAAGAACTTTATCTCAGGATGAGAACAGAAATTGCACGGCGGCAGCGGGAGGCCCCATTAGCTAAAGTGGTACCTCAGGTTAAGAACAGTTTCAGGTTAAGAATGGACCTCCAGAACGAATTAAGTTCTTAACCCGAGGTACCACTGTATAGCTAATACCCACATTCTTTATTACGGTCCAAAGACCCGCAAACAATTTTTCAAAAGAAAAGTACATCAGAAATACAGAAAATATATTACTTGGCAGTCACTATGTTTTACCCAGAGGTAAAATAATGGCAAAAGCTAGCTTCCTATGTAACAAATGTCAATCTGCTTTGCTTTCCCAGTCACTCCAAGGATAGAGCTCCTCACAGGTGACTCATTTGCCACCCCGATTGGGACACCTGCCCAATACAACTTCAGCATCTTGGCTTACCCTCCCCCCTCCGTCTCCATTGCTTGGAAGGGGAAGGTTTTCAAAGGTGATGATATCAAGAAAGTGGCGCAGGACCAAGACAGACATACGTATTCCTTTGAGGTAAGGCTGTTTTGAATTACAACTTGCATATTCCCTGAGCATTGGTCAACAGCCAACTCATTCCCGACAAATTGGTCACTTTCAGTTTCAGTTTCTCTCAGTTCCTCATCCCCACTTCTGCAATCTTAAATTCAGTTCTGCACTTTCCCCTATCAGTTTGCATTTTTTTTTAAAAAAAAAATCTTCATGAAAATTCAGCAGCATTTTAGGGAGCAGTTGTCAGAATATATATGAATTTTGGAGTGCTATTTTGCCTAACATAGTATGGGGTGTGAGGGGAGGGGTAGTTCCTCTGGTGGGGGGGCACATTGTGCTCCTTCTGGGGTAGTTTGTTCACCTTTGGTGAACCTTGCACTCAGCTCTCACTTGTGGCTGCTAGAAGTTGTTGGCATGAAACAACTGCCAAACCTCAGGAAAGGCTTTGACTGGCCAACTAAACCAGGTGCGGGTAGCCAATGAGTCACAAATCCTTGCTGAGTTAAGATGCTTCCTCTGCATGTGAAGACAGGCTCTGGCAGATTGAGCGGACAAGAGCAATAGAGGGTCCAACAATTAAGCAGGCAATTTCTGCATGTGCTGTAGAGGGAAGTGAGGGGCAGATGGGGCTCCTCAACCTGGAAAGATAGCCCATCCAGAAGAAGGAAAACTCTGATCCTAAACCTCCACTGCTTTGTGTATGGCATCTTTGAGAGAAGGAAAGGCTAAGGAGTAAACCCTACACAAATCTGGAGTGGACTCCCTAAGATGGTTTGATGGCATCTTGTACCTTCCAACAACTTCTGCAGCCTGGCTGGTGCCAAAAGTATTGCTCTGCTTTCCTTTGGACCACATCAGCAAGGGCCAGAGTGGGGCCCAGGACCTGCATACACACAGGACTCAGCTACATTAGTAAAGAAACAGCGATTTGACTGCACTATAGACATGCAACAACAGATGGCGCAAGAGAGCAGGAAATTTTAAAACCCCATTTTCCATAGAGATTTATTTTCTTTTGTTATAACAATCTAATTTCTGACTTAATTATAGCCCCCCCCCCCCGTGTCTAGATCCACCCACAGTCCAGGCTTGCATCCTAGGGAGGTCACTTTGGTGCTGCTAACTAGCAGTTTGACTCTCCCCCCCCCGAGGCACACTCCATTGTCTCTTGAGACAGATGGATGCCAACAGTATATTTTTAACATGGTCATTTCTGCAAACATATGCACATCTATGCATGTTCCCCCCTATTATGGAAGTGTATGCTTTTCATTTGGAGGATTGCATCACAAAATTAGCAGAAGTTTCAGCTCTGAGGGAGAGCTATGCTTCAGTTTGTGTCAAAATAGTCCGGCATGAAAACCCCCAAACTCGGTTCCATGGGTGACTCTGAGTCAACTCCTTGGGATAGTTTATTGTTGCACATTGTTTCTAAATTTCTTGTTGCACATTGTTTTAATTGTCTGTTTTAACCATATTTGCACACCAGTTTCTAATGCTGTGAGTGTCCTCTATTTCAGAGGCTTCTACTCTGCAGCCTCTTATAGTTGTTTTAACTGCAAGTCTTTTAGTTCTTACGCTCTTACAGTTGTTTTAACTGCATGTTTTTATTTGTTTTTAGTTTTTATCTGTTTTAATTATCAGTTTTTATCCATCCATTATCCGTGTTTAATCTTGTATTTTATTCAGATGTTTTATCCTATGCTTGTTCCTTTGTCCTTATTTGCTCCAACATTTATCAGTTTAAAAAAATCTTAACTGCTATTTTATTTATATGTGTGTTTTTTTTATCCTGGTCTGTGACCGTAATAAAGTTCATTCATTCATTCATTCATTCAAACTGAACTGGATTTCTCCTCCATCCCTAATGAGGACTGAACATGTTCAGTGGCCATGGAAGACCAACCAATTGTTTCATATGTGTGTGTGTTTGTGTGTGCTGGGATCTAAAACTGGTGGTGGTAGCAAATGGAACATCTTGGAAAGGGATATGACTGACTAGAATGGAATCCTGAACAGGAGCACTCCTCAGTGAAACATTTGTCTCAGGATCCACTTATAAGGACTGACTCATAAGATATAAGCCAGGAAAGCATGTCTGCCATTAATGATTTTTAAATAAATATCTTCATTCAATTCTCTTTTCCAAAATGTGCAACCATAGCAACACCATTAAAAAACAGCAACATTTTTTTTTACATCAGGACACCCACAGATGTGGCTAGATCATTTCATATGCTGGGCTGAGTGAGCTTACAGGGGTCCCCCTTCAAAGGAACCCCAAAATTCCACAAAACACTTCTTGAAAACTCAGTGATGACCTCAAATGGCCTTTTCTGGAAGTTGGGAAGGCTGTGTACTGTGCCTGTTTTTTAAAAAAATGAAAATAAAATGAAAAATTTAATGCAAACTTTAATGGAGATCAGTGAAAGGAGTTTTTTTTTAAAAAAGAAAGGTAAAAGGAAGAACTTCATTCAAAAACAAAATAAGTGAGCCCACCAATTGCAGGTGCATGGTAGCCAGCGTTCTCAGTTTCCTATGCTGATATATTATGCTAACTGCGTCTTCATACACTGCCTTTCAGGCAAGAAGGCCCCCAAGACAGCTCACAAAACATACAGGCAAATAAAGGTACAGGTAAAGGTACCCCTGCCCGTACGGGCCAGTCTTGCCAGACTCTAGGGTTGTGCGCTCATCTCACTCTATAGGCCGGGAGGCAGCGCTGTCCGCAGACACTTCCGGGTCACGTGGCCAGCGTGACAAGCTGCATCTGGCGAGCCAGCGCAGCACACGGAATGCCGTTTACCTTCCTGCTGGTAAGCGGTCCCTATTTATCTACTTGCACCCGGAGGTGCTTTCGTACTGCTAGGTTGGCAGGCGCTGGGACCGAACGATGGGAGCGCACCCCACCGTGGGGATTTGAACCGCCGACCATGCGATCGGCAAGTCCTAGGCGCTGAGGTTTTACCCACAGCGCCACCCGCATCCCTATACAGGCAAATACAATAATGTAAAAACAAACACTACAGATCATACCAATTCAAGACATTTCAAAAGTATTAAAAACCAAACACATCCAAAAGGCAAAGAACATTCCCTGTAAAAATCCAAAGAGAAGGCAAGAATACTTAAGCAGTGCCTTCACCTTACAAGGACCCAGACAGGGAACGTGGGGCAAGGCGGATGGACAAATTGCCTTGGTGGTTCTAGCAGCTTAACTTTTCCCTTGAGGCATTTGCGGATAAGGAAGTGTTGGCAGCTAGGGAGGCTGCAGAGCATTTGAAGAACATTTAATGAAAGATCTCTCTCTCTCCCTCTCTCTCTCTCTCCCTCTCTCCTACACGCACCCACCCACCCACCCACCCACCAGTTGTTCACTTCACAATGAAAGGGTAAACTCAACCCCACAAGAGTTGGGTGAGGGGCTACTCCATGAAATCACCCCTCCTTGAATTGTTGGGTTAAGTTCATGAATTTTAGACTGGATCACTGTTTCTGCTCAGCCCTAGTAAGCAAGCAATATGATGCCACCAATGGTTGCTGAGGACACCTGCAGTGTAAGCCACTCTTCTCTGCAACCTGGTGCCCTCCAGATGTTTCAGATTATAACCCCATGGTCAGGAATGCTGGGAGTTGTAGTCTAGCAGCATGTGGAGGGCACTAGGCTCGAGGAGGCAGGTGCAAGTTTTGGAAAAAGAAAACCTCATAAGTGTTCCTTCACTTGCCATAGCAGAATACTATCCCACTTCACATTTTGATGCATCTTAAATTCTCCTTTTTAATTTTGGTTCTAGTTCACGCCAGCATCACAAGAGGATCTCTCAGAACTACTAATAACAGCTGCCAATGATCAGGGTAGCAGCAAGAAGAAGGTTACTCTTCAAGGAGGTGAGTTGCAAACAATTGGCTTAAAGTCAGAATGTTGACACTAACCTGGAGAAGAGAAGACTGAGAGGTGATATTAGATTCAGGTAGGTAGCCATGTTGGTCTGACGCAGTCAAAATAAATAAAAAAATTAAAAAATTGTCCAGTTGCACCTTAAAGACCAACTAAGTTTGTTCTGGGTATAAACTTTTGTATGTATGCACACTTCTTCAGATACACTGAAACAGAAGTCACCAGACCCTTGTTGTTGTTGTTTAGTTGTTTAGTCGTGTCTGACTCTTCATGACCCCATGGACCAGAGCACGCCAGGTACTCCTGTCTTCTACTGCCTCCCGCAGTTTGGTCAAACTCATGTTGGTATCTTCGAGAACACTGTCCAACCATTTCGTCCTCTGTCGTCCCCTTCTCCTTGTGCCCTCAATCTTTCCCAACATCAGGGTCGTTTCCAGGGAGTCTTCTCTTCTCATGAGGTGGCCAAAGTATTGGAGCCTCAGCTTCAGGATCTGTCCTTCCAGTGAGCACTCAGAGCTGATTTCCTTAAGAATGGATAGGTCTGATCTTCTTGCAGTTCATGGGACTCTCAAGAGTCTCCTCCAGCACCATAATTCAAAAGCATCAATTCTGCACCTATCAGCCTTCTTTATGGTCCAGCTCTCACTTCCATACATCACTACTAGGAAAACGATAGCTTTAACTATACAGACCTTTGTCGGCAAGGTGATGTCTCTGCTTTTTAAGATGCTGTCTAGGTTTGTCATTGCTTTTCTCCCAAGAAGCAGGCGTCTTTTAATTTTGTGACTGCTGTCACCATCTGCAGTGATCATGGAGCCCAAGAAAGAAAAATCTCTCACTGACTCCATTTCTTCCCCTTCTATTTGCCAGGAAGTGATGGGACCAGTGGCCACGATCTTAGTTTTTTTGATGTTGAGCTACAGACCATATTTTGCGCTCTCCTCTTTCACCCTCATTAAGACACCAGACCCTTATATACAGAAATAGACTTGAAAGAGAAGTTGCTGAATTACAACTTATTACTAAACTGAAAACTATGGAGAAACCTGGTCTGAATAGAGATATTGGATTCTTGTCTCATTACATATGCTAAAGCTATTTTTGGTCATCTGCATGCTATCCCTTGGTTTTTCCTGTAGGACTAATTGCAGTCATCAACAGGTTTACCATTCCAACTGAGTCAATCACCCATCTCCTACTACCCCTCTTAGAAAAACCCCACCCCAGCCTCCCACTGGTGACTTCTGTTTTAGTGTATCTGAAGAAGTGTGCATGCACACGAAAGCTTATACCCAGAACAAACTTAGTTGGTCTCTAAGGTGCTACTGGACAATTTTTTAATTTATTTTGAGAGGTGGTATGCCAGCCATCTTCAAATATCTGAAGGGTTGGAGCATGGAGCAAGCTTATTTTCTTCTGCTCTAGAGGGTGGGTAGGTAGGACCTGAGTCAATGGATTCAAATGACAAGAAATGAGATTTCAACTAAAAATTAAGAACTTTCTGGTGGTAAGCAAATTAATTAAGTGGCAGATTTATGAACAATTTTTTCAAAATCAACAATCGTTCTGGTCAGTCTGAACACAATTGGCTTCTCTCTTAACTCTCTCCTAGCCATAGCCCTTGGTGGCTTTAAATACCTAGGAATAGCTCTCATATTTGACTTTAAATAGGATGAAGGAACTATACAAATGTTTCTGAAAGCATGCAACAGGATCTAAAATTAAATAAAATAGAAGCGTACTAACCTAAGCTGGATCAGTTACTGCAGTAATAAAAATGTCTGTATTACTTAGATTCTCATATCTGTTTCAGGTACTGCCAGTCCCCTCCCCTTCACTAAAAAGAATGGCAAAATAAACTCAATTATTTTGTGGCACAAAGCAAAAGATCAAGGGCCAGTCATAAAATCTTATATAGGTCCAAAGGAATTGCTGCTTGAGAAGTTACACTCTATCAAAGGTCCTAGAGAACTTTGAGAACCACAATATGCCTCACTCCCAGCCAACAATCCTGCTGTTGCTCTCAATGGCTGTCTTTCTTACAGCCACAGTACATGCCAGGAGTCTGGGCTGACTTACCTTCACCTCAGCTTTCCCCCTCCGGCTGGTGCCCTTGCTCACAATGGGGGTCATTCTCTGCTCAAGGCTAGTGAAAGGATTCCTGCATTCTGATGTCCTTCCCATCTGCTCTTGCAAATGGATGTCCTTCTCCCCTTTCCAGACACTCAAGGTTTGGGAACTGGCATCCTTGTGCTCATTGTGTTGATCATCCTCTTGGTGGCTTTGCTGGTGATGGATGTCTTCTGCTACTACAAGCGCCAGCGTGGCTTGCTGATGTATTGTAGGAACAATATCCTGGGCAAAAACTCATCCGGAACAGGCACAGAAAACAATGGGTGAGTTCATATGGGGGAGAGAAGGATAGCCATGGTAGGAAATGAGGACCAAATATTGGCATAGCAATGATGGGAATCTCTTCTTAACCTTCTCCAGTGGTGATCTTCCTCCACCAGTCTTTCATCTACTGATCCCATCTCATGTTTCAGTTGGCAGCCACAGCAGCCTGATTGGGATGGTGGTGATAGCAGTTTGTAGTGATTTCCATGGTCCATCAGTTATAGACGTGTTTTGACCATTAAGACTTTTTCAGATATGTCCCAATTGGTCCTGAGTCCTTGGCTTAGAAAACCTTCTCCATCTGCTTTGGGGAATGTGTCCAAATAATTCCACTAGTGTGTCAGTGGCTGAAAAAAGTCTTTTAGCTGAGCACTTTTCCTTTTGTCGAGAGCCTGTTCTCTACAAAGACAACCTTATGTTGTATATCACAAATTCTTCGAATCTAGTACAGTGGTACCTCGGGTTACATACGCTTCAGGTTACAGACTCTGTTAACCCAGAAATAGTGCTTCAGGTTAAGCACTTTGCTTCAGGATGAGAACAGAAATCGTGCTCCGGTGGCGCGGCAGCAGCGGGAGACCCCATTAGCTAAAGTGGTGCTTCAGGTTAAGAACAGTTTCAGGTTAAGTACGGACCTCCGGAGCGAATTAAGTAATTAACCTGAGGTACCACTGTAGTTCAGTTAGTCCAAGGACTCAGGGCTAATTGGGACATATCTGAAAAAGATTGGCTGGATCTATAACTGGTTGTTCCATAACACTATTGCCCTATTTATATTATTGATCACTGTTCTTTATCACATGTTTCTTTCTTTTTTAGCACAAGTATACTTTCATCTATGTCAGACTTTTTAAAAAACAAAAAAACCCACACAACTAATTTTGAATGGCAATTGTGCCTCTCTCCCGATAGAAATTTAATTATTGTCACATTTATATTTCACCTTTCATTCAAGGAGCCCAAGGTAGCACTCATGGTTCTCTTCCCCATTTTATCATCACAATCACCCTGTGAGGTAGGCTAGGCTGACATATGGTGACTGGTTCAAGGTCACCCAATGAGCCTCATGGCCAAGTGGGGATTTGAACCCTGGTCTCTCCCAGGACCTAGGCTGACAATTGTAACCACTACGCCATACTGGCTTCCTCAAAGAGGGTAGGTTAACCTGACTTGTCTTATTTTTTTTCTCTGTATGTTGCTCCGGGAGCTTTTTTTCAGCTGAAGATTGGAATAAAAAAGGATAAAAAAATTGGAATAAAAAAATGGATAAACAAGCATTTTTATCTATGCTCACCCATGCTTTAGCTTTCCATTATTTGTTTCCACAGGAAAATGCTCTCCAAGTCAGGGAAAAGCACAGTGGTGAATGTTTCTGGCATTGAGGCCTGATTAGTCGACAGCGATGACCTTAGATTGTGCAGGGATGGAGATGGGACTCCATGGCCAAGCTTGGATGAGCTCTTCATCAAAAATGGAAACACAAAAGGCGACTTCCCATATGGGAGAGCTGAGAAAACAGTGCCTCTCTTTCTCATCTCACTTTTTCCTTAACACCCTCCTGCCTGTGGCCCAGTGACCTAACTCTCCTTTTCAGAATAGCTGTTGCACCACAAGCCAATGGGAGCGAAACACCCTCTTCATGCAGCCTTCCTCAACTCTATGCTCTCTAGATGTTGTTGGATTCCAACTCCCATAATTCCAAGCCACCATGGCCCAAACGGTCAAGGATAGGGCTGGGGGGAGAAATTTGATTCCGTTCTCATTTAAAAGCAAACTTACCTAATTTGCACTTCCCAAAACAAGATGCAGAACGAAAGCCAGGCATCCTTTGAAATCCACCTGTCTCCACATTTTGGAAATGCCGTGGCTCAGCTGAGTAGTGGGTATAAAAATGCACGTACTAGTGTAAAGTGCGTACTAGTGAAGATAACATGCAGCTATGTCTTATATTAGGGAAAGCTGCTTGTCAAAAATGTTCATGTTAGGCCAAATTGTACACAAAAAAATGTGTATGGGAGAAATTTGCACTAAAATGCTAATGATCTTTCGTGAGTCCTTTTTTTAAAACAAAAAATCACCAATTGATGCGGAAATATGGAGGAGTGAACTTTGGATAAATTAGATAAACAAGACACTGAGAGAAACTGACATTGACGTATTTCTCCATCCCTAAGTCAGCGGTGATGGGTTCTGTAGTTTAGCGACATCAGGAAGGCATCAAGTTGAGGAAAACTGCTCCAGTGTAGGGATGGTCAACCTCTGACCCTCCAAATGTTACTGGACTACAACTCCCATCATCCTTGATCACTGGCCATTCTAGCTGAGGCTGATAGGAATTATGGTCTAACAACATCTGGAGGGCCACAGACTCCCCAACCCCACCCTCATGGTTTCTCTATACCAGGAGCAGACTGGAAATCCCCCCCACCTCATTTTGTTTCTCAGAGCCCTTCTTTCAAACAAAAAAGTTCTGGAATTTCTCCTTAGAATTGTATGGCCATTTAGAGAATAAACTTTTATTCCTCTGATGCTACCTCTTCTCCATCATCCCTGATCCTTAATCTCAATAAAGCTTCAAAATTGGAACCTGGGTTTGACTGCATACTTTAGCAGCCCAAGGATCTGCTCCCTGCATGCCTGATTGATTGCTCATTCTGGCTCCATGCTTTATCTGACATGAGGAACACAGGCCAGTTTGCCTAGTGGGGAATAGGAAGGCGTTATTTGTTAATTAGATGTAAGTAGCAGTCATGTCTGGGGGGAAATTAAGAGGTGGTGACAGCCATAAGAAATGGAAACACACTGCATCCTGGCCAACCCCAGGTTTCATTATTACCAAGGCCCTGGATGTGTATGTTAAATTACAGTTGCACTGTATTATGGACTTTGCAGTTAGGCCCATGAATGTTTTCATACATATGAACACTTCAACCATACCACACCACATAGGTGGGTTTTGTAGTATACCAAAATTATGGTGCACTGTGACCATGAAACACATACATGTCAAACATCTGGGGGTTGACTACAAAGCCCATAATGCAGTACAATTGTGATGAATGTGCATGTATGCATGAAAAGCATCAATGGCCTGAAAAACAGTGATCATTAATATACAATTATCAATGGGAGTCGTCATACATTTTATGCAGTGGACACTTATGGTTGATTTCTGCAAAAAATAAAAATGAAAAAATTAACTGCAATAGTCACCTGGGCTATTGTACATGTGCATTCCATTTCTTTCCTCTAAGGAGCTCAAGGCAGCATATATAGCTGCCACCCCCAATGTTATTCTCACTACTAACCTGCAAGGTAGGCTGTGGCTGAGAGACTGCCCCAAGGTCACCTAGTGAGGTTCATGGCTGAGTGAGGTTTTGAAACCTGGTCTTCCAGATCTGAAGTCCAATACTCTAACCACTACACCCCACTGGCAGTGGCATCATCCTGGGAGAATAAAGACACCAGGATCCCCAGACACAGGTTGTGTTACAGGTGACAAGTCAGGGGAATCCTAGGACAGTGGCATCCATGGGCACATCCTGGCAGAGGAAACATGAACTGAGCACTCCTGTCTATTTGTTCCAGGAGCCGATTGAGAAAATACATTTCAATTCTGGAGAAATAATAGCAACAATGAGATGCAGATAACAAAATTACACTGGTCTATGCACCATCCATACAGTAACAACAACAATTAACTAAATTTCTATACTACCCTTCATCTGAGGAACAGTAGGGTGGTTTACAATATAAAAGCACAAAAATGCATACCATAATAACAAACAAAACAATACTCCACCCACAGTTTAAAAGGCCATTGATTCCCTCTAATGCCCATTACTAGATGCTGCTAGAATGCAGACAGCACCACCTGGTGTGTACAGAAAGGGAGACCAGCGGCAGAGGAAGCAGCCAGAAGTTCATCTATCGGTTCAGGCTTCATATATCTGCAAGGACAGCAGAGCCATGTTAAGCAAGTGAAATGGTTTTTGGGAAAACCATTCCCTGCACTGACATAAGAAGGACTGTGGCTCAGGGGCTTTGTATGCAAAATGTCTCAGGTTTGGTCCCTGGCATTTCCAGGTAGTGCTGATGGGGGGGGGGAGCCATGTCCAAAACGAGATGGACAAAATGGTGTTCGACTCACTATAAACAAGGCAGCTTCATAGGACATGAAACCAGCTTGGCTCCATCCATTGGTGATGAAGGAGCAGCTCCTTCAGTGCTTGGTTTCCTCTTAGCTTTCATAGTTAGCTGCCTTGGGTTCAGGAAGGAAAGGTGGGTATAAATGTTTTTAAACAAAAACGAACAACTGAGTCCCACTGTGGCTCTACCATTGCACCTGTGGCACCCTGACTTCACTGCCGCCCTGCCCAGGTAAGTGACAATGAGACTACTGCCAGGTCCAAGGCTGTGTGGTCAGTTCTGCCGCACCAACTCGGCAGCTGCCCCTGCACAGGAGGAGGAGTTTTCATGGGTGTGTTCAGAGCAATTATTTGTCCATTGCAAATGTGAAACAAACAGCATTTTGGGAGACTGGACCCAGTGCACAGCGGATATGTGAATGGCCTAATCTTGCAACCTGTAAACAGAAAATGCCATTTCCACTCTCAAGTGGGGTTAATTTTGCCACATACCCCTTTTCTCAAGCCTCAAGTGGTTTCTCCTGGGGGAGGGACATGTGGGGCTTTTGAGACCAATCAGGATGGGGTGGTGATCAAGCTTTTCACGGTCAAATGGTCCCATGTTCAGGTAAGGTAAAGGACCCCTGGACGGTTAAGTCCAGTCAAAGGCAACTATGGGGTTGTGGTGCTCATCTGGCTTTCAGGCTGAGGGAGCCAGCATTTGTCCACGGACAGCTTTCCGGGTCATGTGGCCAGCATGACTAAACCATTTCTGGTGCAACAGGATGCTGTGATGGAAACCAGAGCGCACAGAAACACCATTTACCTTCCTGACGGAGCGATACCTATTTATCTACTTGCACTGGCATGCTTTCAAACTGCTAGATTGACAGGAGCTGGGACCAAGCAATGGGAGCTCACCCCATCATGGGGATTCGAACCGCCAACCTTCTGATTGGCAAGCCCAAGAGGCTCAGTGGTTTAGACTACAGCGCTACCCACACCCCCATGTTTAACCCCCAGCACCTCCAGGTAGGGTTCCCTGCCTGAAACCTTGGAAGCCACTGCCATCCAGTATGGAGAACACTCAGCAAGATGGTCTAACTCATCTCCTTATGGCAGGAAGACGCTCCACATTGTAGTTCTGGTAACTCACCACACAGGCTAGCCTCAGAAAGAGTTGGAGGTTTACAGTGGCTTCCAATGCAGAGATTAGGAGCAAAACAGAGATACTTGCCATTGGCAGCCAAAACTGTGAAGACGTGGCTCTCCAATTCCTTGCAGCACCCCCCAAAAAACAAGTCTGGTTGCACCAGTACAGAAGCTGCTTGTTGGAGAAGAGGAAAATAAGAATGTTTGGCCATGCAATTATAATGCAAGCCATTGAGATGCCAACAACCGTCCTTGACTTATTCCTGGACCAGCCCCAACTCTCTCCACATATACAAACATTTGATATGGGGGAAAACGCACACACCAAAGGGACAAACTGATGCTTGATTCCTCCATGTGACATACCTCAACTTAGCAACTTCTTCATTTCCAGGCAAGAACAGCTGCCAGTTCTCAGCTTACATATTCACAGGTGAGTTTGCCTTTGCTGTTGTTGCTCAGGATAGCATGGGTTTGCTTTCTTAAGCAAAGAAAGGGGAGGAGAAACCCTACATTCACCTTGTTTCCAGGCTGCCAAGTTCACCTCCCAGTCTAAAAGAAGGTCACCAACTTTTAAAGAAATTGGGTTCTGCTCCTAGGCCTCAATCAGATACTTGAACTGTGGACATTAGCAGGTGATGCTGCTGATCTCCATGCTGTGAAAATGTGGCTATCCTGTTTCCTGTATAAACAGCCATTGTTAAAGGTACAGAAGCAGGCTGGACTGAGGTTTTCTGGTCAGTTGGGAACCCCCTGTCTGGATGGACAGATAACCTTAGGCTAAGCAATGTCACTTTAAGACCCTGAGCTGCAGGAGAAATGGAAGGCTTATTCCTATAGATGATTGACTCTAAAGGGGTTTTGTTTCCCAATGGATTCTATTAATGATTCACTGGAGAATGTTGCATTGGCAATAGTGACCCTTGCGTCCTATGGCTTATCTAGCTGCTGGAGCGGCTCCCATCCCTTCATCTCCATTCTAGGAAGAGGTGCACTTGCTGCGTGAGTCACGGGCAGGGGAAGGCTCTTCTCTATGCCTGCCAGAGACGGTCAAAGAACAAACCAGGACAGAGGCACAAGTCAGGAGCAACAAATATACAGGACCATACTTGAGTCGAAGAATACCACATGGCTTGAGCGAGGCTCACTTGACACAGGAAATTCTTCCTAGATCCCAGAGTTTCCAATGCCCAGACTGGGCTGGTGGACTTAGCTCAGTGCCTGAGAGTGCCTGCAGTACCATCTGCAGTTCAGCGATTCACCACATGGGACAGATTTCAACAAATCTCAACAACTCCTGACAACTCTTGCTTTGCATGCAGCATGCCTCCCTAGCTCTCAAAACTGGACTCTAACCATCTACCTGGACAATACCTGTATGCTTAGTGTAAGCATACAGAAGGTGACTTGGAAACTACAATTAATTCAGAATGCGGCTACTAAACCGGTGACTGGGAATGGCCGTCAGGACCATATAACGCCGGTCTTATAGGATCTACATTGGCTCTCAGTACGTTTCCGAGCACAATTCAAAGTGTTGGTGCTGACCTTTAAAGCTCTAAATGACTTTGGCCCTATATACCTGAAGGAGGCCCTATATACCTGAAGGTCTCCACCACCATTGCTCAGCCCAGATACTGAGATCAAGCACTGAGGGCCTTCTGGCAGTTCCTTAACTGCAAGAAGTGAGGTTAGAGGGAATCAGGCAGAGGGCCTTCTTGGTAGTCAATGCCCTCCCATCAGATGTCAAGGAAATAAACAACTATTTGACTTTTCGAAGGCATTTGAAGGCAGCCCTGTTTAGGGACGTTTTTAATATTTGATATTTCATCATGTTTTTAATATTCTGTTTGGAGCTGCCCAGAGTGGCTGGGGCAACTGAGTCAGATGGGCAACATACAAATATAACAACAACAACAACAACAACAACAACAACAACAACAACTAATGGTGTCTCTTGCAGCTCCCTCTCCTTTTAAAAACAAAAGAAGTAGCTTTCTCCCTGGGCACCCTGCAAATTATAGTGCTGGGAAGACTCTAGTTACTTGGGTCTCAGCTATACAGCTGCAAATGTAACATTTTAAGTGTGTTATACAAATGTGACACTAGATGGTGATGGGGAGCTTATGGCAAAATCAATATATTTTTCAAAACTCTTTTTAAAAAGCATTTTCACAGCATTTTCATGTGTCTAGATTCCAACCTGCTGCCTTAATTAGCCTATGATCCCTGATCTCCCAGGTCCTAGTCTGACACCCTAACCACTACACCACACTGGTTCCATTCCATCCTCCTTCTCCTCCCTCCTCCCCTACTGAGAAGCATAATGTGAATGAGTGAAGGCTGCAAGTAATAATCCACTTTTCCTTTCCCAGGCTTCACACTTGCATGGACTCATAATGAGGCATTTCCTTTGGCAGCTGTTCCTTGCAGGTAATACATGCAGATTTCGGTATGTGCTAATAAAAGCAGTCTGGGATGTTTCAAGCCCCGTTGGTCTCCTGGGTCTGTGGGGTAGCATTTGGATGAAGGGTTGAAGAATATATGAGTGGCTCATGAGAGAGCAAGCAACAATACTTGCATGCATTGGCTCTGGAGTCATTCAGATCAAAATCAGTAGGACTTACTCCCAAGCAATAGTCTACATACCATGGTTCCAGAATCCAGCAGCAATCCAAAGAGTTGGAGGCTGCAAAAGAACCAGATACCTCCCTGGCTATGAAATAGAGGAGAAGTGTCCTTTAAGGCTTTGAAGTTCTCCACAAGGGAAAGGAGCCCAGAGGAGGTAGACTGGAGCCAGGGGCTTAAAAGGCCTCAGTGCTCCCAGCCTTTGTTAGAGTAGCTTAACTCACTTTGAGCTATCCGTGGTCCTGAAATGGCTACCTTCCCCACGGACAAAGGAAGACTTGATAAGAAGTAGCACTTGTAGAAAAGAGAAAAGGCTAAACCCCTAGCTAGAAAGTCACTCCTGAGACTTGAATACACTTAACAGGACATTTTTGCTTTGCATAGCAGATGCCCTCCTTGTGCTGCAACACAGGCTGCTTTCAAAATCCCTCTCAGATTCCTAAATATCTGGCCATGTGACCATGGGTGGTGGAGAGATGGATGTTTTGTACAGTGGGCATCCAGAGCCTCCTTGCACAGATTAAAATCATGGGGTTCTTTGCATTCTGGCTGCTGCATTTACAAACAATAGAGAGGCATTTATCAGGGAAACAGTGGCCTATGAGCTGGATGGAGCCCATGGCCCCTCTTCATCTGGCCCACAGCACCCCCTTGCCCTTCCTGTCCAGATCCAGCAATTAGATTTGGAGGAAGTGACGTGCAGCGTAAATAAAACAGAGTCTTCTTCAGTATAAGAATAAAAGCTTTACTGAGTTAAAATAAACTTGTTTGCAAATAACAGCATAGTGAACAGAAGATTAAACTAGCTTCAGAGCATACACAGAGTTACTGAGTCACACAGAGGCTCCATTGAGCACAGGCTCCATCACACTCTGACACACACTCTGACACACACACACACACACACACACACACACACACACACACACACACAGAGACACTGAGTCTGCCTGCAAGCAGATACAATACTTATACACATAATGAGTCATCCTCGAGATGAGTCACAGTGATTCAGCATGCTGAGTGATTGTGCAGCTTTTCAGCATTTCACAGCATTTCTAGACTCCTTTACTGCTTCTGCTCTCAAATACCTTTGTCACATGACAGGAAGGCCATCTATTAAAGCCTATAGAAGACTTTTTTTGAAGCCTTATTGTTGTACAGGGAGCGTGGGGGGGGGGGAGGAGGCTCACAGCTCTGAAGAGAAGGGTTAATTTTCACTCTGTGCTGCAACATCTCTGGCAAAAATTACTCCCCTTGACTAGAAGGCATTTTTCCAGCCTGACTACAGCAGGATGAGAAGGGTAGAATGTGAGACTCAAAGTATATGTTTGTGAGAGAATAATGAGTATTGGTATGTGCCTGTATACACGCACGGTGTGAATGGATTTGTGCAGTGTGAGCTAGTGGGTGGTGGCCCCACTCACTGCTCTCTCTGGCCATGGCCACTTTGGTTTTGGCTCCACCCACTGCTAGAATGTGGCCCTCAGAAAGTTGGCCGTGAGAGAATGTGGCCCGCTACATTTTGTACTTTTGCATCATCCGATGCAAACTTATCCATTGTCTTCATGGTCAAGGGAGATGATAAAAACATTAAGAGGTCTTGGTTAATTTCTCAGTTCTTGGAGACGAATTCAGTTTATGGGTGACATCAAGGAGCTGGAAGCGAATTTTCATAGTAAGTGTTTCAGAAACTGACCAACCTTTCGTATCTGCTTTTCTGTTTCAGGTTATATATATTGCGATTACCCCCTAAGAATAAGCCCTGATACGCTGGTTGCTTGGAAAGGTTCCTGCGTGGTGATTCCATGCCAGATCAGTGAAACACATCATTCTGCTGAGGTCCGTGCCACGGATGTGGCTTGGTTTTTCCAGCCTGTTTGGGATAACAGTTCATTTGACTATAATGGCAGTCTGTTGTATGACAGTTCCGAAAGGAGGAAAGGCAACACAATGGCAGTAAGTCCTGCCTTTCAGGACCGGGTGAAGTTCATAGGCAATTTGGGCAACAGAGACTGCAGCCTGATGATTACTCAGCTCCAGACAAAGGACAGCGGCACGTATGGGGCAAGAGTTGTTGCTTCCGTTGGAAACTACAATTGGAGAAACAAATGGTTTCGTAACGCTACGGTCAACGTTATAGGTAAGAGTTTTGCAGAGCAGTTCTAATTTGCCTTCATCACTTATGAAGGATGTGGGACCCAAGCCCTTTTCTTTCAAAGTGTTGATAGCAGTGTTTAATATGGCAAGTTTCAGCCCATAAATGATGCCTGGAGGTTGCAAACTAGCAAAAGGATATGTGTAGGCTTCTAGTTGTAGGACATCCAAAGATTCTCTTCCTCTTATACAGTGGTACCTTGGGTTACAGACGCTTCAGGTTACAGACTCCGCTAACCCAAAAATAGTACCTCGGGTTAAGAACTTTGCTTCAGGATGAGAACAGAAATTGCACAGCAGCAGTGCAACAGCAGTGGGAGACCCCATTAGCTAAAGTGATACCTCAGGTTAAGAACAGTTTCAGGTTAAGAACGGACCTCCAGAACGAATTAAGTTCTTAACCCGAAGTATCACTGCACTTAAGAACTTAAGAAGAGCCTGCTGGGTCAGACCAATGGCCCATCTAGTCTAGCACCCTGTTCTCATAGTGACTTGTGAGAAACCCATCCCAGGATCTGAGCAAAAGAGCACTCTCCCCTCCTGTGGTTTCTAGCAGTTGGTATTAGGATGCATTACTGCTTACTCCTAATCCCCTCCCAGAGGTACGGTTCCCAGAGTGGATTAACAATCAATCCCTCTTTGCAGGGAATCCTAGGAATTGTAGCTCTGGGAGGCGGATGGGGTCTCCTAACAACTCTCAGCACCCGTAATAAACCACAGCTCCCAGAATTCTTTGGGGGAAGCCATGACTGCTCAAATGTATAATGTGAATGTTGCCTTAGATATGTCCATTAGTTTCAATGGGCCTACTCTGAGTAGGAGTTAGGGGGATATAAGCCAGGACATTGATGTAGGAAAGACACCAACATTTAGATAATTAAAGATGCACATTAATTGATTGCCCAATGTGCTCAATCCCCATTTCTAACAGGTACTTACTTACATGAGTCTCTTTTTTGTTGACTGGTTTTTAGCCACATTCTCCTATTCCCCTGAGTATGCAGATGCACTGCAATAATGTTGTGATACGTATCATCCAGAAAGAAACATTTTGATCTGATTTTCCAGACAGCCCAAAGGGTGTCCATGTTGGCATTATGAATGACCTGCCCATAAAAGAAGGAGACACGGTTGTGCTCTGCTGCTCTTCAGGCAGAAATTACTCCAGAGACAACTGGTACAATTGGGTCAGGTCAGATCGCCATTCAGTTGAACATAAGTATAGCGCTTCAGAGCTGTTAATCTTCCCTGCGACCTCTGAACCGGTCACATCTTATGAATGTGAAGCATGCAACAATGCTGGCTGTACTTCATCCCAAATGGTCACCGTGGATGTACACTGTGAGTAGCACCACTTTATTTACTAGCTGGGGCCCTAAGGCATTCTGCACCGACAAATCCACAAGGAGAGGGAGAGCAGGTCATTCAGCATGTTTGGTCCATCCAAGGTACATAGCATAAATGCACAGTCTACCTATTTGTGTAGCCAATTCAGGGATTGCAGGTTGAATACAAATGGATGAAGTCCAGGTTCCTGCAGACAGAGCTTTCTTCTTCCAGCATTAGGTCCAAGCTCCGAGGGCCTTCTGGTGGTTCCCTCACTGTGAGAAGCGGAGTTACAGGGAACCAGGCAGAGGACCTTCTCAGGAGTGGCGCCCACCCCGTGGAACGCCCTCCCATCAGATGTCAAGGAATAAACAACTATCTGACTTTTAGAAGACATCTGAAGACAGCCCTGTTTAGGAAAGTTTTTAATGTTTGATCTTTTATCGCCTATTATTATTATTATTATTCTATTGGGAGCCACCCAGAGTGGCTGGGGAAACTGAATCAGATGGGTGGGGTATAAATAATAATTTATTTATTATTATTAGCTAGATAATACACTGTGGATGTCAAATATTTGATAGCATTGTGTTTTATGAAAGTGTGGACCTTTACCCATAGAAACTGTGGACTATTTTTAGTTGTCAGATAGATCCACTGAGGCAAAAACAATTTGGTGATCTTTTTCCATGCTCCTAGAAACTGAGAGCATTGTAAACTGTGAGCATTCACAGTTGGCCCAAGAAAAGAATATGAGGGTCAAGAGTTTCAGGGCTGATAAATTATGTTGTTTTCCTGACTTCAATGCTGTTTACTTGATATGCAACAGAGCCTTAGATGACGTCACTTTCCCGGGTTCAGTTGTCCAAGTGTGGGGTGTCTTCATATGATGGTTTCTCTTTGTCCTCCTCTCTTCCTGAAGTTGCCCCCAAAGGTGTAAAAATAAAAATGACGCCAGCAGGCAAGATCCAGGAAGGGAAGTCTGTTCAGCTGAAGTGTGAAGTCAGAAAGGCAAAACCCCAGAATCTCACATACACATGGTACAAAGATGACGAATGGCTGGAGATGGACTCTGCGACTGAAGAGTTGTCCATTCCAGAAGTTACTTTAGCACACTCTGGCAGATACAGGTGTGAAGCCAGCAATAGTGTGGGCACATCGCGGTCCTCACCAGTCACACTCAGTGTTATTGGTGAGTAAGATAAAGAGAGAGAGACATTGAAACTGTACTAATGATAAAATCTTAGAGCTTGACTTCTGTGTTGTAGCCTCTTAAATATGACTATTATTACAAATACATCATTCTGTGATATAATGAGGTGGACAGGCGCAAGCTGATGTCCATCTTCCTTGAACCTTTCCCATTTCAGGTGTCTTGTCTGATGAAAGTGGACTGAGGAAACATGCTAACTCTTTGGTGGCCTGGAAAGGATCCTGTGTGCTGATTCCATGCGAGATCAGCGGAACATTTAACTCTGCTACAGTCAACGCCACAGCTGTGGCTTGGTACTTTGAGCCTTTTTGGGACCACAATTTGCCAGATTATAATGGTACCTTGTTGTACAACAGCTTCAAATTCACAGAAGGCAATGCAAGAAGTGCTGCCTTTCAGGGTCGGGTGAAATTTTCAGGGGACCTAGGTAATAGAGATTGCAGCTTGATGATCACTCAGCTCCAGAAAAGTGACAGCGGCAGGTATGGGGCAAGAGTCGTTGCTTCTGTTGGAAACTATCCTTGGAGACTCAAGTGGTTCCTTGATGCCACAGTTAATGTTACAGGTAAGAGCTTAGCAGAACAGCTGTGATTTTTTTGCTCCATCCCATATAAAAGTGGTCTTTTAGTTGAGATGCAGAACCCTCCCTTTCAAAGTATCATCAACAGTGTTTGAGTGGTCAACTTTCAGGCCAGAAATGATGCTAGCAGTGAATCATTCCCTCTATTTCCAAATTTCAGAGGAGAGGGGAGGTTTCTGTGTAGCCAAAACCCATGCACAAGTGCTAAGTATTTTTATATATAATTTTTATTAATTTCAACATACCAATTATTATACATTACACAGAACTTCACATCTTATACAATCTTTTTGGACTTCCATCAGCACCTCTGATGATCCACCATTTTTATCATTTCTTCTGCATTTCTTAAATTCCTATTGCCTTTAATTATCTTAACTCACAATCCACCTCTTTAACTATTTTCGCAATAATTCAAATAATTTACCTCACAAAACTTCTTGCAAACCTACAAACGTAATCTGGCCATCACAATTACTTTTCAAATAGTCCGTAAATTTACACCAGTCTTCTGTGAATCTCTGGGATTCCATTTGTGAATCTCTGGGATTCACAGAGAGGCACGAGTGCTGAGTATTAGCAGGCTCGGGGTCAGTTCAAGGTTGGCATAAGTACAAGTGATCTTTAGAAAAAAATACTAAGACAGGTTTAGGGAACCTGTGGGACCGCCCCCCCTGCAGATGTTGCTGGGCTTGCAGGTGAGAATTCAAAGAGAACTGAGCATGTTCAGTGGCCATGGAATGCTGATGGAATGTTGATGTCACCTATTGAATTTCTTCACATCAAACTACTGAAGATGTAATGATAATTCTTCGATTGCATACATTGTTTTTTTCCCCCATGAGATGGACTGCCTTAATTTTTCTTTAGCAGTTTCTAGCCATCTGGAGCAGCTAGAACATGATGCTGAAAATGGAATTGGTGGTATATTATGACATGCTGTCCTTTCCTAGATAGTTGTATCAAGAAAGTACGAGAGCAATCTTGTTGGTACCACTGACTGGGCCCCAAGAAAAAGACAAGCAGGTGGGCCAACTGAGGTTGGTCAGCTCACAGTGTATTGTGTCCAACAGCCCCCCCCCAAGGCCTGGAACTTTTGCTAAAACACAGGTGGATAGTGATGTTTTGGAGAAACTCTGTAGCTCAGTGGTAGAGCAGCTGCCTTGCATGCAGAAGGTCTCAGCCTCAGTTCCCAGCATCTCCAGATGCTTCATCCACACACACACATTTAAAGCACTCTTATACCACTAACAGTCATGGAAAGTTGTTGGCAATGTTGCTGGTTACCAGGGCTTTCCCACCCAGCTGGAACTCACGAGAACTGAGTTCCGGCATCTCTCAGGTGAGCACTACAGTGGTACCTCGGGTTACATACGCTTCAGGTTACAGACTCCGCTAACCCAGAAATAGTGCTTCAGGTTAAGAACTTTGCTTCAGGATGAGAACAGAAATTGTGCTCCAGCGGCACAGCAGCAGCGGGAGGCCTCATTCGCTAAAGTGGTGCTTCAAGTTAAGTACAGTTTCAGGTTAAGAACGGACCTCCGGAACGAATTAAGTACTTAACCCGAGGTACCACTGTATTGCCATTATAAGAGAACAAAGGAGGCGTTCATGGTGAGTTCCGGCAACTTTTTTCATAGAAAAATAGCACTGCTTGTCAGTGGCGTAGCGTGGGGGGTGCAGGGGGGGCCGGCCGCACCGGGCGCAACATCTGGGGGGGTGCGCTCGCACTCGCAGCTCTCTGCCCCTACCTGGCTCACTCACTCTCTCTCACTGCAGTGCTGGCTGTGCGAATCCGATCCGAGCCGCTGGGTCGCCGCCCACTGTGGAGGGGGTGGGTGCCAGGCGTGCGGTGCGGAGAGAGAGTGAGGGACTATCTGGGGGAGGGACAGTGCAGCGGCTGCCCAGCGCAGCGCTGAGCGCGGGAGAGAACCACACCAGACCAGCCCAGGCAGCAGCAAGAAGAAGCTGGCAGCGGCGGCAGGTTAGGGGTTAGGGGGCGCAAATTACTTGCCTTGCCCCGGGTTAGGGGGCGCAAATTACTTGCCTTGCCCCGGGTGCTGACAACCCACGCTACGCCGCTGCTGCTTGTTATGGTTTTGGAAGTAATATCTCCATGAGGTCAGCACCCTTAACAAACCATAGTTCCTAGGATTCTCCTTGACTGTTAAAGTGGTATAAGAGTGTTTTAAACACATTGTAGGATAGGACTGGGTGAGACTCCAGTCTCAAATCCTGGAGAGAGCAGCAGCTGCTCAGTGTAGAAAATATTGAGGTGGATGGAGCAATGGCTTGGCTCGGTATATGACAGCTTCCTATGTATTGGTGGCCAAGGCATCAGGTTCTCATCAGTATCAATCAGTTTATCCAGTAACTTTTTATCATCACTTTGCCCTAACTAGGGACTGCTATTTTTCTTTTCTTTCTTTCTGCGGATTTAGAGTCACCTCCAGAACCCAGGTTGGAAATAGTCCCTGCGATAGTCCATCAAGGGAGGACTACAGAAGTGATCTGCTCGGTGCCTTACCATTGCACCGATGTGCTCATACTCTTGACTCTCAGTGGCTTAGAGAAGCATCACTTGTCTCCACAAATAACCATGCTTGAAAATCGAATCACAAAGATGGTGATGTTTGAACCCACATGGGAGGACAACGGGAAAACGGTGGGCTGCTCGCTGAGCAATCTGGATGGGTCAGAGATATCCCACAGTACTATGAAACTGAATGTGAGATGTGAGTGCACAGTGGGAAAAGATGGGTCCTTTTGTGGATTGAGAAGATGGTGGGAGCAAAAATCAACTAATGCGATTAGCCGCGTCATGACAAGGGCTGCAATAATATGCACCAGGGGTGGTGAAAAAGTGAATCCCACGCAAAGGGCCATCTAAGCTCTGCATTTAAACCTCCAAGGAAGGAGAGTCCACTTCCTGATGTTTAGTCTGAATCTCCTTTCTTGTAACTTGAATCCACTGGTTTGGGTCCTAGCCTCCAGAAAAGCCCTTTAGATATTTGAAGATAATAATAATAATAATGATAATAATAATTATTATTTTTATTTTTATTTATTATTTATTTTTATTTATACCCCGCCCTTCCCAGCCAAGGCTGGGCTCAGTGCAATAATAAAACAAGTTGAATGAATACAACTTAAAAACAAGATTAAAATACAACATTAAAATATTGAAACATTAAAATATTAAAATGCAGCCTCATCACAGGAGAAGAAAGAAAAAGAAAGAAAGAAAGAGGAGGAGGGAATCAAATTGGCTCCAAGCCAAAGGCCAGATGGAACAACTCTGTCTTACAGGCCCTGTGGAAAGAAATCAGATCCTGCAGGGCCCTGGTCTCATGAGGCAGAGCGTTCCACCAGGCCGGAGCCAGTGTTGAAAAGGGCCACTAGGGTGTTGCTATTTATGGACCTTGAGGCTCTCCGTGGGGCATACCAGGAGAGGCGGTCCCGTAGGTACGAGGGTCCTAGGCCGTGAAGGGCTTTAAAGGTCAAAACCAGCACCTTAAATCTGACCCTGTACTCCACCGGGAGCCAGTGCAGCTTGAGAAGCACTGGGTGAATATGCTCCCATGGCAGAAACCCCGTGAGGAGCCTCGCTGCAGCATTCTGCACCCGCTGGAGTTTCTGGGATAGCTTCAAGGGCAGCCCCGCATAGAGCGAATTACAGTAGTCAAGCCTGGAGGTGACCGTCACATGGATCACTGTGGCTGTCATATCTCCTCTCATTCAACTCTTTACTAGGCTAAACATTCCCAACTGTTCCTTCAACTGTTTCTCATAAGGCTTTGTTTCCAGACCCTTTATCACATCGGTTTGTTATTAGGTATGCAATGCACAAACAGGCACATTGACCTGATTTTCCAGATCGTCCCGAGGATGTCCAGCTTACCATTATGAATGATTTGCCAATAAAGGAAGGAGATGTCGTCATGCTGAACTGCTCTGTGGGCAGAAGTAACCCTGGAAACAACTGGTACAACTGGGTTAAATCAGATTCACATACAGTTGAACATAAGTATAGTGGCTTAAATGTATTGGCTTTCCCTGCGACACCTGGATCTGAAACGTCTTACACATGTGAAGTGTGCAACTATGTTGGCTGTACCTCATCCCAAACAGTCACTTTGGATGTTCACTGTAAGTAATGCTACTTAATTTGCTTTCTAGAAGCCCTGGAGCACACATCATTGACCAATGTACTTGCTCACAGGGAGAGGGAAGGCTTTTGGAGGTAAGTATATTCATTCAACACATTTAACCTGTCCAAGACACAGCCTCTGCGCAGCCCATGAAGCAAATTCAGCCTGAATGCTCAAGGAACTAAATCCTCTGTTCATTTGTGGATGGCTGGTACACTGTGGATTCCAGGTGCTTTGTAGCCTTGCTTTGAAACATGTCAATGGAAACTGTGGGCCACTGTCAGTTACAATTTATACATAAAGACCAACCAGAGGGGGGAGAATTTGCTTTGGAGAGTTTGAGGATGATGTAAGCAGCAAGCTCTCGCTGATTGCACAAGAAGGTAGTGTGTGCCTGCGGTAGGGCTGCCACATTTTTTATGTATGTGTCTTTGGGGACAGTACAGGAAATTCCTCTCTTGTGCAACTGGCTTTCATGCATGCCATGGCACTGCCAGGCAAGGAATGTCCAGCTTGAGGAATTAACTCTTTATTAGAAGTACACTTGCAAGTTAGGAAAAGGCATGTCCACCAGTTCTACGTCTCTCAGCTACTCCTAGGTGTGCACCTGATGAGGCAGTTGCAGCGACAGAGAGGCCTCAACCTCAGCTTATGTATCTCCCCAGTGCTCCCCCCCCAAAAAATGTTTAGGGGTACTCTCATTTTGATTCAAGCAAATCCCCATTTTATAGTTCCAATTGGGGAAAATAAAAACAATAAATGGACAAAAGTACAAAGGTTCACAAAATGTTTAGGGGTATGCATACCCCCATGTCCCCTCAGAAAAAAAGCACTCTATCTCCCCTACCTGAGCTGTGTGCAAGCAGGCGAGGACTATGTCTGTGTGTAACCTGTTTCTATGTCTCCCATTTCAGTTCTCTTCTGATCCTGGGAGACAGTGGAGCAGGAGAGGTGGGGGCAGGAGGCGGTGGCAGCGTGGGGGTCCTTGACTTTACACCAGCCTGACCTATCTCTTTCTCCTCCTGCACCTGTTCTTCACTCTCCAACGCTGCAGTTTCTCCTGCCTCTGACTTCAATCCCCCTTTTCCTGGGTCCTCTCCTCAGCATCTAACACCCATTCCTCAGTGTCCAGCCAGTCTCTGACAGTGCAGCAGAAACCTTGGTGCTGCAGTGATGATGATGATGATGATGATTTTGCATTCATTTGCTTGTGTCTTTGTGTGATGCTTTGTATTTGTTCTCCCTTCCTGCAGTTGCTCCCAAGGAAGTATACATTTTGGGAATGACAGAAAAGGTGGTCCATCAGTATAGCCGTTTTCAGGTGACGTGCGAAGTGAGAGCAGCTAACCCTAGAGAACTGAAATACGCATGGTACAAAGATGAGCAACAACTGCTGCAGGATTCTGCAGATAATGTGTTGACCATCCATGAAGTGAAACCAGAGGATTCCGGGACCTACCATTGTGAAGCAAGCAACAGCGCAGGCCCATCACGCTCCCCAGCCATTCTTATAGATGTCCGTTGTGAGTAAGATTGATTGAGCTTATTTATATGCCACCTTTCCACAGTGGGCTGGGCCCAAGGTGTCTTGCAACAAACATCCCCTTATTACCAAAATACAAAGAATTGCAGGGGTGGTTGTGGCTAGGAGTGCCTTTCTTCTGTTCTGGCTGGTTCTCCAGCTACGAACCCTTTTGGATAGAGATGACTCGGTCACTGTACTCCATGGTCTGGTATCTTCCAGATTGGATTACTGCAACACACTCAACATGGGGCTGCCCTTGAAGGCGATTCGGAAGCTTCAGCTGGTCCAAAATGCAGCAGCCAGATTACTGGCTGGTGTTCCATTTAGATATGATATAACCCCATTTGAAATAGCTGCCTTGGTTGCCAGTTCATTTCTGGGCCCAGTTCAAGGTGTTCACATTGGCGTTTAAAACCCTTAAACATCTCAGGCCCCAAATATCTAAAAGTGTGCCTCCTTCTCTACAGCCTCACTTGGGTGCTGAGATTGGCTCTATTGGTAGTTCCTCTGCCCTCAGAGGCTGAATGTGGTGAGGGCCTTGGACAGGGCATTCTTTGTGGCCCCTAAGCTGTGGAACTCCCTCCCAACAAAGGTACACCTGGCACCTTCATTGTACAACTTCCAGAGGATGCTGAAGATGCGCCTCTTTGCCCTCGCATTTAACAGTTGAGGTGTATGCTTTTAGGATCTGCTTTGTTTTTATGGCTTAAAGTTGTTCTAAATTGTTTTTAATACTGTTTTAGTGCTGTAACTCACCCCTAGATCTTAAGGTGAAGGATGGGTAATAATTGATTGATTGATTGATTAATAATAATAATCTCTTCTCCAGAGGAGGTTGAGGGCAGCAAAATGGAAATACTGCAGAGGATAATGGTGGTAATGCCTCTTCTTCAGCCTCCTGGAAGTTCCAATTGCTGGTGCTGGTTTTATTGAAATGATGGGTTGTTGGAAGCCTTCTTTTGTTCTAATACCTAGGCACTAATCCTATTTCATCCCACAGCTGAGCACAGAATCCCAGCATCTCAGACTCTGAGTCTCTGTTTCTGTACCAGTGGCCTTTTTCTTATGTCATATTTTCAAGCAGAGGTCATGGATGCTCATTCCACCCCAGCTGATAGAAACCAAGTCATTGCTAGTAGAAGGTCACACATCCTTCAGGCAAAAAGCCAGCTTCATTTGCTAATAGGATTGTGGGGCCAAAATAAGTAATATGAATTTGAAGTATGGAATAGACGGGAGGTTGGGTCTTTAGTGTTAAGACCAATAGATGTTTTATTGTTTGCTAAAAATATTAAGTGTCTATGGTTATTTTTGTAATTTGTGTGTAATTCGGTATTTGTGTTTTTTGTTTGTTTGTTTTTCTTGTTGTATAAATAAATAAAAAAAAAGGATTGTGGGGCCAAAATGAAATGTTGCCTACATTAAGCATTCCCATATTCAGATTCTGAATTTTGCATCTAGCAATGTTTTCCATTTTGCTTTCCAAAATTTGCCTTGGGGTTTTGAAAGGCATAGAACCTCAAATAACCTAGGAATTAGGTTTGGGGCTGAGTAAACTGCAGAGCTCACCTTCAGTGGGTGGTGTTTAAGACTAGTCCTACTCAGGGTAGACCCATTGATGGACATGGCTAACTTTAGGTCCATTAATTTCAATGGGTCTACTCTGCGTAGCACTTAATTGAATACTACCCAGTTTGTGCAAGAATTGGCAGGAACCACCTCAAAAGCAATATGCATAAGAATCCTTTGGATTATATCTGGCCTAGAGATGTCCTGAGAGATCTGAGAGTGAGGTGCACAACTTTACAGAATGATGCAGATAATGCTAGGGGTCTGTTAGTTGTGGGGATGGTAGGATTACGGATGTAAAATGGCATCCTTTTCCACCACATGCAGCACTGTTCCCATGCTGCTGCAGTTCTTCCTCCAAAAACTACATTATTTGTCTTACTCTCCACTATGGGAAATTTATGTAGCTTATGCAATATATGTAATTAACTATGCTGTCATTACATTATTCCATCTCATTTATTTCAAAATAAAGGAAACACAGTGCAAATGGGAGCAAAAACAAAACATTATTATTATTATTATTATTATTAATAATAATAATAATAATAATAATAATTTATACCCACCCATCTGGCTGGGTTTCCCCAGCCACTCTGGGCGGCTTCCAACAAAATATTAAAATACAATAGTCTGTCAAACATTTAAAGCTTCCCTAAACATTTGCAGTCTGAAAGCAACAACAACAACAGCAAAGCAATCATATTCATTGGACTGGGTTATTCAGAATGGCATGGGATGATTAAGTGGACGTAGACAATTTCTTCTCCTGTTTCTGTTTTTGTCATAATTCTCCGACATCTCCGGAATATGATGTTGAGTATGTTTTCTTTCTTTGCCCCAAAGCCTGATTTATAGGGATTTCAAAGAACTGAAACAAGCAGTCATCAATATTGTGACCACCTTTTGAGAACAAAGAAGCAGAGCAAAGCCCCAAAGGATATGTCTGGATAAGAGAACCTAGAAGAAACCACAAAGGAGGAGAGGCAATCAAGATCCCAACTACATTCTCACAAGTGATGATTCTTCTGCCATACTTTCCACTCTTTTCTTAAATGTTGTCTTGTGTTCACATCCCTTTTGTAAGAGAATGAATTCTTGATAAACATCTCCTTAAGATGAATCTTAAGATTTAGAATCAAACAATGTTTGTAGGGTACCACATTGGCTATGTTGGACCCAAAGCTTAGGCCAGTCTGGAAAGTCTCAGGCTCCTGCCTCCTCATCTCCCCATTTTTGCCTTTTCCTTTTGTGCACCGTCTCTGCATACTGACTGGGAAGGGCCATTGCTCAGTGGCAGAGCATGTGGTTTTAATGGAAAAGGTCCCAGTTCCAAACCCTGCTATCTCTTGCTCTGGGCTGGGGAAGATTCCTATATGAAGCCCTGGAGAGCTGCTGGAAGCCAATAACAGCACTGACTTGAATGGACCAATGGGATGAGCTCAGAATCCAGCCCCTTTCCATGTTCCTAATTGCCAGGAAGAGAGTATTCCCTAGCATACATTGAGGATGGGCGGAGGGAGGGAAGAGATACTTTCATTTGCTTTTTCATACAAACTCACCTAAGCTAACCTTCCCAAAGCAAAACCCAACTCTCCTTTGATATCTACTTCACCGAATTTTGCATTGCACTAGGGAATATCACTGGCAAAAATGTGCTTATTAGGTATAATTGCATACAAAAAATCCATACATTCATCTGTGCATGAAAATGTGTTTGAATCTTCTCAAAAACATTCCCCAAATTGATGTAAAAATGCAGCGAACTTAACGACTGAAAAACATGAGAAAGAGAGGGAAACCAAAATGGGCAGATTTCTCTGACCCTCATGAACATGCACTGAATTTGACTTGCAAAAATGGAAGTCACTTTCAAACTCCCACTATCACCCCTGGCTATTGATCATGTTTGCTGGGGCTGAAGGGAGTTGTAGTTTAGCAACATCTGGAGGGCAAAAGGTTACACACTTGTACTCCTATCGAGACAAGGGATAGAGTTCAGGAGATAAAGATGGTAGAATGTCCAGTACCAATGTTTTGTGGACAACATAAATGTATCCCCATGAATTGGTAGGGAGCGATTCTTCTGCTGATGTCCTGAACCCATGGCCTACCTTGTGGCAAATCAGGAGTCAAGTCCCTAGTCCAGGGTCAATCCACATGTCCACATGTGGGCTGCATCATGTGATTGATTATGTGTGGTGGGGCTTACCTGGGCCCCCACAGTATTTTATTCAACTTGGCACCCCTGCACTGTTGTGTTTTCTGAACAGCTGTTGTCTTGATTCTAATGTGTGTGTGTGTGAAAACCAGCCTACTGTTTGAAACTGAAATTTACATTCATTGCTCCTCCCACTTAATCTCTGGCCCCACCCACCACTGGCACCCAGAACAGAATGCAGTCCTTGGGATCAGTAAGGTTGACCACATCTGTTCTAATCCAAATTTAACCCTCATTTGGCAATTCTGTTCTTAGCTATTAGTTTCCTCCTGGAGCTTGCTGAGCTGATCAAAGTGTCTTTAAATAACATATTAAACATTAGTGTTGGCATTGCTAACCAAACATGAATACTGCTGTACAAAGCAATTGCTAGTCTACATGATTTGACTTGTTTTTTGTTTTGCTTTCGTTTTTTAACAGATTGTTGTATTCATCCTTTGGGTTGCTCTGTATATTTTGTTCTGTTTTCTGAAAAGTAATAAAAATTTCAGTTTTAAGAATGAATTATTTGGATAAGTAGATAAGTCTGGACTCCAGGGTGCTGACATGGAACTGTAGCGAAAAGTACATCATTTTGAGCCCCTCATGCTATCGCTTTGATAGTCAGTAGGCGGAGCTGTTTCTTTTTCATCAGGCTAGTTTTGGCCAGAGACACATCAGCAACTAGCGTCCCCTTGTTCATGAGAGCTTATTAGGCAAACACACAGAGCTTCCAAGGTATTCTGGGCCACCTGCTGGCTCTGGGAAGGAACTGTAAGTCTCCCTTGCTCAGCAGCATTGAGACACTGTGAGTGAGCCTATAAGTGAGGGGGGTGGCAGATGCAAAAAGATGACCAGGTCACACAGCCAATATGCTGACCCTTCTTCTACTAATCTTTTGAAATTGCAGGAGCCTCATTAGCCTCAACTGCACTTTCATCTGGCCACTCCACAACCTTGTCTTCCAATTGAACTCTGCTCCAAACAAGCCTCAAGTAGTAATGGTTCATTCAGGCAGACTTGCAATTCCAAGGGGCACCATCTCCCTGTCTATTGCGCACCCTTCACTCCTGCTGAAGGTGTTTTTCCTTTCAGCTTGGATCGCCTTTAGTATTAGAGCCCAAATGGAGTTGGGGAAGAGAATTGGGGGTGGGAGTTGTGTTTGACCATCAGTTAAGGGAGGAGGACTAGGGCAAAGGGTCCAGTATATCCTGTACTTGCATCCCTCTGGTGTCTTCAATTGTAGTTAAATTGTAGACTTGTCTTTGAAGACATGGGTCTGCCACTGTGGTCTTTAACTAGGATGTGGAATGTCAGACCTGGAGGCTGAATGCAGCCTTCCTGGGTGTTTTTATCTCTCCCTCAGAGCTCTCTCCAGCCACAAACCACACTTTGCCCCCTGAGTGTTGTTGCTTGGCTGGAATGTGTCCTTGAACTCTGATCATGTGTCTTGGAGAATACAGAGAAAACAGAAAGGTGAGTGAGTGTTCGCCTACTATACAAAGGTATAATTTACCTTCCTTGCTCCTCCCATTTCTGCCTCTCGCCCACCCACCAGTCACTCTGGGTGACTTCCAAGATATATGAAAACAAAATAAGTCACTAAACATTTTAAAACTTCCCTATACATGGCTGCCTTCAGATGTCATCTAAGGTTGTAAAGTTACTCATCTCCTTGGCTTGGGGTTCGCATAACTCCATGCCTTCCAATATTTCTCCCATGAAAATAGGGAGGTTCTAAAGAAAAGTGGGACATCCGGGGATCAAATCAATAACTGGGACGGCTTCTGTAAATTCAGGACTGTCCCTGGAAAATAGGGACACTTGGAGGGTATGGAATTCTGGAGGCTTCAAAATTGTTATATTGGTCACATCAGTTTTAAAATACTGTGAAAAGAAAGCATTTAAACTATGACATACAGCTTGAGGATTAAACCAGTTAACACACAAACAGTTTCATCTTAACTGGAGTTCAAATAATATTAGCTAAAACACAAAATATTATGCAAAGCAGCATACAAATGTTATGTTGGTCACTATGGAGTTACGTTTGCTACCCTCTCTCTGCTACCCTGTTTTTCCTTCTTCCACCCCCCCCCCTTCTTGCCACCCACATGAAATTCGGCAGATGCCTGCAGCTGATGTTTGGGCCCACCCCTTCCTTAAATGAAACATTGGATGGTCCTCTGCTGTCAGGGGTTCCTGCTGACCAGCCATGCATTGCTCCGGTCTCAAACTCACAGCAACGTGGGTAGGCTACTCTTCTAACAAAAATACCTCACCCTGAACCGCAGAGACTCAGCCAAGCTTGAAGCAGCAGAACCAGATGCCCCCAGATCTTCTGCTCAGGGCAGAAAGAGGGAAGTTCTTGTGACAGATGCACAGCCTTAGTTGCTGCTGGGTTTATTGTTATTTTGGGCCATCACAGCTTGGCTGAATCGGACCCTGGCAAACAGCTGCACTCAGCCCTGAAAGGGCACTCTTAACACAGCTAAGCTGAGCTCCTCAGCCTTCGCCTGCATCTTCACTATCAGGTAGGAATACAAATGAATGATTCCTAGGGAAATAACTCTTACTCGAGAGCTTTGATCTTCTAAGGGTTTTTTGATGAATGACCCATAAGGGGATGTCTCACCAGGGGTGTTCGCAGGTGACACACAGCAAGGGTACAATCTGTGTACCTGTGTAGCTAGGCAGTTGAGCTGTACACACTCGCAGATATTCACATCTAATGTTCAATGGGAGTCGGGTCTGTGTACACAACAGTGGAGCTTTGCAAATCAACACATGCAAATTGTTTCATGCAAACCCTTGTACTGTGTAGAGGCAGCTGGCACCTCTGTTCAGTCTATTGTGTGAACAAGGCAACTAGCAGTTGTGATCCATGTAGGGCTGGCTGTAGCTTTGGCAGGTCCCTGGGCAAACTGTCTCCTCCAGACAGCAGCCCAATGTACAGGGTTGGGGAAACATTTCCCATCACTTCCCTGCTGGGAGAAACTCTGTAAAGGAGTTGTAAATGTTACATAGCTGTGCCTTTCAATGCAGGTGTGTTTGTTTACACAGATTGTCACTGTGGGGGACCCAATCAGGAAACAAGGCAGTGTTAACCCTTCACCCCCCACTGTGGCTTCTCTTCACCTGCAATTGGCAAAGTAAAACAAGATTTTGTTTATCTCAGTTGCGTAGGTTTGGGACTCTCAATTCTGATTGAGATTTGAAGCAAACAGTTAAAGCCTTCTAACAGGCACTCCTCCCTGCTTCTTGGGTTCCGATCTGGATCCAGTATCATGCTGTCAAAATGTGTAGCAGGGTGGGGTGGGGGTGGGGAAACCCTTCCATTCCCTTCATTTAAAGATACAGCTACACAGGTAATACAAACTGTTCTTTGACCCATGTGTTAGAAAGATTGGTAGGAGGTCATGCGGTAGTCGGATTTGTTGAAGTTGGCTTCACTCCATTTCTCATGTATCCTATCTTAATTTTTGGTTTGCCACATTTCCACATTCGTTTGCTTTTTTCCTTTAAAGTATCTTTTTTAAAAATTGTACACCTTTGTATGCCATTTTGCCTTATAGATACATTTTCCCAAGCAAATTTACCTAACAGAAAGCATTTTTAATGTGGTCATTCCTACCAATATATGCATTTTAATGCATACTTCCCCCTCCATGTGCATTTTAAATGGGCGTTTTGATGGAAGACTTGTGCATTTGGAGAACGGCCAAAGGATAGCTGAGTTTTGGTCAACACTTTATTTCAGGAAATGAGAAGTAGGTAGTTGAACATTAAAATATAGACTGAACCAAACTTCGCTCCCAACCCTAGGGAGGTCCAACCACAAGCAGCCTTTGAATTTGGTTCAGAACTCTTTTCACCCATGTGTGTGTCTGTCTGTCTGTGATCAACTCCGGCCCAAGAAATCAATGTCCGCACTGTGGAAGGACATGTGGGTCCGGAATTGGCCTCCACAGTCACTTACCAACTCATTGTTAAAACTGTGTCTATGGAAGACAATCTTACTCGGCTATGAGTGATCGCCAAAGAAAAGAAGATTTATTTTTACAATGTTGCATTTATTGTTCATGTTTTGTGTGTATATGCACACACAGTTAGTTGTATTTATTGATTTGGGTTTTGTTTCCCCCCTCCCCTCCGGCTTTCCCAAATGCAATATATAAATTCAAAGTTTTCTGTGCTTAAAATACTTCAGTTTTGTTTGCTTCCTCTAATAACTTTTGTACTTGATCAGGAGGAAGTGCTCAAGCAAGGAAACTGATGTGAAATAGAATGTTCCTGTTTTCATCTGAGGAATGTCGGAGGGTATAGCTGCACATCCTATTGATGGCCTGACTCTGTAAGGGATGCTACAACTGGGGTGGGCAGGCATACAGGTTGCAAAGTCTATTTATTGCAAGGGGAGGATGAACTCTAGTAGAGCAGCTCAGTCTGCTGAGTCTTGCCTCTGCGAAAAAGAGGAGACAGAGACAGCATGGGGCTGATGGCAAAGTAAAACAAGATGGACAGCTGATGGGGCAGCCTGAGACCCCTGCACTGCCCTGCACTCATAGGGGGGATGTCACAGGGCCTGGCATGTCTAAGTCTTCTGATCCAAGCTTCACTGTACTTCCTGCAGCATCTCAGCATGCCGGAAAAGCAGTAGCTGTCAGTGGCCAGATCGAAACAGGCAGGAGTTTGAAAAGGAGCTTTCAATTTTGCAAGGCAAATTCAGTGCATGTTCACTATGGTTGGTGAAATTGGTCCATTTTGGTTTCTCCTTATTTAGAATTGTAAGTTCTGTATGCAATATAGCTGTATTGTTTTGGAAATGTTCTTAAGAAGTTTCCTTGCTCTCATGCAGATCAAGCTAGTATTTCTGAGCTCTGAGGGGGAAGTGGAGAGGTTGGAGTCTCCTATTTATATCCTACTTCTGAGCATTGATATGGGCTCTACAGAAGGCCTGAAATGGATGTGGGAGTCACACTGGAATATTTTGATTGAAGACAATGGGTGGACTTCTATGTGGTTAAGGTTCCCATTGACATCCATTTTATCTACCATGAGAGAACATGCATTGAAAATAATGCAAAAATGCAAAAATATGAGACTGTTTCAAACGAAGGTGTCTAATTAGAGATCCTGTTGGAGAGGATATAAGGAGCCGAGGTAATTTAAGGTCAGGTGGAGGACAAAGTGTCAGAGTTTTGGACTGTGGTCTTTGCAGAAATTTCTATAGTGATTGGACAACAAGTATTGAAATCTCTGGAAACACTACTGTTAAATAGGAAGGGCACTACATTAGCTGATTGGCAGAAAGCGGTTTGGGGAGTTGCTTTGGTGACCCCTCCCCCAATAATCTGCTTAAAGAAACAAAATATTAATTTTCTTTTGTACTGGTTTGGTGATTTTTATTGTTTATGAAAGCAAGGATGAAATTCAAAGACAACTCCCAGCAGCATGCAAAACTTTCTGGCTCCTGTGAACATAATGGATTTGAATTTGTATTCTCTCCCCGCCCCCCCCATCCTTTATGCTTACTGGAGACGGCTGTCTTCCTGGTAGTTAGGGACATTGAAAAGTGCCATACACAGAGTCAGCCCATTGGTATTATTTATTGTTTACTTATTACCTTTCTTTTTCTAAGGCGCTCAAGGTGGTGCACATGGTTCCCTCCTCCCTTTCATCCTCACTACAACCCTGTGAGGTAGGTAAGGTGAAGAGATGGTGACTGGCCCAAGGTCACCCTGTGAGTTTCAGGGCAGAGTGGGGATTTGAACCCTGGTCTCCCAAGTCATAGTCCAGCACTCTAACCATTACACCACACAGGCTCATTGGTCCATTCAAGTCAATACTGCCTACTGACTGGCAGCAAATCTCCAGGACTTGAGGTAGGAATCTCTCCATGCCTTGCGACGACAGGCATTGGATCTGGGACTTTTGCATGCAAATCATGTGCTCTGTCTCTGAGCTACGGCCCTTCCCATAGGAGTACTATGGGAGAAGAAGCTCAATAGACAGGAATAGAGCTTGTGACAGGTTCTCCTCCTTCCACCAAGGTGCATAAAAGCACATTTCCATACACATTCTTATGATTCTGGGAATATATTTTTGATGGTAAATAACTGTTACTGAATGAATCAATAATCCATTTCCATCCCCTTGCTTCCAGATTTGGCCCTTGCATGAATTCACAATGAGGAGCTTCTTTTGTCTGCTCTTCCTTCCAGGTAATGCAAGTGTGATGCAGGTTTGATTTGTGCCAACAAAAGCAAACTGGGCTTCTGGTCTCATTTAAGCACCACTGCTCTCTTTGGTCTTTAGAAAAGAATGAGGAGAAGGCAGTGGTGGATGTTGGGCTCTCAGATTTCAGCAGTGCCCTTTGCGACACTAAAATTCCATGAGGCCCCCCCCCCCCGTAGCTCCATTCTGAAACCGTGTCTTGATGCCCCCTGCAGGGTAGTGCTCAGTGGGACCACACCACTCCTGCCACCCTAAAAGTGCCTCTGATGATGTGATGATGGTCCAGTTTAAATCTCCCACTAATGCGCTGCTATTGACATGTTTCAGAATATTCCTGCTAAAAAGCCACCAGTCTCGAGCGGTAGTCAGAAGTTTAGTTTAGTTTTGATTAGAGAGCACTGCCTTCAGATCATTTTCACCATCCTTCTGAATGCATGGTGGCAGCTGAGCAAAATATCACATGTTGTTCTCCGATTTAGGTATCTTGGGTAAGGAAAATATGTTGACTATTGCACCGAATAATCTGGCTGCGTGGGAAGGATCCTGTATTCTGATTCCATGCAAGATCGATGAAACATATAAGAGCGTTCGGGTTGACAACTTCTTCCTGATTTGGTATTTTGACCCTAAGTATGAAGACAATCTGAAAGATTTTACTGGTATCATGTTATACAATGGCTCCACCATCTCAGAGAACAACCTGACTGCAACAAGTCCCCACTTTCTGGATCGGGTGAGGTTTGTTGGGAATTTAAACAGCAGAAACTGCAGCCTGAAGATCTCTCATCTCCAGAAAAATGACAGAGGCACATATGGAGCAAGACTTTATGGCTTTGTTGGAATCAATCGTCATCTAGACATGTGGTTTGCTCCTGCTGCTGTTAATGTTAACGGTAAGAAACTTTCAGAGATGATTTGTTCTCCACTCTTGCGAAAGTGGTCAAGTAGTCTGGAAGCTAAGGGCACCTCCAGACTGTCACTCTTCTGTGGGAGAGATTCAAGTGCATACCACAAATGTAGATTTATGCTCTTTTAAGTGCTCTGTTGCCCTAGTGCAAGAATTCACTTTTAAAAAGAATCAGCCTTTCTGTAGCTTGGCAAGTGACAGGGTCATGCACTGAAATGTGTGGGGTGAGCAAATGACTAATGTGGGAAGATGAGTAAATACCTCATAAAGAAATCAATATGAATAACAGATGCATAACTGCCCTGTGATCAAATCAGAACAAATGGTCAACAAGGATATACTCTGCGTAAGTTTAATGCAAGGAAATACAGTGGTACCTCGGGTTAAGTACTTAATTTGTTCCGGAGGTCCATTCTTAACCTGAAACTGTTCTTAACCTGAAGCACCACTTTAGCTAATGGGGCCTCCTGCTGCTGCCGTGCCGCCGCGGCGCGATTTCTGTTCTCTTCCTGAAGCAAAGTTCTTAACCCGAGGTAATATTTCTGGGTTAGCGGAGTCTGTAACCTGAAGCGTATGTAACCCGAGATACCACTATAAAGATGAACGTTCAATAAATAGGTCTTCAGGTGGAGTACTAAACTTTCACTTTTCTAATGCCGTAATTATAATCCTATAGGAGTCATAGAATCAAAGAATTATGGAACTGGAAGGGATCTCAAGAGTAGACTAACAGTAATGGGTAGACTGGTAACTGAAGAACATTTCTGGAATCCCCTCCTAAGGGTTTGCTCAATGACACTAATAATGTAATAATGTATTTGCTAGGCAGCCATGCCATATCTTTGTGTGAAACTAATGTGTCATTCATCAGCTACATTGTGTTGCATCAAACGTTAGTCCACTCAGAGTAGACCCAATGAAAATAATGGACCTAAGTAGATTAACTACTATAGATACAATGCACTGTGTTCTTATTTGCCTTGCCAGTATCTAGTGCTGCGTTTTTCACAGCACTTTGTTATGCAAAAAGAATCAAATATTTATTTATTTATTTTACTACGTAACAAATTTATAATCTGCTTTATACCCTGAAGGCCCTGAATTGGCGTGCAAGTTAAATATAGGGATACTATATACACAAGTTCAGCTTTAAAAATTAAAATAAAAAATTCATATGAACTTCAAATCAAGAAAACCACCTCTGCAAGTTCTACAAAAAAAGAATAAAATCATTTCTGCAAATGTCCATTTGACAAATATCAACTCAGAGGCAGGTATAACTATGCTAAGATGCAGCATCACAGAAGGGGTTAAAAATAGGCCTGGATGCTTCTTGCCATTTTTGGATAGATGATCAAGGCTCTTATTTGCTCAACAGCTTCCTTTAAGATCAGGGAGGGGAAACTTTAAACTTCCAGAAGTTGCAGGATTAGAACCCCCATCACCCCTGACCATGCTGGCTGAGGCTGTTGGGAGTTGGGGTCCAAGGACATGCGGAGAATCACAAGTTCTCCATCTCTGGTCTACAGCTTTGCCTGATCAATGTCTTGGAATTTCCCTTTTTAATTTTCTGCATGCAGTGTCACCACCCAAACCCCAAATAGAAAGCAGAATGGCACAAATCCGAGAACAGTGGCCAGTGACAGTGACCTGCTGGGTATTTTACCACTGCCCCGATGAGCCAATTATGTTGACTTTCAGCGGCTTGGAGGAGAGTCGTATGTCTTCCCAAAAAACAACCAATAGAGATGGAAAAGTCCAGACTGTTCTGAGTTTTACTCCAACTTGGGAGGATCACAGGAAAACGCTGACATGCACTCTGAAAAGCCACAATGGGACAGAGATATCCCAGAGCACCATGACATTGGATGTGAAATGTGAGTATTCAGGGGGGATGAAACTGGGCTATGTGGGGGAAATCTGGAAAAAAGATATTTCACCTGAACTGCACAAGATTCTGTTCCTCTGAAAAGCCATCGTCTGAACTCTGAATCTTGTGAGGGATGGGGGGCTTTGGCTTAGGCATTTACAGTAGTAAGAAGCATGTGATTGTTGCATTTGGAAGGATATTACTGTTACTGAGTACAAAATGTGATGGGAATCCCTGCAAGATGGGAGGGGGTTATAATTAAGGGTCCCTGATTATATTCTAGGACCTCCAGCCTTGCAGCTGCTGTCACTTTCTGATGGTACTTATGACTTCCATATTTTATTTATTTCAGATAGTCCCAAAAGAGTTAAGCTGAGCGCTATGCCTGGAATCACAGTCCGAGAAGGGGAGAAACTCTCTCTTGCATGTACAGTCAACAGTAGCAACCCTGAAGTTACATACCAATGGTACTGGAAGGATATGCGGAAATATGAATGGAGGAGCCCAATAAAGGAATTTGAACCTGTAGGAGAACAAGATTCTGGTGTCTATCGCTGTACAGCTGAAAACACAGTTGGATCCGGTAGCTCAGAACTGACCATCAATGTCCAGTGTGAGTTTCTTTGTTGGGCTGGTGAATGATGACCATCAAGATTTACAGACATTACTCACCTCTTCCTTCCTCTTTTGAGGGACTTTTCTTATTCCAGAAGAGAACTACTTTCTCCTTCTGATTTTCATGCACTGTGTGACTATCAGGACAGGAAACAGGAAAAAGCTTGTTTAAAGCCAATTCTATACACACACCAATATAGTTTGTAAACCTGCATCATTGGTCTTGCATAAAATGTACCTTTAGAATACAATCTTAAGTCCGATCACCTTCAGCCTCACTCACCTCACAGAGTGTTTGTTGTGGGGGAGGAAGGGAAAGGAGATTGTTAGCCGCTTTGAGACTCCTTCAGGTAGTGATAAAGCGGGATATCAAATCCAAACTCTTCTCTTCTTCAAAGATGGGCAGGGTTGCATCCAGGGCTGGCTGGTGGCTGGCTGGGTCTGGAGGAAGCATAGACATGGCCTCATTTAACCCCATAGGTGCCGAACTGCAGTATCTGAACACCTTTCTGTGGACTTTTCCAACACCCCCAAATGAGAAATAACAGATATGATGAGAAAATTATTTAATACTCTCCCAAAATCTCCCTCCTGGGGTTGGGTTGACTCACCCTGATTAATGTGGCATGCTGGACCAGGATCTTCAGCAGCAGGATTATAATCCCTACTCAGACATGCAGTTCACTGGGAGTTCCTGGACCCCAGTCACCATTTCTCAGCCTAGCTTACTTCACAGGATTGATGTGAGGATGAAATGGGGAGGTGGAGAACCACACTCAGCAGCTTGAGCTCCTGGGAGGAAAGGTGGGATGAAAATATATACTGTACATAAATAATGGTTGGCCAAATTAATACCACAGCAGTAAACATCATAATCACCATCAGTTAATTAACTGATGATGATGATGATAGAGGGGGCAGTAGTGATTCTGTTGACACGGTGGTAGCAGAGGTGGCAGTGAATGGTAATGATAAAAGTGAAGTCTTACTCTGACTTCCCCTGTGTGTGAAGACAGGCTCTGGCAGACTGAACAGATGAGACCAAAGTGGGTCCAATGGTCAAGGAGACAGTTTCTGCACTTGCTGTAGAGGGGAGTGGGGGGCAGATGGGCTCATCAACCCTGGGAAGGTAGCCCATCTAGGAGAAGGAAAACTCTGATCCAGAGTGGAGTCTCTATGATGGTTAGATGGTGCCTTGTATAGATGGTGCCTCCTTCTGGCAACTCCTGCAGCCAAGCTGGTGCCAAACATGTTGCTCTGCTTTCTTGTGGGCCACACAAGCAAGTTGGAGAAGGGGGTCTTCTCTTCAGGGCAGCTCAGGACCTCCATACCCACTGCCCAGGCTCGTGCCATATGGAGGTCACTTTGATGCTGCTAACGCAGCGATTTGACTAAACCCACGGAAGCACACTCTGTTGTCTCTCAAGGCAGGTGGATGCCAACAGCAGTCATCATCAGCATAGTAATGATCTGTCTTCTAACAGTATCTCAAAATGTCCCTCCTGGAGTGGGCTGACTCACCCTTCCATATGGTGGGGCCAGTTTTGCTACCTTCACCAATTCCTGAATACACACGTTACTCTCTCACAGTTCTCTTGTCCCCCAAGGCAGCACACACATTTTCTTGCCCTGAAACAAGAGTCCTGATTTCAGTGTCCATAATATCTCTACCCCAGATCCACCAAAGGATGTGAAGATTGACGTGTCACCAGGGAGAATCAAAGAAGGGGACAACGTGGTTTTGCGATGCTCTTCCCGAGGGAATCCTGCCACCAACCGCCATGGTTGGTATAAAGATAGGGAGTCTGGCATAATTGGAACTGACAAGGAGCTGCATTTTGAGGCGATCCAGGCCAGAGATTCCAGTACCTATTACTGCATAGCCTGGAACACCATTGGAAATTCAACATCCTCATCCGTCACCCTGGATGTTCAGTGTAAGTAACCTCAGTTTCAGGAAGTGAAGGGTCTGTAGCTTGGACTTTGACTGGCAGGGTCATAGCTGTGCTCTGCATCAGCTGCCACCTGATCCTTATAAAAACCCTGGAGGTACCAGGAATATTGACCACTTGCATGCAAAGTATGTGGCACATCATATACAAATTTAAAAGACAGTTGGGCGTATTTGCTGGAGAAGATTATCAATGGCAGCTGGACATGACAGCTTTGTTGTACCTCCACCATCAGAGGCTATGTGCTGGAAATCTCAAGTGGGGACAGTGTTCTTGTGTTCATGTCCTGCTTAAGGACTTCCCATATGCACAGTGGTTATTGACCACTGTGAGATGGGCCTTTGGCCTGATTCCTATGGGCTGTCCTGAAGCTCTTACCTTGGGATGCAATGAGAGGTCAAGCAAGGCTGTTTGTATAAACGAGCAACTCTGCTTGATTTCTGCAAGCTGAATTGGGATAGTAGCACCAGCCACCTTGAGTGAATCTTGTCCCAATCCTGCTTGTGCACAGCCCTTGAATACCATGCTGGTGGAGGTGGAGGGTGAATCCTTTACTCTCTGGTTAGAGCTTATGGAGAGAGTTGGGCACCACCAACCTTCCTCTATTGATGTTCTCCATGTTCATGATCCTCCTTTGCTGGCTAGTGCAGAGTGAATTAAGGCCATTGAATGCTTCATTTAAGAACAGAGGTGGCTGCCTTATACAGAGTCAGACCACTGGTCCCATCTAGTTCTATGTTGTCTAAACTGGCCATGGCTCAAAGTTCCATGCAGGAGACTCTCCTAACCCTGTGTGGAGATACTGGGGATTGAACCTGGTACCTTCCACACGCAAGGCAGATACCCTACCACTGAGCTATGGCCCTTCCTTTTAAAGGCTGTAAATCTGAATGTGCAAGGCCCACTACTGCATTTTCAGTATGAGCAATTTCTTGCTCACCTGCTCCTACATAATTTATACTTGGGGGCATCCACAGTGTGGCAGACTAGCAGCCCATGTGTGTTGACTGCTTCCATGCTTCTGCTGGTGATATTTGAATGATGCTGATCATGCTAGTGGGACTGGGAAATTGGGTAGTGATTCTGTCAGGGCAGGTGCCAGGAGCTGGTCAGTAATAACTCACATGATGTCACTGAAGTTAACTCTTTATTCAAAGAAATAAACAGCTCAGGATTCCAGGCCTAGTGGGCACAGTAACTCTTCCCAGTAGATTGTGGGAGATGTCAGAGATTGAACTACAATCTTTAAGCTGCAACCTTTCCCATGTTATTGTGACTATAACTCAACTTTTGGAAAGTGGGTATAAATGTAGAAATGAAATACTTCTGGAAAATGACCAGCAACCGTGCACATAAACAACTTGGAGATTATCAACATTAACTCGTCAATGTGCAACATTTGTATTTATAGGTATTTATGCTCATTCTTTGCTATTTTGTGTGTGACTGATTATTGTGCACATCTCCCAACTACGCACATCATGGATGATGTTTCTCAGGAATAAAAAAAGCATTGATTTGATTTTCCAGATGCTCCCAAGAATGTCCAGCTTACCCTTAATAGCCGTCAGCCCATAACAGAAGGAGACACTGTCCCACTGAACTGCTCTGTGGGCAGCAGTAACCCCAGTCACAAATGGTATAACTGGTACAAGTCAGGGAAACGTATAACTCATACTCAGGAACTGTACACCTTTACTGCATCACCTGAAAAGGTCAGCATTTACAAATGTGAAGTTTGCAACGTGATCAACTGTACAGCATCTGCACCCATCTCTGTGAGAACACTCTGTAAGTAATGCTACTGGAAGACCTGGAGCACATGTACCAGTCAAGCAGAGGGAGAGGTTATGGGAAGGAAGGTGCAGTCATTTCGCAAACTTGAGCCACACAGGCTATGTGGCTCCACTACGTGTTTAGAGAATTGCAGGTTGAATTTAAATAACTTAGCCAAATCACGAGAAGGGTGTACTCTTTGGCATATAGAGCCTCTTAGCGTAGACTGATCTTACACCTGAGATCCCAAATTGTTAGCAGCCTTATACATGACAGAGGCCAGGATGCTTGCCTATAGAAATTATGAGCCATTATCAGTCGCAACTTACACAGGCAGACCCGCTATGGCAGAAAGATTTTGGAGAACATTTTTTTCTGATGCTCCTCAAGGGGTGGGCACCCACTGTTGGCACTATTTAAAAAAGGCAACTGCCAAAAGCAGGGCTGTTGAGTGCAGCAGGTATGTGCTTTTCAAGCTGAAAATTGAGGTTGATCACTCAGATTTACTGCAGAGGAATCTGTATTCAGAGGTTGTTGTGTGTGTGGTGGGTTTTGTGTGTGTGTTCAGGTGCGAGGGCAGGTGGGGCACCTCATGTGATACACTGCCTTTGGTCTCTCCTCCTGCAGTTGGTCCCAAAGCTGTGAAAGCTGTGCGAGAACCCCTGGGGCTGATCAAAGAAGGCAGCTTTGTTAAGCTGAGATGCGAAGTGAGAGAAGCCAACCCCCAGGAGCTCACCTACATATGGTACAAAGAAGGGCAACATCTGCAGCTGAACTCTACGGTGACCATCCCGAAAGTGACCCCTGAGCATTCTGGCAGTTACTATTGTGCAGCAAGCAACCAAGTAGGCTCAGCACAGTCCTCACCAGTTTGGCTGAGTGTCCGTTGTGAGTATGGAAAGGAGAGAGTGCTGGAGATGGCTGATGAGGACCCCACCCCAAGTACCTGATTCCCTTACTCTGTCCTCAGGGGTGGCCCATCCATTCTCGCTGCTTGAGCCAAAATGGGAAGTGTCACTCTGCCCTGCCGTTGGCACCGCTGCCTCCACCACCCTCCCTGCCGTTTCCTTCACTGGTGGAGAAGTGTTGATTTCAGGAGAGATCTCCCCAATTTCGGGTGAGATCTAGCCTGAAACCATGCAAGATATTGTGCACTTCACAAGATCTTGTGCAATTTCAGTGAGATTTCAGCTGAAATCGGGGTCAATACCAGCCCCAATTCACCCCTATAAATTGGGGCAGTGGGGCAGGTGGGGTCTGCTTAGGCAGCTATTGCTACCTGAGGCAGCATCCCCACCCCGCCAAATGGCACATCACCCTGCCTGTCCTCCAAGCATTGCTTCTAGCTGAGGACAAGCTTCCAAGATCTTTTCTTCAACCCTTGCCTTTTAATTAGAACCAGAGCTGTCCATTCCATCCTCCTTAGTTTCATTGTTTCCTTTCTAGAACACAGCAGGGAAAAAGGATGGGGGCAAAATTCAAGTTAAAAAGTTGGATCTGCCTCTCAATAGCTCTGGCTTCACCTACTGTTGGTCTCTCTCTGTCTTCTGCCCTATAAGCCCCAAAGGGCACCAGCAACCCTTGAGTCATATTGAGAGCCTTAAGACAAATACTGGACAGTGCTGAATGTATCTTCCCTGCCTTTCTTCTTGGCAGATGGGCCTCGCAATGTCCATTTACTCCTGAGCACCCAGGATGCTATCATTGAGGGAATGAGTATCTCATTGAGATGCGATAATGATGCCTTCCCACCAGCTGATGTTTACACATGGTACTGGAACAAACAGAGGCTTCAGGAAACTTCCAAGATACTTCAGCTTAGGAAAATCCAGGTCGACCAGTCAGGATCCTATCACTGCAAAACTTCCAATAGCATCTCTGAGCAGGAGTCACCGCCCATGGGCATCACTGTGTCCTGTAAGTAGTTTAAGGTTACTAGATTTTTTCCAATGAATCCGGGGACACTTTTCAACTTCAATAGGAATGATAGGATTTTGTATGCGGACTGATTTGTAAATCCAGGGACTGTCCCTGGGAAATGGGGATGTCTGGTAACCTTAGAGTAGTTATTAATGGCAGGTCAAGAATTCTACTTTGCAAAATGTTGTTTTAGTAGCTGCATGACCATCCTTTGTCAAGAATTGTATGTTGATAATTATTGTGGAAGGACGATCCAATGCATTTCCAACAACCTGTGATTTTGGGAGAGTATTGTGACCTGACCAAGGAGCATGGGCAAAGGAGAATCTTGAGGGCTAGACAGATAGTTCTGGAGGGCTGTATTTGAGCCCAGGACCAGAGGTTCCCCACTGCTAATCTATACAGATCTGCTGTAGTGTCAGAGTTATTGTGGGAAATAAACATGGCAGCAAACTCAGCCACTCAGAGCACTAGATGGTGGTGGTGGGGTTCAGAAAGTGGGTATACACAGCCCTGCCTGGGACCTTCTGCATGCAAAGCCAATGTTCTGCAGCTGAGCTCAGGCCCTTCTCACTGCTTGCAAGGCAGATGGATGCCAAGGAGAGGAACCTGGTGGACTTCAGTGTGCAACTGAACAAAAGCCTGCTTGGGATCAGGCAACAATCTTTTCGCCGTTACAGCCAGGTGTTGCAAATTCTGCGCTTTCTCCCTTTCTGTGTCATGTAGACAGCAGAGCTACTGTGTTGAAGCGTGCCCTGATTGGCCTGGGCAGTGTCCTATTTGCGGTTTTCCTCCTGGGGTTGCTGTCACACGTGGTGCAGAGATGGTAAGTGGTTGTGGGGAGAGCCTCTTTGACCCAGGCAGGTCATTAACTGGTGGTGTTTCTGAAGGAGGTAGGCTTCCCTGTTCTGCTGGCATTGTATCATTGCGCATTTAATTATGTATGGAGTTTGTAATCAAGTTAATGCTTGTAAATTGCTTAGAAGCCATTTTGGCATGTAAGCAGTATGTAACTGTAAATAACTAGTGGGTAATGTCTGGCATTGTCCAGGAATTTGTAAAAACAAAAAAGGTGTTTTTTAAATGAATAGTGTAGTTGCCAGTCATGCCCAAAATCAGACAAGGTCACATTTGGGCCTGCCATCCTGCTGCACATTGGCTCCTGACACCCAAACTTTGATGAAGCCTCCTGCCCCCACTTCTTGACACCTCATGCTGTTTTGTGATGAAACCCGGAGAGGTCGCCAAACCTATGGCAAAAAATGATCAAAGTCATACCCATGTCCAGCTTCAGTCTGCCATCTTGATTTAGAAGGGCATTTGGCATCCCAACAATGACAAAAACCACTACCCCACCTTGAGAATTCTCATGCTGAATTTAGCAACGATAGCTTGATAGCTGGGAAAACCTGTAGAGAACAGACAGACAGACCAGTTTCCAAAATATGTAGCAGAAGAGATTGACCAATGATCTGACAGTTTAAATAATGCCTATCAACTTTCTATAAATCACACACACCTTCTGTTTGGTGAAGGGGTTTGGAAGTGGTGGTAGTCCTCTGGTGAACTGCCCCAATGGGACAGAACTGTATCTTTTCTACCATTGCAGGAAGAAAACATTGGACCCCGGCACTGGAAGGGCACGGAGATCAGGCTCATTTTTTGTCAAGAAGGTTAAGTCTTATTTTCCACTGGTATCAGTACATTGTGGGAGGGTGAGGGTGTTGAATCTGTTTGCAAATAACAAGTGACATGGCTGCTTCTGTGACCAGCCAATGACCTCTAGATGTTGCTGGCGGTTGTGACGATCAGCATGAATTAATAGGACAAATTAGATGAAGCTGCACCACAGTCCCAAGTATGATGACAGTGGTTGCTTCTTCTCCCTTGTGGCAAGTAGCAACCTGTGGGAGTCATCCCTCCAGCCTTGTGATTGGGACTGTGGTGCAGTGGGAATTGGTTTTCCGTCCCCTTGCTTTGAAAAAGAATTAGATAAATACATGGGAGATATCAGTCGGTACTAGCCACAATGACTATGTTCCACCTTTACAGTCAGAGGCAGGGTAGCTCTGAATTTCAGGAGTGGTGGCTTTTCTCAGCCCTGAGTGACACATGGGACACCCTGTGAAATACATCTCAAAAGGCACAGGAGCCTGTCATCCTTTGCATGGAGGTGTGGGTGGGCAGGTGGAATATATGTCCCTGCAGAGAAAATGAAGGTGTCCTAGGCAAGAGAGTAAACACTGCTTTGTTTCTTAGGCCAAGGGAGAAAAACTGTGTAATGGTAACAACAGGCTGAGAGAAAATGGAGCAGATGGGTCCATTGGATTCCTGAACCAGGGTGCAGAAACTTCAATTTCTTATGCGGCGCTCAGGTTCCCTCCAAGTTTGTCCGAGGAACGCACTGTTTATGCCAGGTATGATGGGGAGCAGACTAGAGGGTTGCGGGAAGCTGTGGTAGATACGTTGCCTTTTTTGGAAGAAGGGGGAGTCAGGCAAGTGATGGGTTCAGATGAACTGCAGTAGGAAGGGACTTCCACATGCAAGGAGCCACCACTGAATAGGCCCTTCCTATACACTGCCTGTAAGGGACACAGGTGGCACTCTGGGTTAAACCAGAGCCTAGGATTTGCCGACCAGAACGTTGGCAGTTCGAATCCCCGCGACGATGGGGTGAGCTACCGTTGCTCGGTCCCTGCTCCTGCCAACCTAGCAGTTCGAAAGCACATCAGAGTGCAAGTAGATAAATAGGTACCACTCAGGCAGGAAGGTAAACGGCGTTTCCGTGCGCTGCTCTGATTTGCCAGAAGTGGCTTAGTCATGCTGGCCACCTGACCTGGAAGCTGTACACCGGCTCCCTTGGTCAATAAAGCGAGATGAGCACCGCAACCCCAGAGTCGGCCACGACTGGACCTAACGGTCAGGGGTCCCTTTACCTTTATACACTGCTGATGCCCATATTTTCTCTCTCCTTCCTTCCCTATGATGGACCAGTTACAAAGCAGGTCACCAGAGCTCCTGTGAGTCTATCACTGGTGTAGAAGAGGGGATTTCAGTTGGTACAGCTTCTCATGTGGTGGGTGGGGAAAACGTCCCCATCCTGAAACCACATCGTTTGCATGATGATTAAAGACTCAGCAACCCCGGTTCTTCTTTGCATCTGGTACTTCTGTTGCTCATCTCCTGTGAATGGGAAAGTGTATAAAGTCAGTAAGGGACCCACCCACTGAAAATCAACAAAATGCAACATGGTGCATTCTGGATGTAGATTACAACTCCAACCATCCTTCACCATTGACCATGGTGGCTGGGGATGATGGGAGCTGTGGTCTAATGGAGGGCACAAAGTTGACAAAGGCCGCTATATTGCACTCAGGCAGCCTAAGCACTAAATTCCTCTTCCATACTCCAAATGCTTTTCTAACTGGAATCTTCAATTCTTTACAGTGTCAAAGCACCGCAACCTGTGGATGATGCCGTGATCTACAGTGTGGTAAAGAAACCTCAGCTCCCCACAAAGGTACATCTTCATTGTAAAACAGAATCCCATGGGATGTGTGAATGACTTGGCTTCTCCAGTATTGTAGCCCATGATCTCCTATGGTTGGCATGTCTGGACATATGGTTGGAAGTATGCCAGGGGCCCACATCCTAGCAGGTTCTCCACTGACCAGAGAACCCTGGAGATGCTGCGGTGAGGAGGTAGACTCACAGAGGGAAAGAGGACCACGGAGGGTGTCCTCTCAAGGTATCCCCCATAACTCCAAAACGCTGTGAGGTTTGGTCCATGCAAGGTGGAGGTAGGGGCTTCAAAGGGGTCTGGTCCCAACACAAGCATGACCAATGTTTCAGGTAATGTACTAAATTTGGTTGTCATTCAGACTGCAAATGGCAGTTTGACTCACACTGTAGAGAAACAGGTTTAAGAGCAATATGTCTGCCTCTTTTAAAGCATCACAGAGAGTTGCGGCTTTCAATAAACGTGTATTGAATATATGGGACATAACTGTGTACAGCTGAAAACGCTGTCAGCATTAAGATAAATTCAACAGTGTAAATAAGTTTTGATGAACGCAATAACGGAACACAGATAGGTATAGTTTTTGTAAAATGTGCAGGGATTTATTATATGCAAAATCAACCATGGAAAGAGAAGAATGGAAGTCATGGATATCTCAAGGGTGTAAAATGAGTATTTTAAATTGTAAAACAAAAAAATAAATATATATTAAAGAGAGAGAGAGAGAGAGAGAGAGAGAGAGCATTGCGGCTTTCAGTTTAGTACAGGGAATTCAAGCTGTCACTAGAATATTTTTCTCAGCTTTGTGGTCAGCTGTAGAATAGGTGTGTGGTGAGAAGAACAGAACAGGGGAAGCCCTGATGCAATTTTCCCCAACCTGGTACCCTCCACCTGTTTTGGACTAAAACTCCCATCATGCCAGATGATTGGCCATGCTGACTAGGAATGATGGGAGTTGTAGTCCAAAGCAGCTGGAGAACATCAGATTAGGGAAGTTGCCTTAGTAGCACTCTCCTTTGGAGTCATGAAAAAGTCAGGTTTAATTCCACCCTGTTTTTGTAAAGCAACTTGAGAAGGTGGTTTTTGTTTTAAAGAACCTTCAAAAACAAAGAGCACCCGAATCTGGCAAAATAAAATGCCAGATACCTTTAATTAGCTGGGCTAATGTCACAACCACGAGAGAAAGGTAAACCATCCCTAACCTTCCCAGGTAATCCACTTCTGGATAGATAATGAACTGCCTTCATAGTGATTTGTTGCTCATGGCATTTGTTTTAGGACAAGTGAAAACTGAACTCAGTGGGTACCATTTATTTTTTTAATTTTAATTTGCTTTGAAACTCATATCATCAGGCTTGCTAATGCACAGGGCCATGCTGTCCTGATTCAGCTTTTGGTTTCTTATGCTGTCCCACCCCCTTGTTGGCAATTTACAAGAAATCGTCACCCTTGAAGTGAAAACCATTTTTCTTAAAAAAGACGAGCATGTGTTTCCTTTGTAAGGCCCAGATAGAATCTCTGCAGAGCGTAACACGGCCCCAGGGATATGCACTGTCAACAGCATCTCCTACTAGCTGTGCTACTTTTTAAAATCATTACAGTATGCCAGTGCCTTCTGCTATCTGCATGAGAAGCAGAAATTCAATAGGTAAAGGAGGCTTTCCTTGCCATAGTGGTGAGACGGGAGAGAGGAGAGAAATCTCTTGAAGTCTGGTCAAGCAACTGTTTAATAAACGTTTTGGGGCATGCGGAAGACCTGCCCTAAAGATGGGGGGGGGGAAACAAACCTAGATCTGTATTAATTGGCACTTCTAATGAAGCTACAAATCCATAGCTGTCAACTTACAGATTTGAAAATAAGGGACCAGCAGCCAAAATAAGGGATCAACAATTACTTTGATAAAATAGATATTTTGTTGCATGCAAATGGCTTTAGATACCTGTTAGGTCCATAAATTACCATATAGCATATATTCAACACAAAAAAACAGCAACAATTTGTTGTTGACAAAGCACTGCTGGACATAGAAAGGGCTCCATTACCTTCAGTAGCTTATTTAAGGGACATCATCAATAAGGGACAGCAGCGGGACATGGTGCTGGGATAAGGGACTGTCCTGCCAAATAAGGGACGCTTGACAGCTATGTACAAATCTCACCACCCCTGAATGTTGGCCATTCTGGCTGGGACTGGTGGGAGTTACAGTCCAATGATGTCTGGAAGGCACTGAGGTGGGGAAGGATGCTCTGTTGCATCCAGGAAGCTTAACCACTAAATCCAAAATGTGAAAGTTTTATCAACTGCATAGGGATACCTGTTGTAGCTTGGCTGGGTGGGAGTGCAGATGTAGTATCATGAAAAACTGTGGTCCTTAAAAAACACACGAAAAAACCAAGCTGTTAGTCCTTAAGTTTGCAGCGAGCACCCTGAAAAATGTGTAGGTGGTTTCTACTAAATATTCCAAGGCTTTGGGTGGAAGCTGCCTTAAAACTAGCCAAACTATTGGCCTTTTTAGCTCTGTATTGTCTATTCCAGGGGTCAGCAACCTTTTCCAGCTGTGGGCTGGTCCACCGTCCCTCAGACCATGTGGTGGGCCGGACTATATTTTGAAAAAAATATATGAATGAATTCCTGTGCCCCACAAATAACCCAGAGATGCATTTTAAATAAAAGCACACATTCTACTCATGTAAAAACATGCTGATTCCCGGACCGTCCGCAGGCCGGATTGAGAAGGCGATTGGGCTGCCTCCAGTCCACGGGCCTTAGGTTGCCTACCCCTGGTCTATTCTGATTGGAAGAAGCTCCCCAGGATTTCAGACAGGAGTCTCTTCCAGCCCTGGAGATGCTGAACTTGCCATGCAAGGCAGATTCTATGCTAGGCTTTGATGAAGGGCCAGGGAGGGCTGGGGAGGATTCTTAGTCTGAAACCCTGGAAAGACAGTACTTGCAGACAACACTGAAGTACAGTAAATGGACCAGTGATCTGACTCAGTAGAAGGCAGCTTGCTATGTGTGCGCTGCAAACATCAAACAAACACCACCCTTGTTGTCAGCATTTCTTCTCGACAGATTTTGATAATGGACATTCTCTGCAGCTGTCAGGATTCTGACAGCATCTGGCATGCAGAAGATAGTACCTGACAATGCAAAGCTGCAGCAGCGGACACTGTTTGATATTAGGCATGATTTTAACAGCTATAATCTAGCAGCAGCTAATATTTGACCATTTGTGATATTCTATAAGTATTAGAGCAAGGATGCAGAGGTTCTTGGACTCCGGCTCCCATCAGCCCCAGCCAGAACACCCAATGGTCAAGGATGATGGGAGCTGTAGTCCAACAGAATCGGAAGGACTACAGGTTCCTCAGCTGTGCAACAGAGGTCACTATTTGACAGCATCTCACAGGACAGTTGTTATGCAGCCACCACCAGTTTTGCTTCTGCAATATACTAGCCAACAATTGACGTATGAAAGTTGGTAGATGACATGCAATGAAATGCACTCCAGTTTATATAATGCATTCAGTCAGTCAGTCAGTTATCCAATCAAAACAGGCAAATTGCAACATTTTGAGATCCCCCCGTACAACTCAATTCAAATATTGCATTTTGAAAAATGGGCATTTATTGACCTTCTTTGGACTTTCATTTCAGTGTAACCCTGGGTCTCTCTAACACAGTAGAGAAGTCTTCCCCAACTGAGTGCCTTCTGGATGTTGTTGGACTACAGCTCCCATCATCCTTGACCAATGGTCCTGCATGCTTGGGCTGATGGGAATTGGGGTTTAATTACATCTGGAGGATACCACATTGCCTACCCATGGTCTACTGGCAGCAGCTCTCTGGAATTTGAAGCCAGGGTTCTTTCTCAGCCCTGCGTGATGCCAGGGGTTGTATCTGAGACCCTTTGCCTTTAGAGTAAACCCTCTGCTCCACCACTAAGCTACACTCCTTCCCCTCAACTTGTATCTCTTTCTGCTTTAGGGAGACACCAAACCTGACTACGAGAATGTGGTGAACAAGAGTGAAGAGGAACTGCATTACTCATCCTTGGTGAACCTGGGCCCACGGCCTCGCCCCACCTATGTAGACTCTGAAACAGACTCTGAATCGGAGGAGAGCATCCAGTATGCATCCTTGAAGCACTGATCCTCTTGGAACTAGCAGAGATCAGGAACTACTCCTAGACTCTTTCCCCTCTGTGTTGAGGTGGTGCCAGTGGCTGGGCCTGTATTATAGCTTGCTGTTTGCAATCAAATGCAGCAGAACTTGAGCGGGCAGTACAGATGATTTGACTGTACTGGGAGACAAGCAAGGCTGAGGTTTAGATAGATATGGTGCATCACTGCCAGCACAGCGCTCCACCTATCAACACATTTCATTGGTGATCGAGATCAGTATCCCCAAGTCTTGTCTTTCCCATCGGATCATATGGAAAAGATCTGCTATTCCTTCCTTCCTTCCTTCCTTCCTTCCTTCCTTCCTTCCTTCCTTCCAACAAGTCAATCCATACTTGCAAAATAGAAAACTGCTCTCTGTATATTCCAGGTGAGACTATTCATTCATCCATATCATCATATCATCAATCTTGGCTAGAAGCAGCTCTGCAGGCTCAGAAGTCTTTCCTATCATCTGCTGCCTGATCCTTTGAACTGGACATGTCACAGATCGAACCTCTGCGTGGATCCTTCCAGTCAGCTATGGTTGCATTTGGTTCAGGGATTCCCAAACTGGGTGGGGTCCCGCTGTGCCTTGAAAGGGATGGGGAAGATATTTGATTCAGATCATGTTTTACGGTAAACTTAAAGAATTCTCATTTCCCAAAGCCACACACAAACCGAAACACAGTTGTCCCTCAAAATTCTCACTTCTGCAAATTTTGCAATGTAGTTCTCCAACCATGCGACGCGTATAAAGAGGTATATGCAAAGTGGGCATATATATCTCTTTGTGTGTGTCCCAACTTTTCATATCAAGTGGGCCACAAGGGTACTTTGACATGAAGCCTATGGGCCTCACACTGCCTTGTTGTGCACATGGGGGGAACAAGGCCAACATTTGACCCCCTGTCAGCCCTCATTCTACCTTCCCAAAGCTGAGTAAGCAAGGTGCTGGCTTTGGGAAGGAGGTGGGAGGACTCTAAGACCCCATCAGAGCCCTTGTGCCTCATTCCCAAAGCCCAGTGCCTTGCTTACCTGGCTTTGGGAAGGCAGTGCCATGGCTGTGGGGGAACATCAAATGTTGCTGAGGACTGCCCAAAATACCTTGAAACTTTGAGAGAAAGACCACAGTGGACCACCCATGTGTGCGTGTGTGTGCACGCACGCATATCTATTAGTGAAAACAACATGGGGAAATGTAGTATATAAAGGGAAGTTGTTTTGCAAAATGCGCATTAGGCAAAATTGCAGACAAATATGTGCATATTGGGGCAGATTCACACTAAAATGGGTTATGAATTTTCATGATGTGAAAATGTGAAGAACTGAGCTTGGAAAGAATGAGAAACTGAGAGAAACCAAAACTGACACATTCACCTATACTGCCAGGAACTTCTTGCAGAGGCAAGAGGGCCAGAGGCTGACCCAGGGGAGGGGATGGGTGATATATGAGCTTTTGTGCTACCCAAGGGGCATGAGCTAGGGCTGGAGGAAGAGGGAGAGTCCAAGCAGTTGGCGATGAGGTAGGAGGTGTCAGAAGTGGAGGAGGAGACTGTTGCTGCCCCCTTCCCCACAGTCTCCAAGGACCAGGAGGGCTGGAAGAAGCAGGCATCTTGTGTAGGTCGCAAGTTTCTTGTGCATGCCCTATCAGGCAAGGGTTACTTAAGTCTGAAGGGGGGCATGGTCACACCATTGCACCAACAGCCTAGTTTGGGGCACAAGTGTGGGGCGGCGATGCCAGCTATTTCTTTGCCAAAGCTGTGTGTCCGGGTTCCGTGCACCTTAGGAGCTACATTAAGTGTGCGCTTTATCAATAAATGATTAAACTACTGGTCATTTGTCCTCCTTAGGCCAGAAGATACATATGTACTGACGAGATCATGGGACATACTGCATACCAACCAAGCATATATACTCTCGCTGAGCCGCAGCCATTACTAAGCTCGTAGTCACATTTGTGGACCTGTGAGCCCTATATGGTCAGTGACAAGACATCTGGTTCTGAATGGTATTGCTACAGCCTTGCCTTCCTTCTGTCACTCAGATGTAATCCATCAGTTTTGACATGCAAGTGTATCCATGGAGTTTGCTTTTGAATCTGTCTATTGATTGAACAAACAGTTGTCTCCAATGTTTTGCAAAACTTTCTCCTAGCAGCACTGATTGTATCTGAAAGAAGTTTATGGCAGTCCGCTTATATATCCTTTGTATCACATGGTGGAAATACTAATGGTTCCCAGAACAGCTTGAATCCAGGTATCATATCTCAATAACCCCATTCATTTTGTTCTAAAATGTCAAGGCTAGTGGACAGGTCCACCGCAAATGTACGTAATATCAATAACCACCTCCTTCCTTATGATGCTTCCAGCAAATGGGGATTGCATATATCTGATACCTGGCACACATTCCTCAGTGTCGTATGCCATCCTGCAATTCATTTTAAATACATTACTGTTTGAGTAGTACGTAATGGAAATCCACACACTGTTCTATATATATAATCCCCTGTATCAAAATGGAAAACAGGTTTTTGTCTTCAGCTACTGTCCTTCCCTGCAGCAGCCAACACAGAAGGTTGAGTGACAGCCGTATCAGTTTGGCAGCAAATTGGGACCAGCAAAAACTAAGGGAGTTGCTTCTAAATACTTGAGAGGTTCCCATGATATGCACATGTACATACCGATGGAAGATGTTCTATAAAAGGAAGGGCGATATAATGCAATAAATAGTGACGGATAATTAAAACCCTCTTAGCAATATGGAAAGGACTATGACTCTTTGGGATCTACAAAATATTGAGGTGACAGTTGAAAGGGTGATACCACCAACTACCGTTTTTTTCACTCCATAAGACGCACCAGACCATAAGGCGCACCTAGTTTTGGGAGGAGGAAAACAAGAAAAAATATTCTGAATCCCATAAGCCAGAACAGCAAGCAGGATCGCTGCGCAGTGATCCCTCTTGCTGTCCTGGCTTATGGGATAGCTGCTCGCAGCCTCTCCCAGGCAGCGGGATGAAGGCTCCCCTTGCCCGAAGAGGCTGCGTACGGCTAAGGCAGAAGCCAGGAGAGGCGCTTGGCTGAAGGGGTGTTGCACAGAGAGCGAGAGCTGCGCAGTGCCCCTTCAGCCAAGTGGTAGGAGGAACAGAAGGAGCCCCCTCTGTTCCTCCTCTGGCTTCGCAGGACAGGCGCTGCACAGAGAGGGAGAACTGCGCAGCACCCCTTTAGCGAAGTGGGAGGAGGAACAGAAGGAGCCCCTTCTGTTCCTCCTTTGGCTTCGCAGGACAGGCGCGTCGCTGAAGGGCCGCTGCGCTGTTCTCCCTCTCTGCGCAGTGCCATTCGCTCCATAAGACGCACTCACATTTCCCCTTACTTTTTAGGAGGAAAAAAGTGCGTCTTATGGAGCAAAAAATACGGTAGGTTGGCTTTAAAAGAGGATTGGACAAATTCATTGCAGATAAGGCTATCCTTGGCTACCATGTTCTACCTCCACAGATGGAGGCGATAATACTGGATGTCTGAAAATGCAGGAGAGGAAAGTGGTGTTGTACTTAGGTCCTGCTTATGGGTTTCTCATGGGCACCTGGCTGGTCACTGTGAGAAGAAGATGCTGGACTAGATGGGCCATAGGCCTGATCCAGCAGGCTTTTCTCACGTATGGAGAAGGAAACTGGGTGAGTTGATGGGGGGATGAGAGAACTGACCTATTCAAACCCCTAACAACCTACAGCAAGCATCATGGACTGGAGGGGGTTAAAAACAAACACCTATGCTGCACAAGTATGTGATTTGTTTTATTTTTTTGCTACAAATACTGTATTGCAGTGCAATACTGTGCATGTATACATGGAATTTTACAAAATGATAAGAAAAGGAACGGAACAGATTTTCTCCCCTCTTTCACAGTCCTTCCCCCAGTGTGTGTTTGTGTGTTACCGAACATTGCTCTCACTTCTAGGAACTTACTTCCCCAACTGCACCTATTTAGCTATGTCGCAATATCACAATGCCTGTCTTCCTCAGTAAATAGACCATCTTTCACAACTTTGCTGGCCTGTACAGTTAGGAGCCTGACACTGTTTTGTATTTTGAAAGCAAGAGGTTATGAAACAATAAAAATAGGTAAACCTGTGACGTCTGGGTTCCAGGGAAATCAAGTGGAAGATGACTTCAGCCTTTTCCAAGACCATGTATCCAGACTGCTAGCTCTGTTGACTCAGGCCTGCCACTCCCCCACCCCAGGCAGAGGTTTTAGATCTTAACAGCTAGGGGTGTCACTGAGCAGGGACCCCATCACTACCCATGGCCTTCTCCCAAACTTGAGTGGACCATCACCTACACCTGGGATCTATAACATGATGCTCATGAATACTACAGCATCCCCAGATACTTTCTTGTCACCTGCCAGTGCCCCTTGCCCCTCTTAATGATTTATTTTTCCTTTGGTTGGTGGAGATATTTTGGCAAGTGGGGATGTCCTGCTTTGGTTGGTCTGTTATGTATTTCTTTTGGGGTGTGTAGGTGTTTTTCTTTGGGGTTTTTTGTGTGAAATCTGAAAATCACAAAATTCCTTCTGTGAAATGGGTATTTCGGGTTGCCCACGACAGTTTTAGAATTCTGGGCTCAAAATGTTAGTTGGCCACTGGCTTCCATTCTAGGGCCCCTGTGGGCTGACCTGGGAGCAGAAATACTCTGATCAGAGCTAGGTAGCGGCTGTGGGACCTGCTCAAAGATGCTGGATGTAATGAAAGGCCTGCCTTCTGTCACTTTTATAGAAATCTAACATACAAAAATAAAATAAAAATTCCTTCCAGTAGCACCTGACAGACCATGAAAGCTCATACCAATAACAAACTTAGTTGGTCTCTAAGGTGCTATTGGAAGGAATTTTTTAAAATTTTGTTTCGACTATGGCAGACCAACATGGCTACTTACCTGTATACAAAAATCAGACTGTGAAACTTTTCACGGTATGGATCGAAACATCAACTTAATCTACACATTAGGGTGGTTGTGTACCTTGCTTTACAGAGGGATGCCAGTTTAAAGACTAAGAGCATAATAAGAAACACAGCCATCATTTGAAATTCTGAATTTTGCAATGCAGTTATCTGACCAAGTATTGTGTACACAAATGCATATGTCTGTGACAATCACACAAACACACACAGATTCTACTGGGGAATATTGCTCTGCAAAAATGTGTGTGTTAGGCAAAACACGGTTAAAAATGTTTTTCACTGGGAGAAATATGCACTAAACACTAAAGGGTTTTCAGGAGGACTGTTAAAACCATCATCATCACCATCACGCTGCTGTGGAGAACCGAACATAAGAAAGGACAAAATGAGAAACTGATAGAAACTGAAATTGGCAAATTTGCTGATGCCTAATCAGGATGTAAGAGGCATGGGTGGCGCTGTGGGTTGAACCACAGAGCCTAGGACTTGCTGATCAGAAGGTCGGCGGTTCAAATCCCTGTGACAGGGTGAGCTCCCGTTGCTCTGTCCCTGCTCCTGCCAACCTAGCAGTTTGAAAGCACATCAAAGTGCAAAGTGCAAGTAGATAAATAGGTACCACTCTGGCGGGAAGGTAAACGGTGTTTCTGTGCACTGCTCTGGTTCGCCAGTTATGCTGTACGCCGGCTCCCTCGGCCAATAAAGCGAGATGAGCGCTGCAACCCCAGAGTCGGCCACGACTGGACCTAATGGTCAGGGGTCCCTTTCCCTTTCCCTTTAATCAGGATGTAGCTCTCAGTAAAGCTCACCTGCTTGTTCCTTCCCATCTACCTCTTGTGGCCTGCCTTAGTGTTGGGTGTGCAAACTGGGACATGCATGTTGGGAGCAGTTCTCATACCCTTCCTGCATGGGGAAGCAGGAGGCCCTGTCAAAGGAAGCATTTTATAGGCTATTAACAGGGACAGGAGTGAGCAAACCAACAAACACTCTAGAAGCGGGCTAGATCTCCTCTGCAACAAGCTGGAGGGAATGCAAACAACAGCTGTGAGCAGGAGAGCCATGAAACGCCAGCAAGTCAATATTACCGTTTCATTGGCTGTGCATGTGTCAGACACTTCATTAAGAGGCCCTCTTTCCCTTCCAACCAATCCTGATCTTCAGACGCTTTTATCGGTTAATGCGATTGTGTTTGCATTTTTCTTTTTAAATGCCATGCAATCGTTCAGCACGATGACCTGCTGTAAATGTGTTACTGGTTTAAAGAAGCTGTTTTGTTGACAGGGTGGAAAACACACACACACACACACACACACACACACACACACACACTTAAATGTAGTGTAGCAAAGTACATAGTTATCTGTGGAGAACACTCTTTGGGGATTAGCCTGGAAGCTTCCAGAAGCTGTGAAGACTCTCAACCCCTATGGGTTGCTAGCTTTTATAATGGTCTTGCTGCTGTGCTGTTTAACACACACAAAATTAAATGAGAAGGCTTTACCTCATATGGGGTTAATATTGTTGAAAAGGCAACATATGCTAAATTTGAATGGATAATGTTGGTATTAAAAGTAGCAACAACAACAGCTGAAACTTAATCCAAATAAGACAGAGACACTGTTGATGGGGGGGATCATCTAAATTGGGTTAGGGCTAATTCCTGTCATCTGGAGATGGTCCTTAATCCAGAAACTTGCTTTACATGGTCTGGTGGTGGTGGTAGCTCACTCTGACAAGCATACCCCCTTTATCTTACCTTACTAAGGGAAGAAGGAATGATTAGATTTTTTTGCGAACATTATTTTTTTGCTAAATTCATACCATACGTTTAAAACTCTTAGACCACTTTAGCAGTCACGGCGTTTCCTGAAGAATCATGGGAACTGCAGTTTGGTAAGTGTGCTGGGAGTTACTAGTGTCACAACAAAAGTCTTTGAGGGCAGAAACTGGAAAGTGCTGGAAAATTCTCGAAGCTTCTAGAAGGTTCACGTCTGATGCAAATGACTACTTCAAGGTCATGCTGAGCCAGCAGAGATAAATTCTTGCACTCAGTGAGCTACTCTGTATCTCTCTCTTACTTTCATTTGTACCTCACGTGTCTGAAGTTTTTTTCTGAAGATTTTGCAACAAGCCTTTGCCATTTTAGTAAAAGTTTTTTCTTTTGGAACTTTGACTCTGTGTGGTCTTTTTTATTTATTGCAAGACGCTGTCCATCAATTAGGAGATCCCTCAAAGAGCTACAGTTTCCAAAGTTCGCCATGAAGAGGGCTTGCTCGTTAAACTTCACAGGGAAGTACAGCTATGTGTGAAGAATAACATGCCTGAACTACTGGCAACACTATGGAACTGTGGCTTTTAGACCAGTATATAGTGGTACCTCGGGTTAAGAACTTAATTCGTTCCGGAAGTCCGTTCTTAACCTGAAACTGTTCTTAACCTGAGGTACCACTTTAGCTAATGGGGCCTCCCGCTGCCGCCACACGAATTCTGTTCTCATCCTGAAGCAAAGTTCTTAACCCGAGGTACTATTTCTGGGTTAGCAGAGTCTGTAACCTGAAGCATCTGTAACCTGAAGCGTCTGTAACCTGAGGTACCACTGTACTGGCATGTCATGCTAAATATCATTCGCTCCAGTAAACATGGTGTGACACAACAATGAACATCACTGGACGCTGTTGTTTTTGTTGTTAGAATTAGTATGCTGCCCTTCATTCGAATATCTCAGGGCAGTTCACAACATAAAAATACGGTGGTACCTCAGGTTAAGTACTTAATTTATTCTGGAGGTGAGTTCTTAACCTGAAACTGTTTTTGACCTGAGGTACCACTTTAGCTAATGGGGCCTCCTGCTGCCACCGCATGATTTCTGTTCTCATCCTGAAGCAAAGTAATTCAACCGAGGTACTATTTCTGGGTTAGCGGAGTCTGTTACCTGAAGCATATGTAACCTGAAGCGTATGTAACCCGAGGTACCACTGTACAGAATGAAAACACAGAATACATAATAAAACAAAAGCAAAACAAACCCCTCTTAGAGACCCATTTAAAAGGCCAAAGAATGTTAATAAGCCAAATGCCTAGTTGAAGACAAACTTTTTTGCCTGGCGCCTAAAGATATGTAAAGAAGGCACCAGGTCAGCCTCTCTGGGGGAAGCATTCCACAAACAGGAAACCACCACAAAAAGACCCGTTCTTGTG